AACAGTTCGGAAGATAACAGCTCGACCGATAAAGATTCAAACGACAAGAACTCGCTTGTCGACGCGAAAGATAACTCGCTTGTCGACGCGAAAGATAACGACGACGAAGATAACAGTTCGGCGAATCGGTCGAGCTGTTATCTTTCGCGTCGTTTGAATCCACTGCAAGCGAATCGTTTGCTTGAACAACTGCAAGCCAGTTCAAACGACCAATGCCGGTCCTGGGTAAGAGACCAACTGCCGATCGACCAACAGCCACATGAACAACAGCCACATGAACAACAAGAACGTCACGAGCGATCGATCGCTCCGTGCAGTTGATGAAAAAGTGAGGAGTTTGCTTCGAAGACATAAGGAAAGCATGACTCAGGTAGTCGGAATTCATAATAGCGAGTAATAAAGCATGATTCAAGGCATGACACACAAGCCGAGCCTTATATATGCATTCGGAGCTCATTTTTCGACAAATTCTGTTAACTTCTCGATCGCGACCTCTGCTGTTAACCCGGCCGATCGATTGATCCATGCTGAAGTTGAGCATGGCCAAGGCTTTGCCGGTGATAGAGATAACAGTAGTAGCAGTAGAAGCAATAGTAGTAGTGGTCGAACGTGCAGTACCAGTAGTGGCTCCTGCAGCGATCGAGATAATAGGATCCTCATCGAGATTACGATCGTCAATAGGATTAAGAACAAGGGGATTGCTTTTGAGCAAATCCAAGATAATAGGATGATCCTCATTGAGATTACGATCGTCAATAGGAGTAAGAACAAGGGGATTGCTTTCGAGCGAATCCAAGGGAAGTGAGTTGCAATAAAGGGAAGGACTACCGATGAAGAATGCAAGAGGAAACTCATCAGGAGCAATCTGCATCAAGGAGTAGCACATTCCATTGACAATCATAGGGGATAGACATATAAGAAATAGAATGAGTAACATCTCATAACCTCGCATGCTACCATGCGACAATACCATTGTGCATTGATCAATCTAACGATCTAAGAGATGTAAAGTTTGTATTTCCAAATAAGTGAGCAGTTATTGATTATTTTCTAGAATAAGCCTGCTAATTGTAAAGCTGTAAAGCTGAATTGTAAGCTGTATCCCGTCGCAGTGAGCGCAAGCCCCCCCAGGCCTCAAGATCCAGCATACAAGTGGCATAACGTTGGGCAGTCAAATATGTTTTGGCAATCCCCAATTTTTCAAGATCCGACTTTGGCATCCATTCATCTGACTTTATGGCCCATTCAAGCAAGCAACATGCTTCCCGTATATTTTCCAACGAGCGATTTTCAGGTGGTTCATGTGGAGTGAATCTCTTGCTTTGGCCATTACTGAGGTATCCCATCAGGAACATTGCTCTGGTCCAAGCCATGTCCCAATGCCTCTCTCTCATGAGAGCATCTTCGGAGTGACGTTCAAACACTCGCAATGCTATTCTAGATAGCTGGTCAAGTATTTGATCGTTTGTGATCCAAATTGGTTTGTCTCTGTTGACTTGTGCAAACCGGGGTTCAGATAGATCTTTAAAACTCTGATCTATGGTCAGCGAAACACTCAATGCCAATGCTTGTAGTTTCTTTGACGAGTGCCCATTATCATGACCAATAGTTGGGGAGGTATGTTGTTGGATCGCATAATCACGCAACAATGCCTCTGCGAACAATTCAGTTGCCTTCTCAGAATGAGCCAATGATTCGGAGACACGACAGTACCCAAAACACCGAGCTAGATAATAGTATGCATCAGGCATTCTTGGGTCAAGCTTCTGAGCCTGACGAAACATATGCTTGGCCGCTTCTAACTTGCATGACTTGTATAGACGAACACCATCGAGAATCATGTCCTCATAGCGATCACCATTAGCTGTTGATACCGTTGTGTTTTTCAGACTTTTAAGTGCTCTCCGGAGTTTTCTTGTCTCTTTTTTGTATTTGGGCCAATTTTTTTCTTGACATTGCTGAGAACAGTAGGCAGCTGGAATGACGCCACTTGCAAGGCAATGTTTGCAATGAGCGAAAAATTGACCATCAGTGAGGTGCTGTTTGCCACAATGGCTACAAGTAGTCTTTGGCTTGGTGGCTTCTTCATCGTTTCGGTTGATGAATTTCAACCACAAGCTCTTCACTTCTTGTAGGCCAACGTCTTCCTCCCCCTCCTCTTCCATCGTCAACTCTCTTCGTTCAAGTTGTCAGAACAAGACCACGTTCTGATTTGGATATTGTGAGTACATGTACGGGGACGAGGACAAAGATCTGCTTTAAAAGTTTTAACCAAACAGGACGCGAGCAAATTTCCATATAAAGCCCCGTGTGAATCCAATTGCACCTCCTTCCTTCCCTTTGTTGTTTCAACGGATGGCATGCTTGCCCCAAGCCAAGATTCTTTTACAATGCCTTGCTTCTGTCTCTGCCAACAAAAGTCAGTCCTCATACTCTCAAATGATGTTCTTCATGCAGACCCATACGTCTATTGCCACAGCGAAACCACGCATGTATGTCTCCGTTGATCCCGCAAAGCCAAGCCTTTTTGCCCCTGTACCAGTCCTCAATTTCTTGCCCCTGATCCCACAGAATGTAGAGTCCTAGAATTTCGACTCTTCTTTGCTTGGGCCTGGCCCTGGCTGGCTTCCGGTACGAAAGTCGTACTATTTAAAATAGCACAGTACATGTATCATAGTAGAGTAGACCCCCCTTCGAATGCAAGGAATCACGGACAGGTAGCGTACCTGTACGTGACTCCTTGGGTCACGAGCTTCCATCTGAGTGACGTCAAGCATCCATTCAGAGCTTGCCAGAAGCTGAACAGCTGTGCCACAACAACCATAGAAACATCAGACACAATCAAATCCTTTTGCAAAATCTTGGTTCATTGATTCCAAAGCAGAACCAATAGTCCACAAATAATAATCAGTCAGCCCAACACCATGGTGGTCCTCTCTGGTTCTTCACGCCTTGTTTTCTTGCTGCTGGCCTTCCTGGTAGCCCTGGCAAGTGCCTTTGTACCACGACAACCATCCAAAGGGGTATCTTTGGTGTCTCGGCAGGTAGCAGGGACCAAAATCCCCCATGATATTCGAATTGTGTTTGATGATGAAGACGAGGATGATAATGATACTGAAGAAGAAGAAGATTCAGGAGACGCCCGCAAACGCCGTCGTGCTCGTTGGGAACAACTGGACCCCAAGTACCGTCAGTATCTGATGGAAAAGGGCCAACAACGGGCCATTGCCAACAAGAAAAAGCGCGAACCCGTCATGGATAAGAAACGCAAACTCATGATGTTTGTCAAGGAACAACAACGCAACAAGAAAAAGGCCGCTCGCATTACTCGTCCCGTCCAACCGCAGGATCGACGACCCCTGGCGGATATCCCCATTGGTAGCGAACAGACGGGTGTGGTAATTAGTTTAACCAATTTTGGAGCCTACGTCGATATTGGGACCGACTGCGATGGATTGCTCCATGTCAGTCAACTCTCCACCGATGTCTTTGTCGAGCATCCCCGACAAATCTTGACACCGGGACAAGAAATTACGGTCCGTGTCCGATCCACCAGTCCCGAACGCAAAAAGATGCACTTGACCATGTTACCCGAGGAAGTCTTGGAACAGGAAAAACGCGACAATCCACAAGATCGCATCCCGCTGACCGAAATCCAACTCGATGATGAATTGTGGGGAGAACTCAAACGCGTCACGGATTTTGGTGCCTACGTTGAAGTGGGAGCCGTCGTCGATGGATGGTGCCACTTTATGGATCATCCCTCGTGGGATGGAACCGCTCATCCGTCTCAATTCATGAAACGGGGAGATCGTGTACGCGTCTGGGTCGCCGATGTCGATCGGACGCAAAAGAGACTCAAACTCACCGCCAATCGACCCAAGCATTTGCCTGGGCCCAAACGAGAGTTGTACTAAATCATCCATAGAATATAATGGAAACACACAACAACACAAAGGTGGTTGTTGGGGAGAAATGAATCGCAGATGGCTGGCGGATAGAAAAAGCCGAAATGCGGTGCGGTAAGATGAGAATGGTCACCAAACACTCACAAGAGAATAAATAATGAAGAAACAATTTGCACAAATGGAATCGTCATGGCAGAAGAATAGTCTAGTAGGCCTTCGAAAGGATTATACTTATTCAACTTTGACAATCAAAAGGCTATCGGCGGAATAGCAAAGCATTGCTAGCTAGCTAGGGACCGATCTGTTTTTGGGCACGATGGATCGTGTCGACCCGGTGAACCGTTGATACAGGATGATAGTTAGTTCAGCATCTTCTTCCAGAGTACCCGCTCTGTGGCCCCTCTTTGAAGTGTCAACATCAGGCCAAAGGCCTGCTCAGCCCCCTTCATATTTTGGGACCACCTGCTGCACCTCCAGAACCGCCCCAATGCAAGGACAACTACCAGGTACCGTACTACACAGTGTAGTATGAAAAGGCATGGCGGCCATTCCCAGCCAGATACCTGATGCCTCTCCAGAATGTCCAATGTGAGACCACAAAGGAAGGCAACTTGGAAATATGGGGTTTTGATTGCAGGCTCCTCCGAAACCTTGGCAAATTCAAGTGCAAGAGAAGCAACCCCTCCACCAAAACTCTGGAATCCCGGCTACCATGCATGCAAAGAGGATCTGACTAGTAAGTAGCTAGCTGGAATGGATTGCTCCCACTTAATTGCAGGCAAGCATTGGCTAGCCATGTTCGCCATAGACAACCCAGGCCACGGCTGGGCGACTTCACGCAGCTGCTGCTGGGGCCTGGGCCACAACGCAGAACTGTAGCACCGTGATGAGGGTGGAAAAAGGGTTGCAGAGCCTTTTAGGCCTTCTTTAAACAAAATGCATTGGATGCTGGTACCAATAGTAATCACTCTGCTGGTTTAAAAGGTTCAGAGGTTCTCTTGTATGTAGTCATTTGCAGAATGGTAGAACCACGGTATTCAAAGGATTAACCAGGGTTGCCTGATAGGATTTAGGAGGAAGTTGTGGCAGAGGCAAAGATCAAGAGATGGCTACCACTGGTATGCTACTTCGGCAGCAGCCGTGCAATCAACCGAAGCGAGATACCCATTGCCTCGGGTGCTAAAAAGGTGTTGTTCCTCTCCTCCCTTAGCTGACAGGTATCTCTTATCTTCGTCTCGTCTCTACAGATAGCTGGCTCGTTGGGGAGACGAAAGATTGAAGCATCCCCTTTCGTTCCAACCATTGGTACCGGTGTTGATCCTTGGCAAGACTGGGTAGCTGACTTATCGGGATATCTATATCTTTCAGTCGCCACTACCGAGAGGCTGAGCGACCAGACCACCACTTACCCTTTCCCGAAGACTTCACCATGGCGAATAGTGACTTCACTTGGTATTGGGATAACGACGGCGTGTGGACGCCCTACGGAGACGAACATCAGGCCATTATTGAAAGTGCTCGGTTAAGTGGGGATCCACAAGCTCATCTACCCATTGGCAACAGCGTCTACCTCATTGATTTCCATGAGTCAGTACAAGAGAGCCCCGTTGGAAACCGCCGTCGGATATCTCGTCGAGCTAATGGCAACAATAATGTTATGGTGGCAGCCAGCGAGAATACCCTTTGGTTCTGGAGGGATGATGATGGCATGAAGCCTTACGATACAGCCATGTCCCAGAGACTGACACAAGCCAGGCTGGAAGGTGATGTTGAGGTATACCTTGAGATTAGAGAAACCCTGTACCAGTTGGATCTGGCCAGGAACCTGCAGATCAATATGCACACAAACTTTGCCAGAGATATTGGAGAAAAGGAATTGTACCATAGGGTGGTCTTTCTGGGCGCACAATCATGTACCCGCATTGCGCACCATCTAGTCCAAAACAACAATCCATCAGTCCGAAATGATGACGCTGCCAGTCCGGATGTGAACATCAACACTTGGAGTCCACCCACCCAACCCTCCCTGAACCTTCAGGTTTGGGATTTTGTCGGACGAGAAGCACTGTACTCTTATCAATCCATCTTCTTTACGCCTCAGACGTTATTTGTCATTGCATGGTGCTTGGACGAGACATCAGATTTGGGTACTAATGGATCCAAACAACCTGATGACCAAGCTTTAGACAGGAACATTCGCGACAGGGTTCAATTCTGGATCGACGTGATCGAAGAAAGAGTACCGTCTGCAGCAGCTATACTTCCGATAGCATGCATGACAGATAAGAGCAGCAGTCTTCCAGAACCTGAAATAAGGAGACGGTGCAAACGACTGCAGGGACAGCTGAAGTCACGACGGTCATCAATACAGTTCTGCGACGACCCAGATAACCCCGTTGTCCGTGTCAGTCTTTCCTCGGACCTGTCAAATGTCGTCGGCGGAATGGACATGCTACAAGAGATTATGCTTGCTTCTCTAATTGAACATGCCATGCCCCTATCACAAGTCGATGTGACACTACGCGAAACAATACGGACCCGAAAAATGAGTGGAGTTAAGATTGTGGACACGGCGAGTCTCAACGCCGATGATGCCGCACTAACGCAAATGGCTCACAGCGGGGAGATTCTGTACATACCATCACTGCCGCATCCGTTTTCCGGGTGGATTGTCTTGGATCTTCCGTGGTTTTATCGATTAAGCGGAAGCACCCTTCGTCGCAATTGGCAGGCTCTGGTAGGAGATGGAAGAAGAAGGCAGGGTAGGGGTGATCCTCCGTCTTTCGCAGGAGCTACACCTGAGAATTGTCCCGTCCTACACGAAGATGATGGCAATATGCTGTTACAAAGTTCTCTGGACGCCAGTGATTACTCACCGGAGCTACATGGCGAGCTCGGTGGGGGCAACCTACTACGTTTCGTAACAGCAGTGCTTGTCCACTTTGCTGTCATCGTACCCGTCGATGTGGATGCAGAGAACCCAAGCGCTACCGGGCAACGAGACGGGAAAGTCTTGACAACATCGCCAGCGTACATGCCATTGATCGGCATCACAAATCCTAACACCTGCTTTATCAATGCTGGGCTCTATTTTGTGCCCTGCCTGCTGGAAGACTCTGTCAGAGGCGACAGCAACCTCGCCGATTACAGAAACGCAACTGGATCAACCAACACGTTCGTCGCTCAAAAGGTGCAATTTCAAGATGGCGTCCCCAAGAGCATGATGCACACTATTATATCCAACTTGCTTCGGGATATCCTCCGAGCTACACGAGGCAACGCTGTTTCCGTAAAGATGGTCTACTGTTGGTGCTCAATTTTACGGATAAAGTTTTCTATGACAACAAACGACGGACAACAGGTTGCTCTCGACGTTTGCTCCCAGGTTGTTGAACCCCAGCAGGGAGGAAATCAGGTCACATCCTATTTGTGCACTAATGCCCATGTTGTGAAGGGCGACGGTGCACGATATATCTGGCAAGCTGGCTACGGTCTTGTTTGCAAAACCATTCAGAATGCCATGATCGGCTATAGGGATCTGGCCTACTCCAGAGAGGCTTTTTGCCACGAATGCTTAATCTCCGACGGAATCCATGGAGCTCCCTCGTGGAAGTGGGCTGAGCTGGAAAATGCGTTGAAGGACGAAAAGATGCCAAGTCTCCGATGCCCCGCTGGACACACCATTCTTGAGTCTCTGTCAGAAAAACAGGAGTTGAACCAGCGGAGAGCGGTGGTGTTGATTGGGCTGTACGATCCATCCAAACGAAAGGGGAGAATTCAAAGACTGGGATCCGGAATTGTGGTTGACGCTGCCAAAGGCTTGATTGTCACAGCAGCCCGGAATGTCATGATGATAGAGGGAAGCGAACGATTCGGACAGAACTATGACGGGATTCTTGGAGCCAAAGTAGTGGTCGGTGTGTTGCCCGAAAACGGAGGAGAAGCTGTGTTTCGATTCTTTGCCAAAATCCGCGCCACGGATCCTGCACTGTCTGCGTCTAACGTTTGTCATGTGGACGCATGTGTACTAAAGATTTCATCCAAATTCGAGAACGACGTTCGAGGCAATGGCGACAAGTGTGCCGACGAAATTGAAATCGTAGGGCGTCGCGCTGTGCAAGGGTTGGTTCAGATACCGAACGAAACAAAATGGGAAGTGGAGGATCCTGTCCGCATCTACGGGTACGAGCAAGAGGAAGGTGCATATATAAATCGTGGTCTAAGCGAAGTATGCGGTCCTATTGTTCAGTATCGAGAGGAAGAGCCTAGAGCAGGGCAACCGCATACCTTTCAACCCCTCAAGACTGTGGTTGTTCGTGCTGCAGCAAACCCCGGCTTCCTCGGTGGCCCTTGTATCAACGAAGAAGGGAAACTGATTGGAATTTTGAGTTGTGCCGATCCGGACGAGAAGTCTCGGAGCTGCGTGGTGCCGTTGCAAGAGTGGCTTCCCTTGGTAAGATCAGTTCCTTAAAACTAGTCTAATAACCTTGCAAATTTTCTGCTTCCGAACCTTCATTTTGTGTGTCTGGTGCCATGCCGCCAGCAACGATACTTCCGCAAGGCTTTATCCCCCGATACAGCACGGTCAGTACTGGTACAATCCTCGCAGGCTTCCTGGGCCCTTTTCTGGCTGCCTGCCTGCTCCTGCTGCAATCAGAGCCGAATGGAATTCTCCGCCGGAGGGCTAGCTCTGGCTCGAAGGTTATACAAGTACGTTGCGAAGTCAGTTATGTGTATGTGATTTTATGTTTTGTTATGAACCGTTATGGTAGTAGTGAAATGCACCATGCATGATATGTGTCAATGCTCTCGCTCCTTTCATCATTCTCTGAACACCCAGAAAGATCCGATTACCACCCCGCCCAGAAGGAATATCCCAGACCCTTCTTCAATGCCACCATGGCAATCAAGGCCACACCGGCATAAAAGAGTATGTGGTGCACGGAATCAAACAGGGGAGCTTCGTAATACTGACCAAAGAAGTGGTCGTAGGAGTTTCGGGAGAGGCTGTCGAAAAAGTACAGATCATCCTCGGACCCAAAACTCTCCACGATGACTCCCATCTCGTAGTTACAGGCGAGGGGATCCCACTGGTGAGCTGTAGCGTTGGTAGGGCCAAACAAGCCCTGGGGTGACATGTCCTCGGCAGGACACATGTACAAGAAGGTGTGGTTGCTGGTGGAACTGTAGTTGGCCGATAAGCTTTCTTCGTATCGACTACTGGGCATACCGGCCAAGATTTCGTCTCGTTGATCGCACAGACCGGCCAATTCTCCAACGAAAAAGACGACACCAATGTAGCACATGTAATATGCCACAATTTGGACACATCCCAGGGCCACTTCACCTTGTTGCTGCAACCAGTGGAGCGCCTTGGCATCTGTGGAACCACAGCGAACGCGGTTGTGATAGATCCACTTGACGCGGCGATAGGCCATGGGACTGACAAAGTCCCAGACCAAGCCACAATATCGGCTCAAGAGACATCCCAGTATCAAAAGAGGACCGTACAGATAGCCCTTGTTGAAACCATCCAACTCGGGTTCAACAGCTTCGTAGGCCAGATTACTGATGAGTTCATAGGTAGACGCATGGGCCGCACAGTACAAGGCCAAGGCCATTACACCGGGAACCGAGTGTTGGAGTTCAAAATCTAGAGAGTCCTTCCAACATTCTGCTTTGGGGGTAGCAGTAGCATGAGGTGCCACTGATAATGGGAAGCCCACATCATGGGTATCTTCTTGAGGTTCTTCCAAACAGTTCTGGAACAAAACATCATCTTCCTCTTCTTCTTGTAGCAAAGAATAGAGGGCCTTGTGATTCTGTTCCAACAGAGACAACAGCTGACAACTGTTGCTCCGAAAGGCATTCTCCACCGACAAATCCATGAGTGACATCATGGATCCACTACTGGTATCTTCTTCCTCTACGATCGTCGAACTAATATCGTCTTCTTCACTGGTCACATCACTGATCGCAACCACATTCAGGGACAAGACATCACCATCATCATCTTCTTCCTCGTCTGACAGGGGACAAGTCCGCTGTGTTAAAAGGGTAGGTCGACGCCGCTTTCGACTGCCGGTACTACGACGACCACAATCCGAGGGGATCTCATCGACCATAACGAGAAGCATCGTTTCCTCTTTCTCACAATCGTCCAACATCGTTACTTGGGTATATACCACACTAACTAAAACAAGAAAAGCTAGAGCACAGCTGCGAGTGTGGCGCCGCTGCGTGGATGAGACTCTGTTATCTGATCATGCCTTGCCACTACTAGAAGGTAGGGTTGTGAGGTGATCCCTTCTGTCTCATGGAGAGAAAGATTGACGGAAGGAGAAGCCAATATCAACTCTAAAGTGAGAGCTAAAGCTCCTAAAACCCAGGATCTCTTTGCTTCTTTGGCTTCCCTCGGTCAACAGAGTAGGGAGGACACATGCTTTGTGGCATGCTGCTCCGAACTGACACCGTGCTGTGGTATAAAAAGGCGGTATTTCACCAGGACCCGAGCGTAACTACGCAACTCCCCCGAGAACCGCCCATCCAATTGACGTTGCTCGGTGGTCACACACGATTTTGGCTTAAGAGGCGTCTAACCGATTTAAAATCCTTGCCTAAATTCCGTAATGATACTTAGGCGGGAAGCATGCGTCCATTGGATACCAGATACTGGACGATCGCATAAATCTTTGGATCCTGGGTTTCTCTGTTCTTTCTCAGTTTATATCCATTGGGAGGTGACCAGGTTCCTATCTTGGAGTGGATATTTACTTCACCAGATCCCCTCGCCAGATCCCCTCGCCAGATTGGTGATAATAAGATTGAAGATGGACTAATCAGAGACGAGATATCTCACCAGATGGTGTATCCAGCCCTCGTTTAATGAAAGGAACATAACAATCAATGGGTATCTTCGGGCCTTTTCTAACTAGATCTCGCTCCAGCCGTATCCCAGATGGCTGGATGAGGGACAAATCCTATCCTGTATGCGGATTGATTCATCCAGCTACTGTACGTATACCGGTACCGGTACCGGTACCGGTACGTACTAAACGCCAAACGAATGGCTGCAGAGGAAGAAGAAAAAGGAGGTGCGTTGTGCCATTCAGCTCCCTAATGCAGACCGAGACAAGCTCGTGGAAGCAGAACCGAGCACATTATTATTATTTGTGTTCGCGGCTTGCACCTTCGCCTCGACCTACGGTACTACCGTACCGGTACTGGTACCGGTAGCTAGCAGTCTCGCTGGCTGGTTGATTTCTGCCACCGCTACATTTGATTTGTGATTGAATGCAGCAAGAGTGCTATGTGTTGGCCACTCGGAATGCATCTAGCTAGCTACCGGTAGCTATGCATAGCTGGCAGCTGCGCTTGTGGACTGGCTGTTGGTTCGGTTCCCCGGATCCTGCAGAAGACCATCTTCCTCGATCCTCTGTCGTTGGCATAGAAGACAGCTGCAGCATCTGCATTTGGTAGATTGTTCCTGTGACCGGTGGTACAGTCGCACCAGTCCAAGGCATGCCTACTAATAAGGCAGCTCCGAAACGAAGGGTACCGTGTCGCAGCAAAGATGGCCAGGATGGCTGCGTGTCCGAGCACCTTCCCACGTTCCTGTCCAAGATAATTAGATCTAGCTAGTAGTGTGACTCGTAGTGCTGGGTCTTGTAACGCTTGATGGCTGTGCGGCTGTACTGGTACTGGTACCGGTACCGAAAAAATGTTGAGATAGTGGGTTCCCGAGGTACAACGCTCTACCGGCTTATTATAAAGCTGTTGAGATGTAAAATATTGCAGTTCTGCGGGCAGCGTGTGCGGTTCGGTACCGGTATGCATACATGTACATTTATTTCGCCAGCGCAAGGAGAAGATACTACAGTAGTAGACTGACTCCTCGGACCGAGCACGAGTATAGTACTAGTACCTATTGTAGCACTTATCAGCTATCTATCAGTCCTTGCAGCACAATGCAGCATCCACGTGAGAAGGAGATCTCTCGTGATGGCATGCTCGCCAGTTTCCCGACTGGTAAGGCTCTTACTGATGTGACACTCAAGGGGAGAGACGGAGTAGAAGTACCAGCAAATCGGTTTCTTCTGTCCGCAAGAAGCCAGGTCTTCAGAGGAATGCTTTTGGGAGGTCCAGAGGTGTCGTCTCTTGGCGTGGAGCTTGACTTCCAGGGGAGTGTCTTACGGGCTGTTGTAGAATATATTTATACAGATTCAGCTCCTATGCTGAATTGCAAGAAGCGAAAGAGCCCGGATACAAGAACCTTTGATTTCGAGCACATCCAATCACTGGTATCATTGGCAGCAGCTGCATCCCACTTTCAACTATCGGGCTTGGGGAAATTAGTCCTCAAGAACTTCAAGCAGATTTGGGCAGAATATCCATGCTGGTCTTTTGCTGTCCTCCAGGCCTGCAGAATGGCTGGGCCTTCCGTTCCTTGGAATCTGCTGGTTGCAGCGTGGACTCGGGTGCGCGTGACACCAACTGAAACTATCACCAAGGAGCATATCCATTGTTTGAGTCCTGATGTGTTGGAAGAGATTCTCAAAGATCCCAAAATGCAATTGACGGAGTACCAGCTTTTTCAGATACTGAACCTTTGGAGGGGAGGCCAAGCTGACGTCGCCAGAATCCACGAAGACAGCGACGCTGAAACCGTTGATGAAGATGACGAAGATGACGAAGACATCGACTACATCGTGGTCGCGATTCTGTCAGAGGAGAAGGTCAAGGGTGATGGCGTCTTGTGCACAATCTGCTCCGAAATTCCTGCTTGTGTGGTGTACGAAGGAACTAACACAAAGAAGCACTGGAAGTACTGTTTGACCTGTCAAGACGATGACTTTGATGGATGGCCTGAAAAGCTAGAAGACTACCCCAACAACCAACATCCAACATGCCAACACGAAGCTGATTTACGAAAGCTCTGCTGCAAACCTGGGAGCTCTCCGTCCTTCATCGATCGAAGCCTTGACAAAGCTGATTCAATTGATGAAGGCGACCGCAGTTCAATTGCAAAGACACTTTCCAAGCACCTCTATTTAGAAAAGATTGACCCAAAAACTTTGTCAACGACAGTCACTGGCTCTGGTTTAGTCACGTCAGGACAGCTGTTGGAAGCCTTCAAGCAACAGGCCTTGGAGATGATGAACCAGGGGTCCGCATCTGCGAACTGGTCTCAGGTTCGATACAAACCTAAGGTAACAGAGATTCCAGATGCTCCAACTGAAATCGAAATGGAAAGGACCAGCTCTGAATCGGTCAAAGGTGATAGCGAAGGGTAAGTGTGCACGAGCCCGAAGCAATTCCACCCCTCTTCGTTCGTTTTCCGCTGACGGCATGGACAAGAAATAATCAACTTATGCATATATCTAATGTATTCAAATCTATACATGTTTGCTTTGACATCGTTCGAGGAAGAAATCGTCCGAGGAGGAGGCTCGATTATCTTTCGATTGTGTGTGGTGAAAGAAGATATCGTCAGTCCCATCTCCTTCGTACCTTATCCTCTTCAATGTCAATTCTCGCGATTCAAAAATTGTATCGTATCGGTAGCGCAAGGTTGGCATTCCCCACCCATCGACACAACGGCACCGTGCCACGCTTCTTACTCGGCTTCTGCGCAGTACCAATCTCATTCCACCTCCTCATGGGGGTCGAGCCACTTGATCGTCTGAGAAGTCATCCCGCAGCGATTCTGAGAAGTCCACCTCTTCGATTGTTGCCATGCTCGGTCTGTGCTCTTGTCGTACTGACCCGCTCATGCTCGTGTTGCGATTATTTTCGACATCCAGCAAAGGCTCTTCCTTCTCTTCGATCTCGTCGTCTTCTTCCGCTTCGCTCCATCGACCAATCAGCCCATTGTCGTCGGTTTGTTCAAACACGGTCCATCCGGTGCCCTTGATGAAGGAATCCGAGTATCCAGAGCCAGAGGTTACGCTATCCGATACGGATATTTTGATAGATCGTCGAGTGTTGTCTTCCTTTTGAACTTTGGCAGTCTCCTCCGGCGCAACACCATTGTTTTGAGAGCTGTTTCCAATGGAGGAGAGTGGTGCATCGAAATCACGGGATCGATTCGATTGTTTCGCCGTGGCAAGCGACTGGGCTTCGCTTCCAATGGACACACCACCGTTGATATTAATATGTTCTCCCGAGGCCCCACTAGATTTGTCGTCGTCCATGCTGAAACGAACCTTGGAGTTTCGGAGGTTTGAGGGCTTTGACTTGGCAGTCGACTTGGACGCTTTTGTTATGGGTGTGTTTTGCTTCCTATCCTCCTTGACACGCATGAGCCTTGGCATTACAAATGCTGCTGAGCTGAACACTGTTGCCCAGAAGACTGCAATGGACAACAGGACTACCTCTCCAGTTGCATCAATGTCCATGGTGTAGATGATAATTGTGGTGATAATCCCGATAAAACCTACGAGCAAACACAACTGGTGCGTGAGTTTTACAGAGCAATGGTAGAGTTTCGCTTCCTTTTCTTTTCTTTGTGTTACTCACCAATATTGTACATGGAAAACATGAGCTGCTTCGCCTCTCCAAACTGGGCATCCAAATTCCTCGTCACATAGGCCAGAATACATCCAGTGACGATCAATCCAGCTTCAAAAAGGGTCATGATAACCATAAAGCCATTGGTATTTGTGGAACAAATGACATGCTGGGTTACGATTCCTCCTTCGATCTCGATAACCTCCTCTTGGTGTGGTGGATCGGCAAATGTAAAGATGAAGAGAATCAGAGTGGAAATGGCGACAATGGGTAGGGATAGCAAGGCGGCAGTGGAGTGGTTGACAATGGTCGGTCGTCGATTGGCTGCTCCCACCATTCGCCACATGCGCCAGACCTTTGGAAAAAGAACCAACCGCAACGAGTTTGGTGAGAGACGCAAAACTGCATCCAACTGTCACACTTGATCAAAAAATAAAATGATAGCACAAACAAACCAAACACAAAACTCACCTTGACAAACAACGGCGACAATGCCAATGCGAAAAGGAAATGAAAGGACCACATGCGGGCCAGACAGAGCGCATCCGTGTTTTCTCCCAAGAGGGTAAAACTGGAAAGATTCAAGAGTGCACATCCCAGCAGAAATGCCGACGTGAATCTCCAATCGGCCAAAATGACGGCTCGTTCGTGTCGTTTTCTATAAAACAAGACAAACATGACAAAGCATAGGACGAATCCCATGGATGCAATGACACAGATCAATCCAAAGAGCGGATTGTCCTTGGTAACGGCATCGGCATCGCCCTTTCCTGCGGGTGAAATGACCAGAATGATCCATTCCAAATCACCACCCGGTCGATAAAACGATGACTGGACAATGTACAATTCATCGCCTTCATCATCTTCCTCGTTGCTGTTGCTGTTGTTGTCGTCTGGATCACTGTCATCACTGCTACTGTCACTACTCGCCAAATAATCGGCGCGTTTCTTGCCCCGAATCGTCAATAGTTCGCGTGGATAGTCTTGATCGCGTTGTTCGTTGTATGCTTTGACCAGGAGCGTATCCAAAGGATCCCCCCTTAGATTGGCCATGCTTTCACGTACGACTTTGCAATCGCGTGCGGAATCATCGAAACACGGTTTGGTTTCATCCTCGACGAGTACTTTGGTAGCGGCTTTGCGTCCGGTACTGGAGGCGACCATAAAGTTGGGTTCATTGACTTCGTATACAACGACAATGGTATTGGACTCGCCGCTGCCGTATCCATCGACGAGAAAGTTTCCAATTCCGACAAAAGTGTAGTCGATCGCCAAGACTCCTTCAAACATGTAGCGTCCTTGCTCATCGTAACTGTAAATGGGATGACTATATGTGATGCCCAAATCGAGATTGGAAAAGAATGGATAGGGTTCGGACCAATTGGGGAGTTGTGATTCCTTCGTGGCCATGTACCAACCCCTATAGCGAGGATCGTAATCCCGCGATCGATAACCACCATCGAATGTATTGTCGCAAATTTTGGGTTGTTGTGTGAGAGGATCGATGCCGCCGCAGTAAACAAAGGGTCCTTCTTCCCATCGTTCGACTTTGGTAACGCCATTTTCAAATTCGCAATCTCCCAGCACGAGTTTGGGATCATCCGCATCGGCCAAGAATCCACCCACGACGGCACGACCGGGTTGTTGGGTCAATGCCCCGCGGGCATCGTTGCAATGGTACGTGCGGGGAATAAATCCGTGCGTTTCCTCTTGTGTCGCTTGTTCGACGGCATATTGACGACACCATTTGGTGGTTTGGGGTTGTTGAAAGCAATGGGCCACATCCGGTTCGAGCGTCGAGAAGTCTTGCGTCTGTGCCAGTAAAGAAGCACCACCGTCGTGTTGCGCCAATATTTTGGAACAGGCTTGGGTCTCATCGTCGGCGCATTTCATGAGTCCGCAATCGCGGACGCATCGAATATACTTGCTGCCCGATTGCATGGTACAGTTGGTGTCGGCTCCGGACTCGCGATCGACGCAGGAATGATAGTAGTGTGCCATGGACGCGTCGTCCACCGGGAAACCCGAATTGCCGGGGTCGCGGTACGTGCCCCAGCCTACGCCGTGGCTGAATCAAATGGAATCAAGGAGATTGATGGATGAAACAGAGAGAGACAGCAGAGAGAGAGAGATGAGAAAAAAGGAGAGAGAGAGAGAGAGACGACTGTACTGTGAGTGGTGTGACAGAACAACAACATGGCTCATCACCTCTTCCAGAATATTTAGTGTTTGTGCTTACCCCATGAACGTGCCATCTTCGAGACCCAAATAGACCATGTCAAAGTGGAATTCTTGTAGTAACGAGTAGGCAAATCGAAGGTAGTAATCGCGATCCAGTGCTTGCAGATTGTTGGGAAAGCCAAAATTCCGACGAAACTTGGCTGTAAGGCCATTGGCCGTGCGAGGACCATTCATGAAATCGTCAATTCGTTCCACCACACGTTTCTCCACTTCGTAGTTGAATTCGGCGTGGACAACATGATGGTGTTGTAGTAGTAACAAGAGAAGGAGGAGTGATGACAGTGACTTGACGACGACAATGGAGGATGTCATGGTCATTATTGTACAGAGTTTCTAGAAGAAAATCAGAATGGATCCAGGAGCTATCCAGGATTGGATCAGGCAAGCCGAAGGAAACAGGAAGGCAGTCGATGGAGATGCTGCTGATGGTTGCCTCTCTTGCTAGCTTGAAGCCAAACAAACAAAACACAGAAAGGGAGCAGATTGAGAGTTTCACAGTCTCGACTTGACTTTCTCATCCACTCTTGTGAGCGGTCCGTTGTGTGGGTTGCTTTGGGAAAGCTTTGGGTGGAGTGTTGCCTTGCTATTTTCTTTCTTCGGTCGTGTGCAATTTTCCCACAACATGGGCTTGAACTGCCTTGAAGCAGTCGCGAATCCAGGGGCTGTGCATTTAACTCTTAGGGCTATTCAGCGTCCTTCCCGGTCATCGTACGGTCGTACGGCAATAACAAAACTTCTTATACAGTAGTCACGTACTATAATAGTAGTCACATGTCACATACTACTACATGTAGTAGTACGACTGTACTGAGTACACACAAAATAATGGACATGTATGTTTCCGAAACAGGGAAGCTTACCTTGATTGTTAATTCCTGACTACATGTCACATGTGTGCAGCTCATGTCTTACCGTCTTACCGTACCTTTTCACATCCGATACAGTACATGACTGTACAGTACTGTATGACGTCAGTCGTCAATCGAGATTGGTGGCAACTCATTCATTCACCAAACACAAGATCTTTGTTGTTGTCAAGCAAACAGAGATGATACATTGATGCTCACCAACAGTAGCAAGCTGTCAAGGAGAAGAGGATCAGAAGCAAAGAGGAAATCAGGATTGACTACGAAAATTGCTCCATTCATTCTTGCCGCTTGTTGTGTGACCTTTGCCGTCCTTCACTTCTTCTTCTTGTTTGTGGCAGGTGAAGAAGACCGTCATCACCGGTATCCCAGTATCACAACGATGAGTGTGGAACAGCAACAACAATCCAATACAAAGCTGGTCGTGGCGACACGGCTGCATTTAGGAAATGCCAGCAAGGATCCTCCCAGTCAAGCAAAAACGGATCAAACAATTGCCAATTTTGCCAAGTTTATAACAACCTCCTGCCCGCCATCCACCCTGGCGTTGATCGCCGTCGATGCCACGCCCAAAATTGACGGGTATGACTACGTGCAGGCCGTCCAACAAGCCTGTGACAAGCTCGACGACCACCACAAACCTACCGTCCTACCCGTCACACCCTGGGGGAGATTCGTCCCGGCATTGAATGCACTCGTCGGGCATGCCGCTTCGTTGCAATACGACTACATTCTCTTTTGTTCCGCCGAAACAACCGCCTCCAAAGCTGCCATTGATACCTTGTATCGACACATTATGGACGATCAAGATACACTGGTGGCAGGAGCACTCTTGGGGGGGCACGATTATCAAAAAGACAAAACCGTAGTAGAATTGAACGGACGGACGACACCGTGGAATACACTGGCGCTGTGGAGAGTTTCCAAATTGGCATTGACGGGATTTCAAATGGTATCGGAAGGGTACTTGACAACAAACAACGACGAGCCATCCTATGGAGTGGAAGAAGTCATTGCCATTGCACTCTTACAACGACTATTGGGACACGATCATGCCAAGGCAAAGTTGGTCCAATTGCCCGGCGATGTAGATTGGAATCAGGATTTTGGACAAGACGAGGAACGACGAAAATGGCACGAAGACAAAATGAAATCCAAACTCGAACGACCGGCTCGGCAATTGCAGCTATTTGGATCAACGTCCTTGTCTGGGACTGTGTATCATTTATAATAAAGGCTACGATGATTGTATCATCAAGACCGACGAAACTACGTCTACCGGAAATGTGCAAAAGAGACTTGGCTGAAAGTTTGGCATTTAGTTAGGCATGCTGTACTTTTACGACGTCTGTTTGCTGAGTGACGAGTCGGGTCTCTCTCCTTCTTCACGGTTGTCACGGTCATGGGTGGATTGGACCTTGGCGGCCTTGACAAGTCATTCGTTTCCTCCAATAGTGACCCATACACACTGATAGAGAGCTAGAACATTTGCTGGGAGAGGTGGCTGTCCTCCAGTATCAGGTACAGAAGCTCAAGGATGAACAGATCAGGGCAGATGCCTCAATGGAATGCTTGAGAAAGTAGACGAAGAGGAACAGATGGAGTTGCAGGTCCAACGTTTTGACAACGATTCCCTTGAAGAGCAATTACGGGACCAGCAAGCAATGGTACAAGATCTGGCTTCTGGCAGCGCTTGACCAGCAACACCAGTTGAAAGCACTTCAGAAAAAGTTACAAGCTTCTGAATCCAACAGCATGCTTCAAAAGCAGCTGCAAACCCTTGAATCAGACAGCGATGCCCTGAAACGGCAGTTTGCAAGCCCAGCCAGAGCAGGTGCAAGATCTTGAATCATCCAATGACAGGTTGCCAACCTTTCTCTTTTGCCGAACATTTCGCGACAAAACAATTCTCGAAGCTGCCGTTTGCCCTCTTGACTATCTTTGTGTAACTTTTACCACTCTCTTGGAAGTATTTTGTCCATTGCCTGTTAAAAAAATAACTATGATGTATATTTCTAAGAATGTAATGAACTCAACTTTGTTTGGAAGGATAGCCACTGTTTGCAATGAGGAGGATGTTGGTCTACGAGCAGCTTCGAATTTATTGATTCAAACGCGTGCCGGCTTTTCTGGTACATTTCTACGAGAGCTCTTGTAGAAATGTACTGAGAAGTGTGTCGCGCGTTTGAATCAATAAAATCGAAGCTTCCTGTATGCAAACAGCAGCATGCGGGCAATTGCCGCGCAACCCCGTACCGGTGACTCCCACAACCGTTGACGGCCAGACAGTGGGAGTAAAAATGCGCGGTTTCCACGTGGCGATGCAATCCGTTGGAAAGAAGATGTGGAGGTGCCAACATCAAAGCAACGGGGCAAGGTAGAAGAAGCCAATAAGCTAGCTTGTAGAAGCAGCACTGTTGAAGCCATGGCGTCATCTCAACGACAACCACGGATACAGTTCGCTTGGAGATCGATTCTGTTGTTGGCGGCAGTCAGTTTGCTGGTCGACGGCGTAACCTCCCGATCGACATTTTCTCCACTGGCTCCCTTTACAAGAAGCCTACGGCAACAACAACAACAACAACAACAATCAGCATGCCCACAATACACATCAACACTGCTACAGAGTGATCGGTTTCGAGGAGGTGCTCTAGACGATGATGACGAATATGACGAAGAATCAGAGGATGAAAGCGAGTTTGATGAGGACGAAGAAGATGACGAAGATTTGTTCGATCTGGACGAGGGAGATTTTGAAGATGCCGAAGACGAATTCGCCGAGGCTGGCTATGTCGAAAGGGCACTGGAATCTTGGAGTAAAACACCACCATTAACCAAGGGGTACCTATCGGCTAGTATGGCCGCAACTGTTTTTGGATTTGTCTTTCACAAGAACGAGTTCCCACCATGGCTCTTGCTGGAATGGAAACCCTTTTATTCCAAGTTGCAACTCTGGCGACCCTTTACCACCTTTTTGAACTTTGGGCCACTGGGATTGGGATATATCTTGACATTTCAATTCGTGTGGCAATACATGAGTACGCTGGAACGACTGCATCATTCCACTCCCTATGATTTCTGGATCATGATCCTGTTTGGACAACTCAGCATGGTGATTGGATACCCCATTCTCAAGTTGAGCCCCAGGTTTCTGGGGCACAATCTTTCCACCTTTTTGGTCTACATTTGGAGTCGCTTCCATGAAGGATTGGATTGCAACTTGTTTGAACTATTCAATGCCAAGGCCGAGTTGTTGCCGTGGTTCTTTTTGGCACAGGTAAGTGTGGATACTGACCTTTACATCTTGCTGCGTTACTGTTTGAAATCTACCGTTAGTTGTACTTTGCACGGGGTCTCACAACGTGATTTGCCCTCTGCTCGGCCCACTGTGTGATTCGATTTTCTGCTGCTTCCACTCTGGTGTTGAAACATCCAAACACAAATAATGCACCAACAGACATTCTTGCTAGAGGGTGAACCTCCCATCTTGGATTTCTTGGGCATTGTCTTTGGTCACGTCTATTACCATTTGAATTCGGTGGGGACACTCAAGGCACCACCCGCTCTGCTGGCATGGTACAAGGGAGACTCTGGCTTTGCCAAGGACTTGAGAAGCAAATATGCTGCCATTGGACAAGACTTTGAATTGGTGGCAGACGATGCTGATGCATAATAAATGGAACAGTAGTAGTGCCTTGTATCGTCCCGGTACTGGTAGCATGGATCCTCTACAATAAGCTTGTGCTGGCAAAGAAGGAACCCATGGCATCTTTTTTGTCACCTTGACATCGAGTTGTCTGGTCGATACGCTTGACTGGAACTCAAATTTACGCACTAACCTAGGCTGTAGCTAGCTGGTTGTTATGGCTAAGTTTGGAACATGTATGGAAGGTCTAGTATCTAAATGCTATAGGAGTCTATGATCTAGGTTTCGCACTCATTGCTGCTGCTGCAGTACCAGTATCTTCCGGTTGCGCCTCCAGTCAAGGCTGGTTGGTATACCGGCTGTCACTTTTGGTGTTGTGCTTCTTTGTGCATCCACCGGACAGAACGGCGCCGAGATGATGAAATCTTGTTCGCCTACGGTACCTTTGCCCAATTGGGTGAGTGATAAGGAAGCCTTTGCCTGGGGTCGTTGAGAAGCGCGTTCCGCAACTGCATCCAAAGCCATGCGCAACGGAGTGCTTTTTGGAGTGGTGTGCAGTCCCTCCATTTAGTAAGAGACATATTGCATGTCGAAATCCTCGCTTGCGCATCCTCCCGCGATTGTAAGAGGAATGTCAAAGAGTTCTTCCAGAAAGGCAAAGTCTGTGATTTCTTCTGTAGCGTCGGTAATATCTGTCATGTTCGATCCGGTACGCCTGTGGTGCTTCATTTCTGTACTGCGCTTCTGTTGCTTCAGTGATCGGGACTTGTCATCGTCGGGCTTGAGTTCCATATGACATTCTTCGGCCGGATCCACATCGTCAGAGAGCAAATCCTTCTTGCAAAGGCGGAAGGTTGCTCTGCAGGCCTGCCAAACGGCGGTTTTCTCTTCCATCGTCATGACTTCAGTGGACGGAGGGGCAAAGTTGTTGAAGAGGGTGAAGTGGCCCATGATGATGTTTGTGTTGTTGAGCTGTTGTTGTTGGTTTTGTTGATCTTCAGAGTTTATGTGGGCTTTCTTTTGGAATTTGTGAGCCCAGGTCAGCAGGTCAGGATGATTGAGTTGAAAAGGCCGAGCGAAACTCGGGAAACGCCGAGAGGTTCCAGCGGTACCCTTGGGAAACTGCACTGGGAAGCTTTGGGACTTCCTTGGGTTTCACTTGGCTTTGCCAAGTGCCAAGGCGGCTTCCGTGCTTCCGTGCAAAACAGGAACAACTAACTAGACTAACTTATTAACTTATTAACTTATAAAAAAGCTCCCAAACCTGCCCAAGGATTTCGGAGTTTACAACTTCTTGGTAAAAGTACACGGGCTTATGAAGAAACACGCACAGGCCAAGTTGAAGGTGCACTGTTCTCCTAAGTACTACTCAATGACAGAACCTTTCCGCGTCACTTCGCCGCAAGAAAGTGGTTTGGAGGAACCAGGAATCAGAAGGGAGTCTCCAAGACTCGCCGAGCGGAAGAGCGGAAAAAACGAAAGTGACAGTCACCAGTCAGCCTCCAAGATGATTCTGGAAAGCTTGATGGTGATGCTTGTCGATTGCGTGTAGACGGGTGCCCAATTGCTACTAGCTAGTACCCAAGCTGGAGTAGCTGGTTAGTGGCTAGCTAGAGGGCTGGCTAGCGCATTTACAAAGCCAGTCAAGGAGCCTAGATTGCTTTGGGTGGTTAGCATTCACCAGTCTACAGTTCAATAGTCTAGCTACTAGCACAAGGTGACTGTCGCTCCCACTCGGGCCAGAAAACGAGAGGTTGCAAAGGGAAGGCCACCAGTTTTCCAAGAATTTGTCTTGTCTGGGTAGCCTGGTTCTTGTTGGACGATTGAATGATTGATTCAGTCTTACACATCACATGGGCGGCATGATGGCAAACTCAGGAGCGAGGTCGCATCCTCTGTCTGTAACAATATACCACATCGCAACGTATCATCCATCATGCCATTGTTTTAATCTAGCTGGACAGCCAAGCCGCGGAAGGGTCACCTTTTACAATACATGTAGACTACTTGATCACTGCCTGCTGGAAACAAAACCGAACATGGAGCCTTCAGAAGTCAGACTACCGGTACCTGGTACTGGTAGACTACTACAGTACTAAGCTGAGGCAGTCTCTTTCGTAAAAGTTGCATGGCAGGTAGATGGGGCTTTGTACTGCAGGCTGAAGCGGCACTCTCGGCTGCCTCTTCATGCATTCATTCTCTGTCTAATTTTTAGGGGGGGTTAGGCACTCGGGAGGGGGGGCGGAGGAGGAAAAAGAGAGAGGAGGGGTAGGGTTCAGATTCCTGATTCCCACCCGGATCACCGGCAGGTCACACCAAAGTGAGTCAGCCATGTCATCTACTTATGACAAGAGGGGCGATGGCATGTCTTAGGGGCGGATTTATTAATGAAACGGCACTCGAAGTGTCAGCACACCCACTGCCCACAGTACTCCAATTGTCTACAGTATTTTCTTCTGAACCCGTTGTTTACTTTATTGTTTTTATTTGAATCTCCCAGCCCAAAATTCGATCACCCATTCAATGCATACCCATTCAATCGATAAACACAATTGGTTGCATGTGGCGGACGACCTCTACGTGTTGCCAACCAGCATCGAAATGGATGGCAGCATCCTGTTGTGGGAGGAGGAGGGAGATAGTAAGTTATTGGCATGATTGGATATTGCCAGTAGAAGCCCGCTTGTGGTTGTTGTTGTTGTTGTTGTTGTTGTTGTTGTTGTCGTGGAGCGATCGGTGCAAATTCTGTTGTTGTTGTCGTTGGGATGGGAGGTCGTGGTGCAACCGGTGCAGCTGCTGGCGCTGCTACTACCATCTCTACTAACTGTTGACTGTTATCTTCATCATCGCCATCTTCACTGTTTAGGTGTCCCTCTCTAATTGGAGAATTGTCGTTGACAGTTGGCACCGGAGGAGAATTCGAATTTAAATCCGGTGTTGCTGGTGTTGCCGGTAATGCTTGCCGCGATGGTGGATGAGCCATCGACTGACACTTTTGGCAGAGGCAATGACCCACTTCACTGTATTTCTGCCGGTGAGGTTTTACCATTTTCAAGAACGCCGCAAAGAACCTCTCACCATTATCTTTTGGCAGATTTTCGACTTTAGGAAATGGTGCTGGTAATCCATTAGCTTCGGCCATGAGGTTGACATATTTGAGCTCCGAATGGTTCCAATAGGGGACCACCTTCTCCCACCCAGAAGGTAAGTTTCTTAGCTGTGGGTCCAGCCCAATCAGGGAGCGCTTATGTCTAATGGTGAGGTTGTATCTTGCTGTGCCACAAAGGTTCAATGCATCGCAAAGGCCACTCCTCATTCCTCCATTGGCAAAATGTGCAAACCGATCATGGAAAGCCTCCAGCTTCGATTCCCCACGCTTTGATAGGTACTCTGTAAGTTGATGTTTGGAGGTTGGTGATGGGGGAATGGCATCATACATTTCCTCCAGTGGCAATGGATCAACTAAATGACGGGCCTTCTCTTTGCAGTTCTTGACAGCTGTTCTTGTGTCACTGGTAAAAAGGGGAAGCTTCTTGATTGGGTCCAGCCTTCCCCTTGCTGGCCTGGAATCATCTGATGAAGTCACCTTGTAACGACAGAACCAGTTGTCAAGCCGCTGGACCATCGTTTCGGGTTCTCGCATTGTCTTCCGAAGGTACCTTGCGTATCGTTTCCTGAAGAGTTTGGATGCTTGCAGGTCACTAATGTCTTGGGATGAATAGGACCTTCCAGTTGAGGAAAGAGAACCGTTTTTGAGTGCACCAATGAGCTTGGCATAATCACCATCATGCCAGTGGTAGAGGCAATCGAGGAGATCGGTGAGTGCATCTCCATAATCGATGTGTCCCTTCCTCATTGTACTGATGATTCTCTTTTCGAAATGAAACAGGCCTAATCTCCCTTCTAGTCCAGGAAACAGAGAGTGCCAATAAGTAGCTCCATTTGGCCAGGTATCGCTGTACATTGCCCTTGGAGAGAAGTCTGTTCGTATGGAGAGAAGCTTCGCTGCATGTGAGAAATGGATCGCTTTCGTTGAGGGAACTAGGATTGCTGAAGCGATTTCACCAGTTGATGTTGCACAATCCCACACTGCCACGGCTCCAAGACTTTTCTGGTAGTTCTTGACAACTTGGAAGGTATGGTCCTGACAGAAGATTCCCTCCTTGCAATGGACACTTTGGATCTCTCTGGTGTGGCGCTCATTATCACTGATACCCCACGGGTTGTTCTTGGAGTCTGCAGCCTCGGCAAACCAGTCGCGAATTGTGTCACCGAGTGGTGGAAACTGTTTGATGAAGACGCCATCTTTTGGAACGTACGCCTGTTTCTGTACTTCCTGTTGTCCCTTGAGTAGTGAGTAATAAGATGATACCCGCTGCATATAGTTCTGATTGATCGCATTGTACAGTAGCTTACAGCATAGTTCGCCATTACCATAGGTCAACATAATGGAACTGAACACTTGAGTAGCCGTCCTTGAAAGGTGACTATTCTTCTTGAGAGCATACTTCGGCTCTACTGGATAGAGGGATGCTGCGTGTGCCGGAATGGCAACAAGAACCTCCCCATCGTTTGCATTGAACCTTCTCTTACACACACCACATGTCATGGACTGGACAATACACCATGATGGGCTTCCTTCGAGGGAGTAGATTGGAAATAGAGTTTTGTTCTTTGAGAAATTGTGCCGGTCATTGCAGAGGTCACCGGAGCATGCCGCATCTGGGCAGGGTACATGAATTCCCAATCGTTTCCAGTCGACAAGCAAAAGCTTTTGCCCAACTATTGAGTGATAGTGAGGCGATAAAATGGCATTCGGTGAGTCTGGGACGATCATTGTGATGCCGTCGAAATAGAGTCCAAGTCGGCTCGGACGAATCACATTTTTTGACACTTCCTCTGCGAAAGCCACCATTGCCAGTGGCGCTCCTTTTGACTTGTGCGTTTCCACAAAGGATGCATCTAACACCATTTCATTGACTGCCTTGCAGAAATCCATCTTGGAATGTGTGGATTTGGACTTGGGTGATGCACTACCCAATGTGGGGCTGGACTTGCTTCTCTGGAGCGCAGGAGTTTTCATTTTGGGAGCAAAGAATTGTTGAATGCTTTCCTTTGTCAGGTGAGCACCACTGTACTTTTCGTGTGCTGCAATAGGAGCTTCGAAGTGTTTCTTGAGTCGGTTGTCTTCAGCTCTGCAAGCAAGTGTGTGTTCATGCAATTCGCCCGCTCCCTTTGTCTTCTTGTTTCGCGAACACTTCTTGTGATTTTCTCGCTTGGGCACTCGGCGACCCCAAAATCTTGCTCTGCAAACCTCACAGTCCTTTATAGCATCAAAAGCAACTTCTCCTGTGTCAATTGTGGGTTGGAATTGGTTTGTCGATGCTTTCTTCGCTTTTTTGTTGCCAGTATTGGCTGCTGCTAGAGCATATGTTCTCTTCTGAAGACTATTGCGCTGCTGACTTTGTCTCCCCATTTCTTCATTCGCAGGTAATGCATTGAGCTCCTGCTGCTCAGGATGGTTGGTTGTGGTGTTAGTAGTCATGTTCGATGACTTCTACTTGAGTTAATGGACTTGCTGTATGGTCGTGTGAGCGGCTCAAGCCGTCATTGTCGATTGCTTCTGACAAAGGAATTTCACTTGAACGAAAATATTGGCTCGAAAATACCAACTTGGTAGCACAGTGGTACGTACATGGTTCAACTTCGTGGCTAAGTATTTCGCTGTCTTACGTGTGTCTTACTTGAGTTAACGGTACTCCTCCACCAATCATACTCCTGCCTTCTTCCCCTGAAAATCTCTGCCGCTCCGTGGTCATCCAGCTCGATCGGTGCCAATGCCCGCTGCCGTTCGTGATCCCGCACTCTGCAACTGCCTACCGGTACATGTAACTATCTTCCTTCCCAATAGCCAGTGTCTGGTCCTGCCCAAGAGTACTCTTTCAGTCTATTTCCCTTTCGTCTACATTCAATGGTTACTAACAACTATTAGCTCAACTAGTAAGGGCGGCAGAACTGGCGCCTGGTTGCCTTTAGCTACTACTCGCGTAGTTTCTAGCTAGCTAGTTGCTGTTGCTGCTAGTTTTGACATTTCGTGTTGGGCAGGTAGTCCTTGATTGCCGATTTTAAATCATGCCCAAGAAGTCTGGGGGGAAAGGATCGCCTTCTATGCCGTTGGGCTAGGGTGCAATGGTGGGCAAATGCAAATGCGAATGCGGGTTCGCTCTTACCAGCGCTCCGGAAACAGGTCCACTTGTTCACTTCCATGCAGCCTGTACACTGTACACCCACCGCCAACTGGAAGAGGAGCGCGTCAATCGGCCAGCTTCACCACCATCTCTCGTCATTGCCCGGGGCATTGAAGAAGTGGCCAATCGGCCAGCTTCACCACCATCTCGGCTCTCACCTTGCCCGGGACATTCGTCCCGATTGGAACCTTCAAGTTCGCTGGAAGACTGAGTATAGTAAGTGTTGGTGATCTTTCAAAATGACTTCGCTCTTTGTTAGGCGAGGAGAACTTCAATTCATTAATTCAAGCGCCGCGTCTGAGAGAAGGAAATTATTTGCTTCGACGCAGCCACTTCACTTTTACCAATTGCTAGTTGTTCCGGTACCTATTGGATGTATGCATTGTTGTGCAAAATGCCTCCGCAACTCTCCTCGCGTCACCGGACCTATTGACGCCTCCAAACTCATGCTCAGGCCTCAGCAGGCTAACCTCGCCAGAACCTGTGTCGCCTCTCCTCCCTTTTTTCGTTTTGGCCACAAGCTATCCATCGTACCAGGTACGGACCGGTACCTTCGTGAGATGCTGACGGATGCTGTGTGGTTAGCTGAAGCTACAGATTTCTTCCGCGGGAGTGACTGATGTCTCTCATGAGTGGTTTCACGGGACTCTTCGAATCACTTTTGACGTCACATTCTGCATCCAGCCAGCCGAACCTCTTCTTGACACAGGAAATCTTGCTTGCCGTTCCGTTCAAATTTTCGTTGCGACAATGCTTTCCTTCGGAAACGCACTCTACTAGCTATATAGTCCCCTCTAACCCATACTTATGTCTCCCATTGACTCTCGTCCCGAAGCAACAGCAAAGAGCAACAGCACCACACGTCAGTGAGCCAAAAACGACAAAGTGTTCCGCTCGTTCACGGTGTGCCGTCCTTCAAGATGCCTCGATCGAGGAAAAAGAAAACCCAGTCGTCGGCATCCTCCTCCACCCCTTCGGAGAATGGTGCGAACCGCAAACGTCAAGGATGCACGGTCCAGGTCCTGTACTGTATCCTTGCTTTGAATGTCTGGATCTCCGCCAAGACGGGTGATTTCAGTCAATTTAAGAGGAAGTTGGGGACCATTCGATGGAAACAAGAGCCTGCACCTCAACAAGTGGTAACCAACTTTGACAAGCCTTCGGATTTGCTTGGGTCCAATGCAACCGTCCAGCTGCCACCGCCAATCGTAGGAGTCCATCGTCCTGATCGGGATGCTGTCTTTGCCGTGGCACTGGGGTATACCGTGCAGCACTTGGCACGGTTTGTGGGGTCCTTGGTGGAAACGGGATACACCGGTGACATTGTCTTGGGAGTTCTGCCAGAGGAACACTTGGATCCGACTGTCCGAGATTTCTTGTCCTGTCACAGTGGTGTCAACAACAACAATGAGGGGGCCCATGTGATTGCCTATGGCATGGATATTGTCTGCCGAAAGTTCGGACGACGCACCCGGTGTCAGGCACCTCGTCTATACGCTGACTCGACTACGGGAGACTATATTCCCGATGATCGATTACCCCGCGAGATTGCCCAACTTCGCTTTGAATATTACTGGGCGTGGTTATTGCAATATAGTAGTAAGAGTCGCATCTTTGTGGCCGATGGAAGAGATGTTTACTTTCAACGCAATCCCTTTGAACTGATACCATCCGACATGGACACTACCCTGTATGTTTTTGAGGAATACTCGCATCCACCCCTGCGTCATCAAAACTCCAATCGCCTCTGGATTCGGGCTACTCGGGGCATGGATGTTCTCAACCAGATTGGTGACAAGACAGTGCTGTGTTCAGGCACTACCGTGGGAGGGTACTCGGCCATGGAATCCTATTTCCGAGCCATGGTCCAATCCTTTGATGAGACGCAATGCCTCATTCTAGGGTGTGACCAAGGTCATATGAATTATCTGGTTCACACTGGCCGGCTGCTGCAGAACTCCACGCAAATCCAGCACATTGAATACGGCAAACAGGGATCGTCACTGGTCAATACACTGGGACTCTATGCCAATGAACACAAGCCACTCCGGGCGTATGGAGTGCTGGATAATACTACAAATCAAGTTCTAAACTTTGATGGCAGTGTTTCCCCTGTGGTGCACCAATTCGATCGTGAGGAGGAGCTGAAAGTCATCATGGAACAAAGGGCCGAAGAGCTATTCCAAAAATGGAATGAATCCTTCCATTCTTCCGCCTAGTTAGCAACGCCACAAGTATCTTGGACCAACCCAAGAGCTACCCAGACTTTGTGGAAGGAGGTCTTGCACTGGTACAGCCAACCTCATTTAGTTCGCTTCGGATTGGGATGTTTGCTCCGAGGTGGCTGGGAGCAGCATGAAAGCGAGAAACAGGAGTGGACGGAAGGCCGCAGGAAACTGATTGGTTGCCGTGATTATCTTTGACATTTCTGTTGTTGCAAGAAACAGCACGATGGCTTCATCTATCAACCTAGACACATATGTTGACTCGGTCGGGTTTGGTGGGATGGCATTTTTGACTAGTGATTTCACCATTTGAGGTTGTGAATGCAGAATTGGATTTTCTAGTTCCTGGCTCGAATAGGTCAACTCCTAATTCTAAAGTTCTCAGCCGAATGCACCCCCAACAGCCCAATCAGGACCTTAGAACAATGCTAGAGTACCAGCTTTTGGCAACCTGGCCCTAGGAGCTCTCTATTGATTGCAAAGCTGTGAAAAGGGAGCAGTCAGCAGCGGTTTGGGTTGGATGGAAGCTTTAAGCCCGTCAAGCTGTTTGTTGCAGAACCTTTTTCTCCTCGCCCCTCCCCCAAACCCACAACCACAATACGTAGTCCCCTCTTACCCGGTACCGGTACCTATACTACGGATTCGGGAAGAACTGTCCTTTTCCAGGACCGGAAGCGGATTTGCCACCCTCCCAAGCCAATTTCACCAGACCGGAAGGCGATTTTCCTTGAGCTTTACTTAAGGAAAATACCCTGTTTAAGGATAGAGTCAGCAGAGAAAGATCACAGGCGATTTTGACCAGGAGTTCGGATTACGGCTCTCGTAGAAACCTACACAACCTATGTACTGGGAAGGAAAATCTCCTTCCGAGGGTGGGAAATCCGCTTCCGAGCATGGAAAAGGACAGTTCTTCCCGAATCCGTAGTACTGGTACCATAGAAACCTCTTCTTCTCGGCAGTCGTCGGCGGTACGGAAGAGGATGGGAGGATGGCATCAACAGATCGCTTTGAGATACCCTACTTTGCTCGAAATGGCACCACCCTCTCTCCAGAGCAAAGAGCATCACTCGCACATCGATTGGGCCGTTGCTTATTCTGTGGGAGAAGGACGCATAAAATCCGTTTGCTCCATCGACGGCCGATTACCACGAGAGACGTGTACCAAGGCCACTGTATCGAATGTGATCCACGAAACGTGCCAAGACAAATTCGGGCTGAGTGGGAAGCCCAAAATTCTCAACCTATTAGGAGAGTGTCCGTGGATAGAATGGATAGTAGTCAACAAGCTCCCGTTGACGACGATGACAATCCAGTATCAGAACCCATTCAGCCGCCCCCATTGGTAGTTCGAATTTCCACTCACCCACATGCTCTGGTGGTGTCTGACCCAGCAATAGTTCATTCCAGTTATGGTGGGCAATGGTTTTGCGATGACTGTCCTGGTCCCAGATCCACACGGACCGGCTCGGGCTCACACTCCCGAATGTGGCACTGCCATGAGGGTTGTGACTATGACGTATGTGATGCGTGCATTGCCAATCATTCCTGTACAAATTTGCAGCACCCGCATGCTATGATCCCATCAGACCCTGCAATTGTACACAACATGTTTGGTGGATATTGGTTTTGCAACAGCTGCCAGCCAGATGGATTCAATGGTGTCTCTCCACCCGAACCCATGTGGCGTTGCATGCAAGGATGCGATTTTGACTTGTGTGCCAACTGCATAAGATCAGTATCAGAACCCGCACAGCCACCACCTTTGGTAGCACAATTACCCACTCATCCACATGCCCTGGTGGTGTCAGACCCAGCAGTGGTTCATTCTAGACATAGCGGGCGTTGGTTCTGCGATGGCTGTCCTGGTCCACGTACTGCTTTGGACACGCAATCTCGAATGTGGCACTGCCGTGACGGTTGTGACTATAATTTGTGTGATACCTGCATTTGCAACCATTCACATCGTCGTTCACTGCACCCACATGCCATGATCCCATCAGACCCTGCCATTGTGCACAACATGTTTGGCGGAGACTGGTATTGCAATGGCTGTGAGGCGGGTGGTGCCTCTCCTCCCGATCCCATGTGGAGGTGCATGCAAGGATGCAATTTTGACTTGTGTGCCAATTGCATAGCAAGGGAACCAGACAATGCCTCTGGAAATCCAAATCAAGAAAGGGCACAATCTACAATGGTATCGTCTCCATGCAACAACAGTGCAGAGACGACCACAACAGCGAGCTCTTGTGTTGTTTGTATCTGTGCACCAGCTGTCATTGCTTTTATCCCTTGTGGCCACCTTGCAGTGTGCCAAGATTGTTGCAACCAAATGGCACCTGCCAACAATAATTTTGGTATTGGTATCGCCTGCCCAATCTGTCGCAGGATATCCACCTCCACGCAGCGAATCTTCATTTCGTGAACAATAGAATTGCCAGATTGTTACAAGATGGGGCTGGCTCCAAAAGGAGATAAACTGAGAATATGAGAGCCAATTTCTAGCAGCTTTATCTACTATTGCATTTGAGTATCGTAGTCTGTTTGCTCGTTGGTTAGACAGAGAAATCATGGTGTCCAACGCAGAGACCTGTGGCCAAAATTCCAAAGACTAGGAACGGTTGAGCGGATGCTTGGTACTTGACATCATTCTCAACGGGGTCTGGCAACAAGAGAGTTGCTTGAAAGTACATTTGTGGCAAGATTAGAGCCATGAGGATTCCTGCGTACAAGGATTCGCCGAGCGAATACAAGTAGGCAGCAACGCCAAGTTGGGTCAATGTGACGGATCCGGCACAGATCCACTTGGCCTTGTCGATGCCAAAGGCCACGGGAAGAGATTGCAATCCCATTTCTCGGTCTCCCTCGATGGACTTGAAGTCATTTACAATAGCAATTCCCAATCCAGCAATCGAGTAGAGAATGGGACTGGATTTTGGTTCGCATGACCGAAACGAAAAGTGCAAAGGTGACAAGTAGACGAAGAAAAGTGAGCAGACAAATATATGCCCCATAGAACTTGAGACTTCACACAGATCCCAACCCCTCCATGTTCTTCCTCTTCATTGAATGGTACCGGTACCCTCATGCAACGGCAAACTGAATATCTCAATGATCGAACAAACGAGGGAACTTACAGAATGAAATAGACTGGTCTATCCAGTTCTCCAAAGACAGCTTGTCCACACCACCATGGCAAGGAAATGTAGGAAGCTCCCAGGGCGTAGTTTCCAGCCCATCCATTTTGCTTCAACTTGAGAGGAGGTGCTGAGTAGATGTAAGAGATGAAAGATCCAAAAATGGAAAGCAACAGAACCGTGGGAACATCATGTCCTGCCCAGACATCGAGTCCATAGGCGATACCCAATCCTCCCAACAAGAGGACCCAAATTTGCGCAATGACTTCCCCTTCGGAAATAGCACCCGAGGGGATGGGTCGGTAGGGTTCATTGATGGCATCAATTTCACGATCGTACCAATCATTAATGGTTTGGGTGTATCCCGTCAAAAAGGGACCGGCTAGAATCATGGCGACAAATCCCTTGGCAGCATCCTCCAGTCCAAGCAAGACATCGCGATCGTTGGGGTCAAAGGGATTCCACATCCAATGATAATTGCCCGACGCTGCGGCGCCACACATGACACCCCACACCAAGGGGATCCACGTGACTGGCTTGGTCAACTGCAGACGAATTTTCCAAATATCGTCCGTTTCCGAGGCACCCTTGACACCCAATAGCTGTCGCACCCCGGCACTGCCATCGGCGGCTTCTGCATTGATGGGCTTTTGATTATCTTTGGCTGCCGATTGTTCCAATGCAGTAGTGGATGGAAATGGATAAAAGGATTGCTGTTGGTTGTTGGGTAGCATTCCCAAGGCAGAGGTAGGACGAACTACTGTGGCGGCAGGGGAAAAGGCGCTAACCGCCGAGATGGCGGTGATGGCTACGGCTAATTTCATCATGGTCGCTATCTAGCTAGGATAATGCAATCAACAGAAGAGTGATCTTGCTGTCCTGCATGCTGCTGCTATTGGATGGTTGGATCCAGGTGGAGGAGGGGCATTCTTTGCCATCAACAGGAAAACACGTACCCATGGAAGCAAACTTCAAGGAATCTATCCTGACAAAAACATTAGGGTTACCAGTAGGGATTATCATCCGAGTAATGTAGTTGAAGTTCTGTATTCCAGAAGCGTGGCGATGTGTGGTTTTGCTTTCATTCTGTCACAACGCCGCCGCGCTCCGTAAACACATCAGACGCTTGGACCGAACCACCGAGCTGACACAAGGGTAAACTGCTGACTGCTGTGGCTAAAGAGAAGAGCAACCTGACATACGAATTAGAAGTTGCCTGTCGAAATGATCCGATGCTGCGGAAACAAACCTGGCCCAATGCCAAGCCAACTTTTTTGCCCTACTTCAGTGCACAGCCTAGCCACCTGCAACAACAACACCGGACCCATCCCTAGTTCAATGAATTGACCAATGCCTGGATAAACGGGGCCTACACTAGACCTAACTCCAGGACAGAGATATGCTGCCCTACTCCATTCCAACAGCTGGAAATGCCAGCAACAGGCAGCATCTGGACCCATAACAAACATTATTTGTGTAGTCCAAAACCAGGAGCTCCACCGAGCACAGCGTCTGGACCTACACCTGGCGCATGTCTGGAAACAACCAGAATGCACCCTTCTGGACCTGTGCACGGCCCAACTCAACCTGAAGCACCAATACACCAGCTGCATCTCCCGATAATGGTAGCAGCGCCAACCAAAGTCTACCGTGCAGCCAGCTGCAGAGGTACATGGACCGGTACTGGTTGCCAAAATGATGCCACCGGACGTTGAAGGGTTCACCTCAAATCGATGCGAAGCCCACCTTTGCACTCCGCACCTCTCGCACTTGTAGTACCGGTGGCGGTGGCATCTTGTCGTTAAATATTTTGTCTTCAACCCACAGCCACAGTACTTGTAAAACATGAATACTTACTGGAGTTGATTAACATCATAGATAAATCCTTTTTGTCTTCTGAGGGTCTCAAATTCTCCATGCTGATAAATCCTACTGGAGCAAGTGCATTCTCCCACTCTGTCTCGAGGACAGCGCTTACCGGTATGTACCGGTACCTGGTACCTGGTAACTGGTAGACTGGGAGCTGCGGCGTTGATAAATAAGTTTGAGTGATAATTCTAAGTAGATCTAAGTTGATTCCGAGAAAGCCAGAAAGTGGGCATAAATGTAAAGGTTTACATCAATGTGTAATTGAACCTGGCCACGTCATTGTTGTGACTTCTGTACCAGGTACATATTATGCATACGAGTGGGTGGGCTTTCCGATCCGTCCGTCCGCTTGCAGCCTCCTGGTTGTTGATGTCGGTGGCTGTATTGTGTTATCACAGCAAAAACCCTACTCTGCCGACATTAATACACGCCGTGAAGAAGACAGCTCAAAAGCCGAGTGTTCAGAGATACCAGATTCGATTCTCCGAAGTCGCCGAAAGCCACTTGTGAAATCTTTGTTTGCAGATAGCTGAAGTCAAGCCAAGATGGACACCAAGAAGGACCACGGTCCTCCTGCTGTTGTGATGCTCAATGATGAAAGCGAGGGTAGTCGGGGGCAGTTGCGGGAACGGATCAATTGCCGGGCGGCCATGCTGCAAAGGGCAGCCAGTCAGCAGAGCTTGGCGAGTGTTGGCATGGACCAATCGAGCCTCCAGCGACGACGCAGCAGTTTTCTGACAGCTGGGAGCAGTCAGCAGCGGCTCATGTTCCATGGGAGCCATCGGTCGAGTATGAGTTATCTTCGCAGCTCGGTTGTCTCCATCAAGTCGGCGGTAGCACAGCTCATTGAAGAAGACGAGATCGACGAAGAAGCGGCCGACTTTGCCTTGGATGCAGGAGCCTCGTCTTCGGAAGAGGAATGTACGAAGAGCTTTTGTGGTGATGAACCCCATCATCGTCTCGACGAGGATGGTGACGACGATTACTTTGATGAGACAGCAACCACCGGTCCTTGTAGTCGAACCACCAGTTCTCAGATGCAACTGGAAGAGATATTGGCCGAAAAGACAAGTACGGGCTTCCGATCAATAAACTCGGAACCATCCATTGCGTCGTTGGCGTCGCTCTCTCAGGCATCGTCGAGAGGATCGTCGTGGTCTCTGGCAGCGGGCCTGAACAATAGTGGACACAACAAAACCAATGGGCTCGGCACCACTAGTGGGCACTCACAGCCGCGAATCAGCTTGGGTCAGCCCTCGCAACGCTTCAGCATGGACGCATCCTTGGGAGCCACATCGAGTCGTCACAGCCGGTTCATCAAACCCGAATCGTCCAAGTTGAGGGCATTGCGAGCCTTGGCAGACGACCAGGAAACCGTAACGTCCTTGTCCGCCAAATGGAGCAAGCTTGGACTGTTTGGGCGCAATGATCACGTGAAGCAGTTGCAGGCATGCCTTTCGCAATGGGAGAGCGCCAACACCATAAAAGACAACAATCAGCAACCAGACCAGAGACGTAACAGTCAGGTCAACAACAATGACGACAACAAGAGACTTCGACGCAATCTTGTGTGGTTGTCCGGGGCCTCGGGGACTGGCAAGTCATCGCTGGCAGATCATGCCCTGTCGACTGAGACTGCCAAACATCGCCAGGGCGGATTGTACGTCAAGGGCAAGTTTGACTCTCAAAGCCGCAACAGCGAACGTCCCTTTGTGGGCTTTGCGGCTGCCTGTGATGACTTGTGCGTCCAGCTATTGGCGTCCAAGAGTCAGCAACACGAACGATATGCCAAATTGCAAGAATCGCTGCAGCAAGACATGAGCAAGGACGAAGCCGTCTCGTTGTTGCGGCTGATTCCCGGACTGGGGCCCATTCTGGAAGCTTTGGTGCCAAAGCGGGAGTATCAGAATCTGGTTTCGAAAAGTGTCACCAAGGGCAGCTTGCGGTACTCCACGATCGGTCGCTACAGCACCAACAGTCAAGATGGAGCACCTGACATGATGGAAGCCGAGCAGACACCGCAGGAAGCGCAACATCAGTTTCATTTTGTTTTCAGGCATTTCATTCGGCTCGTGTCAGATGTGTTCCCGCTCGTGTTGGTACTTGATGACCTGTATGTAAAGTGAAAGTCGTTGTGGCCGACGGACAGGCACGCATGGAACAATGATTGTGGCAATTATGCTCATCAAAGTCTTTCTCTTTCTTCAAAATGCAGGCAATGGGCTGACTCAGGGTCGCTTGAACTGTTGGAGGTGCTCATCCTGGACGAGGCCATTACCAAGTTGATTCTGGTGGGATGCTATCGCGACGATGAAGTGGGTCATAAACATGCCCTGGCGCGGCTGCAACGAGAGGCCAATTCGATGGCTGACGAATGGGGTCTTCGAGTGGAGGATATCAAGGTGGGCAATTTGTCCGTGGACGACCTGAATCTACTCATGGCAGATCTGCTGGATTTGGAACCCACGCAGACAAAGCCGCTGACGGAAACATGTCACAAAAAGACAGGTAAGCATGGTTGGCGACAGCTTGATGGCACACTGACATAATGTACAGCGCAACCTAACTTAAGTGGGCTCATGTGCTTTCTACCATACCACAGGCGGAAACCCCTTCTACTTTAGTCGATTTGTGACGATGTTATGGAAGGAAAAGCACTTGCAGTACGACCTACTTGCGTACAAATGGACTTGGAATGATGAAGACATTGCAAACTGCAGTGGCGCGACAGAAAACGTTGTCAACTTTTTGAGGAACCGGCTTGTAGAGTTGCCTCACAACACACAACAACTACTTCTCTTTGCATCTTGCTTGGGTGCTGAGTTTGATGAGAAGATGATATCCTTGGTCATGGACGACTTCTATCCCGGTGCGGGCTATCAGGATGACTTGAAGTGTTGCATAGAAGAAGGAGTACTGGAAAAATGCACAGTTAGCAACAAGTACCGATGGTGCCATGACAAGTTAATAGAAGCGGCACAAACACTGTTGGAGGAAGAAGATTTAGTCAAGCTCAAGTTTTGTTTGGGGGCTGTTATGCTGAAATCACTGGGTGAGCAGAGACTCGAGGACAACCTCTTTGTTGTCACGAATCTTTTGAATGAAGCACCTTCGCTGGCAGAGATGCCCAACAGACTGGCGGATCTGAATCTTAGGGCTGCAGCAAAGGCCGCGTCACTGTCTGCTTTCGACGCGGCAGCAGACTATTGCAATGCTGGCATTGAACTACTGCGCTCAGAGTACAAGTGGAACCCTAACCAGTTCTATCTTACACTGCAGTTACATTCGACGGCTGCCGAAATGCATGCCATTCTTGGAGATTTCAACGAGATGGAAAAACACTGCTATGAAGTCCTAAACCGTCAAGATGTTGATGTTCTAGACAAGGTTCGCCTGCATGAGATTCTGATGGACAGCATATGCTACCGCGATCGAGTTTCCGAAGCTCGGGAAATGTGCCGATGCATACTGAAACAGCTGGGAGTTCCATTCCCGAAGAGCGCCATAGCTATCATCCCCCAAGTACTGTTCGGCCTGATCAAAGCGAAGACAAAGTCCGAGAAGAGGTGCAAGGAGATAAGTAACCTCCAATTCGTGCAGGGTGGAAAACACAAGGCAGTGACGAGGTTGATGATCAAGCTTTGCAAATACTCGCTCATGACGAATTCGCTGTTGTTGCCTTTGGGCACACTGAGGGGAGACGCGTATTCTCGAAAGAATGGTTTGACAATTGACACCCCAGTGAATACTGCCTGTTTGGGGATGATGATTGCTGCCTTCGTGGGCGACATCCAGACTGGATCAAAGTATGCATTACTGGCCCTTGACCTAGTTGATCGATTGCCTACGAATCACATCCTTGCTGAGGTGTCCTTCCTGAGCTATGGTACGTACATCAAATACAAGGAAAACTACCGCTGGAGGAATCGTATTGACTGACTTCGTGCTGTACGATCTTGTCACAGGTTTTGTTTTGCACCACACCAAACCTGTGCACGAGCTGTTGAAGCCCTTGCTTAGAGGCTATGACTTGGCTCTGCAAACTGGAAACACAGAACATGCATGCTACAATATCTACTTCTACCTTCTCCTTGCTCTTCGCTCTGGCAAGAATCTCCATGCAATACAAACAGACCTTCGAGCGTACACAAAGCAAATTGATCAAATGCAGATTGACAAGCCGTTGGTTTTCTCCAAGATGCTCTGGCAAATGACCATGAATCTAATGTACGTCCCGGTTAGCAGGGGTTGCGAATCGACGACCTTGAGTCAACTCTCACTGTGTTCTCTTTTGTGATCAGGGGCTTCGCTGGCACTAAACCATTAACATTGACCGGAGAGGCTATGGATGAGACAAGCTTTCTACAGTCACATTCTGACGATGCCTACTACTACACCCAGTTCCAAGCCCACCAAAATCACCTCTATGCAGTCTTCGGGGAGCATCAGTTGGGTGCCAAGCTTGCCCTATCCAAAGACGACATCCTCCCAGCAAACCCTGGTACTCCGTATGTGGTGATGGACACCTTCTACTGTGCCGTTTCTCTGTTTGCCATGGCCAGAAAAACCAAGCGAAGGAAGTATGTTGCACGGGCGAAAAAGTTGAAGTCGAAGATCGATGGCTGGGCCAAAGATGGGGACCCCAACGTCGTTCACTTTCACATGTTCCTGGAAGCCGAATCCTCTGCATTGAAAGGAAAACCGAAAGAGGCTGCCACGCGGTACGAAGCTGCGATTGTAACGTCATCCAGACATGGTTTCATTCAAGATGCCGCCATGGCCAACGAACGGCTGGGTGAGATGCTTGAGACGGAGCTCAAGGACGAGTCGTCCGCTGCATTTCGTTTCCAGGAAGCGATCAGACTGTATGGCGAATGGGGAGCCCAGCGTAAGGTCATGGTAACAAGGGAACAGAAAGCTCACTTGTTGAATCAGCTGTCAACATTGAACGATCACCCGAACCACATCATTCTTGTCCATCAGGAATCTTCCAAGTCTGTTGGAACAACATAATTCGTAACGCCTACAGAAGCTAGCAATCTACATGTTCTGCCGGTGCCGCTACAGCCGTGTAGTTTCTGGTATCTAATGCTAGCTAGAGAACATGCACCGTACAATGAATGTCGTCTCTTCGTGGGAGGTTCCGAGCAGCCCGACAATATACTGATACCGGTACCGTTACATCGTACATGCACAGCAGGCTGATTGTGGCCAACCGGTGCGTGCTTGTAGACTTGCCTCACCTCACAACACACAACAACTACTGCTCTTTGCATCTTGCTTAGGTGCTGAGTTGGACAAGAAGACGATATCCTTGGCCTGGACGACTTCTATCCTGGTGCGGGCTATCGGTACAGCTTGAAGTGTTGCATGGAAGAAGGAGTACTGGAAAAATGCACAGTTAGCAACAAGTACCGCTGGTGCCATGACAAGTTAATAGAAGCGGCACAAACACTGTTGGAGGAAGAAGATTTAGTCAAGCTCAAGTTTTGCTTGGGGGCTGTTATGCTGAAATCACTGGGTGAGCCGAGACTTGAGGACAACATCTTTGTTGTCACAAATCTTTTGCATGAAGCACCTGCTTTCGACGCGGCAGCAGACCATTGCAATGCTGGCATTGAACTACTGCGCTCAGAGGACAAGTGGAACCCTAACCAGTTCTATCTTACACTGCAGTTACATTCGACGGTTGCCGAAATGCATGCTATTACACGATGGAAAAACACTGCTATGAAGTCCTACACCGTCAAGATGTTGATGTTCTAGACAAGGTTCGCCTGCATGAGATTCTGATGGACTTCATATGCTACTGTGATCGCGTTTCCGAAGCCCGGGAAATGTGCGGATGCATACTGAAACAGCTGGGAGTTCCATTCCCGAAGAGCGCCATAGCTATCATCCCCCAAGTACTGTTCGGCCTGATCAAAGGGAAGACAAAGTTGGAGAAGAGATGCAAGGAGATAAGTAACCTCCAATTTGTGCAGGGCTGAAAACACAATCCTCAAAAAGATATTTCTGTAGAAAGGCTTTTTAATTATTATAAAAGAGCCCTTGTCTTGTAATCCTGGAATCGAATCGAATCCCAGCTTCGCCTTCTTCGGCCTTCGTCCCTGCAGCTGCCGGCTCTGCCCTCTGCCCTCATGTCAAAAGTCAAAAGTTGCTCAGGAGGGAAAGCGGCGACCATGAGCAACTGATTCTGTACGCGAGCAACCTTCTACCGTACACCGAGGCAGGTACTGGCTTAGCCCCCCTCGCTCCTTAACGTATCTATTTTGTATTTGTTTTTCCGGTAGAGGCAGATAGAGCCCCGTGGCGTCCATTGTTTGGACTTTGTTATCGTTGATTGGCTTCAACAATGGCGCCAATGCCAGCTTTGACAGCCGCTGAGCGGTTGGATGCGATTGACGACTTCTCGTCCCAATTTCAGCACCATTTGATGAATGTACGAGGGGTTGCTTTGACGGCGTCTCTTCGTTTGGCAATAGTCAATTATGCACGTGAAGCTATCTTTTGCAGCGAGTGCTCTGACCAGTTGCCACAAAGCGCCTGTCTAAAACCGGGCACGAATTTCTTTGCTATGATTGCCAAGATAGAGCACAACAAAAACGCGTCAGCCGACACAGAGATTCCCGACACCACAGCAAAGATCCTTCGCGCCATTGTGCACAGTATTGTGAATCACCAGGGACGGCTGGATGCCACTTGGTATGACAATGTCATCCACTCGATTCTGGAGACCAAGGGAATCTTGCCCCAGGAAACAGACGAGGAGGAAGAAGAGAGCAACTCCCAACAGCGACAATATTTGGCATACGCCGCATTTGCGGAGATTTTGATTCTGACATGCATGTCTCATTGCCTTCATGTGGCCTTCTTGGTGCTGGGTCGCCCGCTTCCTGCGCTTCCCTCGCAATCAGAGCTGAAAGACGGGCTCTCCGCCAAGCAAGGGCCCACATTGTTGGATTGGACCAGCCTCTTGAAAAGAGCTCCACGTCGCAATCCCAAAATCTGCTTCACGCCTTTTGTTTATTCAGGGGATTTCAACAAGAGAAGCCCAGATTTTCGGCAGATATCCAAAGAAGCGTGGCACACAATGCAAGGCATGATGGACCGCACAGCTCCTGAGCTTCCTTTAGGTTTTGCCGTCGAAGACACCGTCTTCATGGGCCAAATGGGGGAACTCTTTGCAGTTCCAGACAAAGTAGGAAACTCTTGATCTTGTCACAACTCACCTTTGCTTTTACGATGTTTTGCTCACACCATGACGTCTTCTTTGTACTCGCAGGACTTTATGGCCTTGTACAACACCGAGTTGGACCCTGCTCTTCGTTGTGCAGATGACTTTACTCGATACGATACAGGCAAGTGCAGGAACTTATGTGTCCCGCCCTTCAAGGTACCGTCACAATGGAACATGCCTGTCGCTCACATATCACTTTTGCTTGAATGTGCCAGAATTCATCTCTACCAAAGTGGCAGAGGCCTACAACTGCCGCTTCTGACAAGAATCCCACAGCGCCTTTCGGGACATGATGAAGCCTGCCCCGGAAGACGTTATCCCGGGCCGCGAGGAAGCATTGCAAGGCTTGGTGGCCGCTGTGACTTGTCGTCCCGTCGACCTGGCCACCGTGTCCAAAGCACGGGATGTGGTTCTCCAGGATCAAGGAGAAGGCACTCTTGTTGAAGCGGCTGTCGTGTTGGGATTAACGGATGCGGTGACCAAGGTCACAGATGCCACAGGAAAACAACCACTGGCAGGCCTTTTGTGGACCTTTCTCAAGTTTGTCTTTGCTATTTTGCGGTACCTTTACGAGAAATGGATGTGATTATTTGGGTCCTCCTGCGACTAGACGAGCACTGATGCCCAGTGCTCGTGGAAGAGGGAGTGACCAGTGTTCGTAATGGTACAGAGAGTAGACTCACTATTGGAAGAGCGACCAGCCAGATGCAGTCGTTGTATGCTGAGAATGACAACCAGAGGAATCCTGCGCAAGTTGCGTGGTGATTTCTTTCGGTTTGACATCAGGATACCACTACAGTAGCTAGCCTATCTATCTAACTGGTAGCTGGAATATTTGTTGTAGCTTTTCTCATGATGTGGAGACGAGTACGAAACTGGTATTTACTCTGCTCTGTGGTACAGTAACAAAAGATCAGCGCCGAGGCGCAGTTGAAGAGCAAGGATTGGGGGCGGGCACCTGTCACAACAGTGCCGGTACCGGTGCCCATACCGAGTACCGGTGCATCTTGTTGGTGTCAATTTTATTCGTGTTTAGCTTCGTCACTGTTCAGCGGCATGCTCCAGCTTTCCCGGAGCTTCGACAAAGAAAAGAAGACCATGGTCGTCATCGCAACATCGCTGCTCCCTCTATCGAATCAACTTATCTGCTTGTGTCCTTGACTTTGCCATAAATTGGTTGGAAGAAGCTTCAAAAGGCGCAACTTTAAAAGATGGCGCCTCGGAAATCCATCTCAGTTTCCGACCGCATTGGAGCACTTGAAGAGTGCGCCATCAAGTTCAAAGATCACCTCATTGATACCTCAGGTGTCGCTCTAACAGCAATTCTTCGCTTGGCGGTGGCTCAGTGTGCCCGTGATGCTGTGTACTGCAAGGAATGTGCCAAGGAACTGCCCCGCGACGCCTGCCTTAGGCCTGGAACCAAGATCTATGGCAAGGTTGCTGCCATTCACCACTCGGTTCCCCGTCTTGAAGGAGTATCTGATCAGGCAGAACAGGTAATCGTGACCATTGTTCACACCATGGTGAATCACCAAGGACGCATGGACAAGGATTGGTATGACGACAGCCTGGAGGCTATTTCGAAGGTTGGGCTTGTACCCGAGTCGGTACAACAACAGGAAAAGCGCCATTGCTTGGTTATTTCAGCCTTTGCTGAAATCATGTGTATTGCAACAATGTCCCATGGAATCAACATGGCCTTCTTGACCATGGGCCGTCCCGTGCCTCGCCTTCCATCCCAAGACGAAATCCTTGGCGGAACGGCCCATGGACAGGGGCCACTGCTGTTGGACTGGTCCACCATATTGAAGAAAGCACCCACGCAGGATCTATCGGTGGCGTTCGCCTATCACTTCAAACAAGGCGACATTGACAAGAAAAGTAAAGACTACCTGCGCATCTCGGAAAAAGCTCGACGGGATATGAAAGTTTATGGAGACCCGCTCCACCCTTCCATTTGCTTGGTGTTCGCAGCTGAAGACATTTGGATGCTGCATCATATGGAGAGCATCTACTACATCCCCGAGAAGGTAAGAGAAGAACGTGCAACTTGTGAGACTAGAACCTTGCCCGCGAGCAGACAAGAATTGGAGAATGCATCGGTATCGAGCTCACCCACTCGACTCCTCTTTGATTCTCTGTATTCAAGGATATGATGGCACTCTTCAGGACACGTTTAGATCCCACGGTTCGGTGTGCCAACGAATTCAGCAGGTTTGACGTGGAGTTTGTGGCGCACGAAGTGGCCGCCAACAACAACTGCGGCTACTGACAGTCGAGCCATGGCCTGTTCATGCAGATCACATCCCCAAGAAGAGACGTCACGAACGAAAAGAGATATGTAGCCTTGAAAGAGCTGATCAAGGCGGCAGCCATTCGTCCAATCGACGCAGCAGCCATCGAGACAGCCCGCAAAGCTGTGCTTGAGCAGGAAGGAGAAGGAACATTGGTGGAAACATCGGCTCTGGTTGGTTCCTTTGAAGTATTCACGAAGCAAACACAAGGAACTGGGAGACCCCCACTTCCAAAAGCAATGGGCAATGTCCTGCGATTGGTTTTTACAATCATTCGCTTCATCTATGAGCTAGTCTTTCGTGCCTAGCTTGGCAGTATCTAGATCGGTCAGGGTTTGTGGATCTCTTCTGAATGACAGCGTCTTGCAGAAGCACCAATCTGAAAGATGCTTGACAGAGAGGTTCCATTTCGAAAGTAGCAGAGCCATAAGCCATGTGCTTTCTAGTATGCAGTATTTTCCTATATTTATGTCATAGCTATCATGGTTCGAGAGTACCGGTGTCATACTGCACAGCCTCAGATGGGGTTGGGAGCTCACAGGGGTCGGAATGGCCAGCAAGCAGAGACATGGTGCAATTAATACCCGGAAACAAAATGCAACTATCAATCATCTTCCAGGACCATTTCTGGCATTGTGAATGCTGAAACGAACACGACAGGTGCAATTCGCTTGTTTATTGTTATGTGCTTTGACTTTCCTACCAGGTGCTGAGGTATCTCATTAGAACTGCAGCAAATGCGGTTTGTCACTTGCCGAAAGAGAGAAATGTGCTGCCAAGTATCCCTCTAACATTTCGGTGGTGCCAATGGTCTTTAGAATGACATCATCAACAGCTTTTTGGTCGGTTTTGCGTTGGTCGCTGACAACAGCAGGCTTGGGAGCATCACCTGAAAAGAATTCATCTTCACCTTCTGCCTTTGGTGCATCATTGGCTCGTCCAAAGTAGGCATCATCTATTTTGGAGACATCAACTCCACTAACATCAATCTTGGTGGAGGTAGCAATTACATAAGCTTGGTTGATTCGTCGAAGCGGCACACCATTGATTTTGTAAGGTCCCGATACCAACAGGAGACCCGACTCCAGAGCTTTCAGGAATACCACACGCTTTCCACGGAAACGACCCGCCAATATGATCAAGATAGTTCCAGGAGTGATCGATTTGCGGATCTTGGGTGGCTACAGTGCATGAACCGTTTGTGTGGGGTTTTGGTCGGGTGAGCTACCGGTACAGCCAACAAAATGATACCTCCACAACGAAATCAAATATTGGGATCAGACTTACGTTCTGTCGAACTCTGTATGTTGGCTTGGAGGGCTTGGCATCTTCCGCCGGGTAGAACCTTGGGCTCTTGCCTGTCTTTTCCTAAGATCAACAGCCGCAAAAAGGTGAGAAACGAAGGCTACATGTTTCGAGAAAATTTCCAGAAACCAGGATGCAATGCTCTGCTGATGCTTCTGGGGGTAGACTATCTCAACAGCTACGATTGAGTGCCTATCTTTCTTCGGATCTCATCGATTGTTTCACTTACAGCTCCTGTCATTCTCTCGGGTTGATGTTTACACTACCTGGTACAAGGATGCCAACGCCACAAAGGATTCAGCCATAGTGAGGTCGCGAAGCTCGTTTTCGAAGTCGAAGGAGAGAGTTGGGGCTTGAGCAAAGCAAATCTCTTACTAGTACAGGTGTAGGCCTCCTACCTGTGCGGCCATTTTAGTAAAGAGTAATAGCAAATATTGTATAAGGCTCAGGGTTTACTATATTTGTTTAGGTGCATGGTTCAACATGCCAAATCCACAACGCCCCCAAAAGCGGCAACAATTCCGTGCATGAACCAAGCCCATTTTCATTCTGAACAGCGGCCTTTCACATGAAAGATGAACCAATACTTGTACCTAGCTAGTAGCTAGCCAGTCTGTGTAGCCTTGTCGTCGCTCTTTTCATTTCCCACCCAGTTTTGGTCGTCGTCGGATCTGAAATCCCATCTCATTCACTCGTTCTTCGAGATGCTTTCGTGCAAAAGTCTGGAGCAAAGTGTCGTCCTGGCGAGATTCCGATGGCTCCTTGTTGTTGCCGTTCTTCTCACTACTGCGAATTTCATTCTTCGCTCGTCGTTTACTAGTACGTTGCTGTTTCAACAGAGCATTTCGATGAGGACTCTTCTGCTTCTTCTTTGGAACTCCAACCCGCTCCGGATCTCGCTTCATTGTCGATCCCGATTTCGTCTTCGAATCCATGGCGCTTTGTCGTTCTCGATCTCTTTCGAAGATTCTTCTCTCTCGGAAAGTCGCAGTCACTCGCCAGTGTCAAACGGAACGTCAATGCAAGTTAGCTATTCTGAAAAGCGTTCGCTTCGTCGCTTCTGGTTTCCTGAAAACTCGGAAACGATCTTGCCATCATCGTCACTCCGATACCAACGGCAATAAACGGAAAATTCCTGGTGCGTTGCGGGTTGGTTTGGGTGCACCTTGTATGGCACGGTACCGGTACCAGTACCGGTGCTAGTAGTGGGACCGACAGTTCTGCTGCCTTAAAAGGCTTCAGTCATTGTTTGTGTTTGTTTTATGGTGCTTTGTCTCTGGCGATGCCTTGGGTTTCGGGGAAAGCAGCAATTGCAGTTCCATCCGAGATCCAGCAGAACAGGCCACAGCAGCAGAGCAAGTTGATTTTCCGGAATTACACTGGCAGTATACGAGCAAGCAGCTTGCCCTCACACCGCCATGGTCCCAACCTTGAGTGTCAGTGTTTGGCTGGCCAAGCGAATTGCAAGTTGCAAGGCAACGACCGCTTATGGAATCCCGTCCATTTAGTTTTCACATTCAATATTAGCCAAATAGTGGTACCAGACGAAAGTGAACGAATCGTTGTTTCGCTCGAGCAGCCTCAAGCAGAAATTCATCCCTGTACCAGTTTCCATTGTCTGAAGGTACCGGTATCTACGGTGTCTTCCAAAAAATAGGCGAATGAACGGAAGGCAACTACAGCGGCGGTTGCAAGCAGCGAATCCATCGGAGAGTGGACAGAAACCCCTTCTTCTGTTTTAAAACTTATGCATGCTATATATATCCTTCACGGCATTGTTGTTTGGTTTGGTGTTGCTTTTGTCCCCTCAATGCAGACTTGTACTCCTACGGTTCAAGATTCGTCTGACGCAACTGATCCCCTTCAAATAGTGGCCTCTGTATTCTCCGTTCTCGTGATACGAAACGTTCAGATTGTCGACTCACTGCTTCTTTCGATTCTCATCCCCAGTCTTTATAATTCACAGGCCAGCTTCTTTCCTTGGGCATACAGCTCTTCTGGCCGCTCCGCATTGTTCACAATGGATTGAAGGTAGGCATTGGCTTCTGCCTCCGTCAAGGGCAGTGGCTTTTCCTCACCCTGATTGCAGTAGACCGCACGAAGGAGAGTAATTCTAGAAGCCGGCTGGACCACGTCAAGCAAAGGTAGAAGCCCCTTTCGGATCTCTTCGGTCTTGACTGGAATGGGCAGAACCCAGCATTTCTCTTCTTGTTCTTTGGGATACTCGTAGGCATCTCCCAATTCCATGTCAAACGCCCCACCCAATTGATGCTTGGCCACCCAGAACATGATTTTCTTGCCGTGGGAAACACCCCGTGCCATTTCCAGATCCACTGCCAGCAGTTCAGGCTGACGACCGTAGTTGTGGAACCCGTTAGAATATGCAAAGTAATAAGGGTCCCTTTCGGGCTCGAAAGCGACATGATGAATCAGAGGCATTCGCATTGGATTTGCCTGCATCTGCTCCAAGCGGTTTTTGTAGTCGAGGAGGATCTTGTAGGCGTACTGCTCTTCTGTCACAATGTTATTATCAAGAGCCACGTCAAGGTTCCGCTGGGCATTGTCCAAGTTTCCTTCGACCATGGGAGCCATCACCAAAGTCAACCAAGGCAGATCGAAACGAGGCGCCAGGTCCAATGATCTCTGGGCGTCCAAACCTGCATGACCGAGGAAAACAAAACACCAGTCATTTCCAAGGCGATTGAAATGCTGAACAGCCGAGAGCCAGGCTTCCCCACGGTGATGATAATACAAGTGATTGAACGGATCCAGGTCGTGTGCTTGGATGTACAAACTGAGGGCAATATCATATTTCGCGGATCTCTTATTTTGCAGAGCCAGCGAGAACATCCTGATCGAGTAATTTATGAGTAAGGCATAAGACACAAAAGGATTAGCAGTCATGCGGAGCAAACATATTCCAACCAAGACAGCCTAAGCAAAAGCCATAGCACACACCTTTCGGCTTCAGGATTCTGGCCCTCGTCGTCTACGACACTGGTTCCACGACTACGGCGATCTGCCTGGCTAATATTAGATCTACGGTCCAGATCCAACGGAAGTGTATTGATATATGCTTGGATAACCTTGCAATGGGGTTTGTGTTCCTTCCAATGGAGCTTCTGACAATCACGGTTGCAGTAGGCCACAGAGTGGCAATTTTCTCACAGACGAAGTTTGAAGACCAAGCGGCCGTCTTCTGTCATATCAGGCCCATTTGGGTCTTCGGAGAGCCCACATTGGCGGCAGAAACCGATCACGTCCGCCATTGTCGCAAGATTGCCCCTCCCAGCGGCCGCACAACTCTTCCCCACCTCGTCCTTGGACTTGAAAGGCAGTTGTGGTGGTGTGGTGGCAAAAAGGAAGAAGGTTCCGAGGCTGCTTCTTTTACGGGCAAGTGGGCTTTCGCTTGAACAGCAAATCACGTACAAGTGTGCGATGTTTTTAAAAGGCCAATGGAGCTGGCAAATACCGAGCGTTGCTGTACTGTACCGGTACTAGCTACCGGTAGTTAAGGTACAGAATGTCGCGGCTGTTGTGATGACAAAGATTGAATGATCATTCAATGCATACATCGTACCTGTACGGTGTACTTATCAATTAATTCGCTATGTCATACCGTATCGGCACCCTACTAGGGGTCTACTTGGCTGTCTCGACTGTCGCTCTTGGAGGTCAAAACCAATCGAGACGAACGGACAATGCTTTGGTGGGACCGGTACGGTACCGGTACGGTACCGGTTCTACAGTGATATTAATAGTAGCGGAGGGCCATTTCGAAAACCGCACCCCACGCGCGTGCCATTCGCACTTCGTGAAAAATCAAACAAATCAAATGTTTGACCTTGATGGACAACATCGGGAGAAACCGAAAATGTGGGGACAGTTTTGCTCTTACAACGAGCCATTTGAAGGTCGTTTCCTCCCACCAATGCACATCAACAATCATGCGAATGGAACTTTCTCTGCTCACAAAATCATTCGAGCAAGACTCTAAAAGCAACAACAAAACAAACAAACAATCAACCAACACACCAATCGATAGACCAACTAATCATGACATCCATCCACAACGAAAGCAACGTCGCCGCCAATGGACGCAAGGTGACCTTTGCTGACCCAGAAGTCACCATGGAGAAGACCAAAACTTCCACTGCCTTTAATTCAGCTATTGAAAAGTTTGGAGGCGGTAAGAGTCTTGTTCAGCAACGCAAGGAAAAGTTGGAAAAGGCATTGGGGAAGAAGAGCCTGATTGAACTACGCAAGGAGAAGCTCGAGGATATTTGGGCCGCTGAACGTGCCATCAAGATGGTCAAGCGAAACAAGTGGAAGGTCGGCGGTTCCGGTTACGGCAGTGGCGTCTACAAGAAGCGTGTTGTGTTGGACTACCAAAACCACAAGGACAAGCAGAGTGAAGTCGCTACTTCCAAGAAGCGCTATGAGTTGGCCTAAATGCACAGATGGGGTGTTGTTGATTCATTATTATTCTTGGTTTCATCATTCAACACAGACTTAAAATCCTTGAGCGGACCGCAATCAACATAAATAATCGATACTACTAGAATTGGATGAAACAATAATCTTCTTCTTTCTCTTGCCTACAAAATTGGACTGTCGTAGAGATCGTTCTACCAATTGATCTCTGCATCAAAGTTCAAGCTATGCATAGTGCCATCTGATCTGAGTCCACTCCACTCGTCACTCCGCCCAAGCAAAGTTGTGACAGGTTCCTTGACCTTTCCCGGAAACTACCGGTACCGCTACACACAAAATGTCTGCAGCAGCTGGGCGTTCCGCCTTTCCTTCTGGCCTCTCCACACAAACATCCTGAGTACTAGTATATTACTACAGAGTTGCAACCAATCTTCGTCTGCGAATTTGTTTGTCTTCGGCGTCTTGGTGAGAAGATTATGGCGGGAGAGGGGGTTCACCTGGATGACGTCAGGCTTTGCGAAAGATCTTGAGACTTGCCTCTTATTTATGGTCCCGCAGAACTTTCTACGGTAATCGTGGTCTCATTATCGCTGCAACACCCTAACATCTTGTGTTCTTTGATCGATGAAAATGAAAGGTGTTATTAGGATCAGCAAAACATACATCATGTGCAAGATGAAGTTTCTCTTATTGCTGACCTCGTTGTTGTCGCTGTTTCAAGCTGGTGGTGCTTGTGATTGTGCCAGTTTGGCTGCTGATGCGGGTAGCATCGCTGGTGCTGCCTACGGAACCTACGAAACTTCCGCACCCTTCTTTGGGTATGTCAGATAACAAGTAGTGACCCCGACAACATGGTGTCTGGTTGAGTGTTCTGGGACATGCAGTGGCTTTGTATCAATAAATCTCTCATTCTGTCGCTGCTCGCTTGTTCTTTGTGTGTTCCTCAGCGATACCTACACATTCTCGTTGGTGTACAACGAGGCTGGGATCACAGGCACAGTTGGCAGAGCTTCGGACGGCGCGAGCTGTACAGGGTCCGGATCTATCACCTCATCTTCGAGCGACACCGTGTCAGGGTCCATCACATTCTCGTCCGATACCATTGGCATCTGTGGTGGATCCGCCTCTGCGGATATCTCGTTTGATGGTTCCGAGTTTACAATTTCTTTTGGAACAATCTTGGGTATCAGCTACTCCGGCACCTTTGAGGGAGACTGTTCGGCTGCTTGTGATCTTGTCTCTGCTCCTGCGGAAGAATCTGTCCCATCCCCAGCACCTTCGAACGCCTGCTTTGCGGGAGATTCTACCTCCTGGGTCAAGGGCCGTGGGGCTGTGGCAATGGAGGACTTGCAGGTGGGCGACCTCGTCTTGGATCATACCGGGACCTATCAACCCATTTTCACATTTGGTCACTACAATCCAGATCAAGTGTCTGCATTCTTACAGATCCATACAAACGCCAAGGATGACGACAACAACTATAAACCCATTGAGATTTCTCCAGAACATCTCATCTTTCTAGCTGATGAGGAGACTCCTGTCAGCGCTGGATCCGTGCAAGTGGGAGATGCTCTTCGTGGAATGAATGGTGAGGCACAAATGGTTACCAGAATCGCTACTATCACTAAGGAGGGAGTCTATGCACCCTTTACACAAAGTGGAACCCTTGTGGTGGATGGAATCGCTGCTTCATCCTACGTTTCTCTCGAAGACTTTGGGCTGTTTGAAGGACTCGTTCAGACCATGAATCACCATCAAATACACATGTTTCTGGCTCCTCTCCGTGTTTTTTGCCTGGGAATCGTCTCTCCAACCGTGTGCAATGTCAATAACGAGGAAGGAGTTTCCCTTGCCGTGTCCATCATGACCCAAACTACCCAGTGGGCCCAGTCTCAAAGCATGTTGGTTCAGATCCCCATTGCCGCAGCCTATGGCATTCTTCTAGCTGTTTGCTTCCTGTTGGAGGTTGTCTTTGGTCCTCGTCTTGCTCCGCTGGGGGCAATGGCGCTTTGTGGAGGTGGCTTGTATTTATACAGTGCTGCAAAGAGAGCCAGGAAAACTGTCTAATGGCTAGACGGCTGCATGGGAAGTGTGCGAGGTGTTGTACAGTGACTATTGCGTTATGAAGAACGCATGGAGAAGCAATTCCAACCAGACACAAAGAGTGTTCAAAGAGAGCAACAATTGCAAAGATGCATATGTAATGCATGAATTATGTAGAAGAGACTGTACTCTAGCTTGCTGGCTTACGGTGCCAAACGATTGCAAAAGAGATTAAGCCCAGGCCAGGGCCAACCATTGCCATAACTAATAGCTTCGTAGAGCCTTGGCAACCAAATTATTTTCACAATGGCATCTTTCATCCTTGGTTGACCGGTCTCGGCACGCTCGGGTTCTGGTTCGTGGTGCTGAACTGAGCTGTTGAGATGTAAAGTTAGATTATGGTTGTTTCTATGCTATTCTGTCATTTCAAGTCTTGTTCCACCAGCCTGCCTGGCTCTTATTCTGCCAATGAACCTGTCGTCCTCCCAGGACTGGGTTGGGTCCCACTCATGAATGTGAGTCCCTAGTGTGATGGCATTCCAGTCACAACACCCCATGACTCCCGCTGGTCACTTTGCTGGTGCGTCATTTCACACTGAGCTTGATCGTCTTCGCATGCTCACATTCTTTAGATCAGAGATAGGTCGGCGAGCCATGACGGACTTCGAACAGTATCTCAAATTAGATGAAGCGACAATCCTTCATTGCTCCTTGGATGAGATAGTCAGTGTCCGGCGGCTCGTCTGCAGCTTACCAGGGCATATGCTCCTATCTTCACTAGGTCCACGTTCGTTACGTGCGCTTCTCGACAGAGCTACTGTCCGTACTCTGTGTGAGATGTGCAGCGCTTCTTATTGATGGCTCGAGAGGCGGATACCATTGCAACGCTTCCTTATTGTCGTTGGCAATACGCGAAGTGGTCGTTTGGCTGAGAATGACTCGCTCTCTAGGTCGTCCATAAGATGTTGCGGGAGACCTTCGACTCATCTTGCAGCCTTCGTCCATTCCTTTAATTTCGTCCTCACAGGAGCTCCTACTTGTTTTCTTCTCGCGACACGCGGTCCAGTCCAGTGGACCCCCATGTAGACGACAATGGCACCAAGAATTGACCGGACTTCTTCCTCACGGCGCATTTCTCCTTCTTGTGGTGTGGAAGCATCTTGCGGTCCCCAATTGCTGTCAGTGTAACCGTCAATTCGGTCAAAGCACCCAATGGTAGGCCCTCCATCGACTGGCCAAGACGCTTCGCCGAACATGCACCGGGCAGGGTCGAATTCATCTCCGGAGTTGGGCTTGGGTTGTGTGTACTGCACGCCCCAGTCGCCAGTGCCTTTGAGGTATTTCAGGACGTGCTTTGCCGCTTCCACGTGCCCTTCCGATGGATTCTTCAAGTGACTGGACAGAAGACTGGTGGCGGTCGTGATATCCAGTCTCGTGTTTTGGCTGAGCCAGTTGAGACCTCCTACCAACGATGAGTATTCCTTCGCCAATTCCTTCTTTTGCGATGGTTCCAGACCGTCATGTGGCACTCTGTCAATTGGTAGCCCGGATCGGTATGGTGTTCTTACTGCGTTGGCGTCGAGCATGCCGTGTTGGTCCAGGAGCTTGTGGATATATCCTTCCTGAGACAAATGCACTGTGAGTCTCCCATCTGGCGTCTGTCCCCATTGATAGTAGACTCCAAGGTACCACGTGAGGTCTCCCATAAAGTCAATGTGGAGTTGACTGCCGAGCTCTTTCTCGAACCATGCTTCAGTTGCGTCGTCTGTTCCCCAGTAGAGGCAGTCATCTACATATGATCCAAAGTAAATTGTCCCTCCACTTGGCGACACCTTACACAACGACATGCTAGCGATCATGGACACTTATTCCAGTCCCCATGACCCTCTCCAGGACCTCCTCTCGTAAGGTAGCACGGTACGCAGTGCTCGAGGGCTTCTCTGAGACCACGTAAAGGTCTCTGCTTGAGTCCGCCAGTACTCCCCTGCTCTCGGAGAATGGACAGCCCGTTGGGTGGCATTACACAACACAATCTTCGTCGTCGGGAAGATCATGGGTAGGCAGCAGGCATTCTTGCGTCGCCTGCTTTGCTCTTTGCGGCCTTAGTGAAAGATGCCTAGAGCGCACCAGAGCTTGGCTCATGTCTCATCAGATGACGGGCGCATAACGCTCATTCTTGTCCCAGAGTTCGTCTTCTTCATTTCCAGACGACGGTTCCGTATTTAGCTCTGATCTGGTTATGTCACAGTCCGAGTCCGTCTTGATGGTTAAGATATTCATGGTTGGAATTGGTTTGACTCCCAGTCTCTATAGAGTTACTGCCTATTCATCACCATCACGGTGTAGGTGTTCAGTCGCCTTTTACCGATAACCCGTCATACTCTTCTCGGTAGAGTCCAGCCAGAATTGGCAATCCAGTCACGGTCGGAAGGATTTTGCAGAGACTTTCACAAGCCAAAATTGTGGGTTCCCCCCTTTCCTTAGTCCTTGGCTGAAAAACATCAGAATTCGCCGTGCCGCTGTAGGCCGCTGGATACGGTGAAGGTGGATACAGTGTCCCAACTGACTTCGAGGAGCCCTTCGAGGAGATAATGACGCCAATACACATCTAAGTCAGGAATGGGAACCTCAGTGATCTACGCGCCCCCCACGATCACGTTGTCGGAAGCACCAGAGTGTAGCTGTCGGTGTGCTCCAGGTAGCCCACGAAGCATTTGACCTTCATGGCGAAAACGGACGTGGCAATTTTGCACAAGCCAGTCAGGTCTGATGGGCCGTGTGGATCTGTCGGTTGGATCGGTGAGAGCTCCGCCGGGAGGGGTCTCTGGTCCAGAATCGGGGATCAAGAAGGAGAGTGGTGTCATCGGCAGCTTGATGGTGTAGTGTTGGGTGCCAGACGTGTGGGTACACCAATGACTTCGCCGATTGTAAAGAGCGGTCGTTCGGACTGCAGCGTGGGACCGGGTATGCGGAAGGTGACAGTGCTGCCCGGTGGATGACGGATGGCCTTCCCATGGAGTCCATGCTCGCAAAGGCGGAGTTCAAAGCCTCCATTGTTGATTAGTTCAGGGAAGAAGGTTCTGACATTTTGGCTCTCATCCAGATAATAATCAGCAGCAGTGCAAAAGCGTTTGGTCTCGGGACACCAGAAGATCATCCCATTGGTCGTGTCACTGAGACCGACAGCAATGCCAGGGAATGTTTGGACTTCGAATTTGGTACGGGACCTGCTCCCATCCACAGGTCGATAGAAGAAACCAACACAACCAAATTTGAAGAGTACTCGCATGTCTGGTTTGGTACCGTAGAAGAGTTCAAACGGTGTACTGAGGAGCTGATCCGCATCCTTGGGATGGTTGCGAGGACTGATGTCTACCGGTAAGAGGTTCATGCTGAAGAAGGCTTCTCTGACAGCCCAAAACCAGAATGCTTTGGGTAAGTTGGCCTCTTGGAGGAATGCTCTGGCCATGCGAACAGCACAGTTCCAATGATTCTCAACAAGACCATTCTGTGAGTGACGATGTGGTGGAGAAGCTGTGACTTTTATGCCTCGTCGACGAAGGAACTTTCTAACGTTGCCTGCAACGAATCTCTTGTCGAAGTCGCAATGAAAGTGTTGGACACTGGAGCTGTGTTCCCCCATGTCAATAAACAGACACCACAGAGCGTCGATGATGGATGCCGCCTCTAGTCACGCAATCCATAGAACCAGTTTTGTCGCGTACCGGCATCCACCACAGCAAGTCGCATAGCGAAAGCCTCCCAGGTGACCACCTCGCCATAGCAGAGGTCAGCGTGTAAGGTCACGTCCGGAGGTGGTATTCGCGATTCTTGCAGTTTGCCCGTCGGAGTTCCGTAATCACCCACTGACGGAATGGCTTCACTCTGCACTGTGTCGTCCGTAGAGAGCAACTTCGTGATAGCTTGTGTCACGAGCTTCGGTTGCGAATGAAGGTGCAGGTCGTGGTCGTGAATGACTGCCTGTTCCCAAGATCGACTTCGGGTTTGCCACAGGTTGTCGCGACTGAGGGGCTTCATGATTCAGTTCGTCATCGGTCATGTGTGTCGCTCGGTGCTGTTCGAATCGCCGATTGATTGAGAGCTGTTCCAGCTGTGGGAGTCGGTTGGAATAGCGTGTACCACTTGGTCGTCGAGTGGACTTGGTTGCTGATGGTAGCTGGCATGACTGAGTTGCACTCTTCAGAGTCGCTATCTTAGAGAACGTAGGAAAGCTTAGCACGCAATCGTCGTGATCAGCCAAGAAGCTGCATCCAGGGCTTCTTCGTCTGTGTTTCCGAACGGATAATAGTCTAGTGGACAGGTCTGGCACGTGCCACCAATTTTGTTCTCGAACTACTTTGTTGGTATCTGTTCTGCACGTTCCATATCGGCGATGGGAATTGGTGACCCATTAGCGACACGTATGTAGTGTCCTTCGAGTGGTGTGTAGGCAACAAAGTCTTCCAGGTACGGTGACATATCACCGGTTGCACCTGAGTCCACACATGCCAGTGTGTTTGTCTGTGTGCACGTGGCACGGTTGGCAGAGTCCACGACGAATTGCCTAGGCAATGGTTTGATCGCGATGTATGCTCTGGCGGGTCCCACGATTGGTCCCTTGCGAACGTAGTTGCAGGAGTAAACGAGCGGGTTGCACGGTTGATCATTGTCATTACTATTTAACATGTAACTAAGTGTAGACGCCTGTGTCACTGTGTCGTCGTCCTCGTCCAGTGTCGACTCTTCCGGTATGGTCGCCAGTTTGGCACCCAAGTTGGGAGTGAGTTCTCTGTTGGGAAACGTGACAGGTGGTGAGTTGATCGGCGCTACAATAGTTGACACGTTAATAGAGGGTGACTCACATCCGCTACCAGTACTCGAATCATCGTCGTCCGCTGGAATGTGTGACTGACAGCATGGGCTGTGCCAGTATCGTTGTTGCGTGGTTTACGTGGCCTGTTGGCCTTTCCTTCTTTGTAGGAGTTCCCGTCGAACTCAATTCGGTATCCTGGGATGCAGTGCTCACACGTAGACATGTGGTGCCTGTGTGGATTCTTGTGTCGAGCGATGACACACCAGGGGCAGGCAAAGTGGTAATAGCACTTCTGCGCTTGTTCCTTTGTACTTCCAATCCTCGAAGGGTTTAGGGCATTAACAATGCCATGGGATCACGGCGAGAAGTTTGAAAGGCTACCCCCCTAGGTTCCCCTGGAGAACCTGCGCGAACAGAGCTCGCCTGGTGGGCCTTCCCACGGGATGCCGTGGTGTATGCGCGAATGGGCGATTCACCAGTGAGGAGTTTGCTGTCGCAGTAATATTTGCTGTTTTCAGCACCAGTGAGGATGTTGTCGAAGTGTTCGGCAAGCTGGTCGATGGTACAGTCCAATGTAGGGGTGCCGGCAAGCTTACCGCCTGGACGGATGAGCCGGGCGTAACACTTGGACAAGATGGACCGGTACGGACCGTGGCGAACTGTTCCGGCCACAAACCAGCCACGAAGGACTGTCTCTGGAAGGATCGCACCGCTAGCAGCGCCATATTGGCGATTGAAGAAGCGAAGGCGAAGGAGGAAGGAGACGCAGTATTCACGTTGCTCTTGGACGAGGGTGCTGACGTCGGCAAAGCGGTCGTCCACACGGTCACTAGTGACAGGAAGGAATGTGTCGAGAACAGCCTGGAGCAGTTCTGGCCCACGTCGTTTGAGAGAGTGTTCCCGCTGTAGTAGGTCCGTGATGGTCCTGTTCTGTTTGGTAGCCTTGACGAGGAGTCTGGCCATGACCTTGGAAATGTCCTTGTTGCTTGTGGTGGTAGTGGAGTATTCCCAGATTTCGATGTCGTCTGCTTCCCAATGGTCTCCAGTGAGAGCGTTCTCTACACCACACTTCCACTGGTAGATTGCGGTAGCATTAGGTGCCACTGGTAACTGTGGTAATTCCGTGGATGCACGCAGACGATCATCATGTGTGAATCGATTGCCTTGAACTATCGCACCAAGGGCATCCTTGAGGTGGTGTTGCGACTCGATGTGACTCATCCACAGGCTATCCAAGCTGGTCACGGAACCCGTTATCACGTGATCTGGAAAAGGTTCCGACGCTCCTATTAATCGATGATGCCGGCACCGTGAAGCGTTGGCCATCTGCCGTGGTGACCTCTATCATGGGCTCTGAGTTGTTTTGGCGAGAACCGCTGCGCATGGGCGTACTGGGTGTACTAAAGGGGTTCCTCGCCGGTTCTGGTGGGGCCGATGGAGTAGGTCTTTCACTGATTGGCGTGGGCACTGGTACATCCGTTCCGACTGAGGCATCAGGTCGCTCAGCTGTAGAGTGTCCAAAGTGGGTTCCACAAGCATAATGAGGGTCGTCAACGCCGAGTAGGCTGGCATTAATCACCCACTTGGGTGGAATGCGTTGTCGCGGATCCACGGGACGCTCTGTTTGAATCATTTGCAGGTATTCCTTGGCAGAGTTGAGTTCCTTGAAGCCTGTCGGTGCGTCGCTAACTCCATTGTTAAGAACATCTGCCTGCATGGCCCATCCTTCCGCAAAGGACTGTACGATTCGCTGGCACGGTAATCCATCGAACCATCCGTCTACCACGTAGTACGTTTTGCCAGAGGTTGCCATGCTTCTATCTTGGCGATCATAGTATCCTCGCAGGTATGGGTGCCATCGCGAAGTCAACTGCCATGTCCTGCATTGGTCGACACTATCGTGACCAAGTACTCGAAGGGGGAAGACTTGGTAGATGTGACCGGTAGAGCCGAGTCGAACCAGTAACTTCTTGGTCTTGAGGCGGAGCAGATACGAGTCATTGTTGCAATCGACGGGGTTTGTTGTTCGATTTACCCCCCCATAAAGCTCTCGCTTGCCAACAATAGTCGTGAGAAATTGACTACTGTACCCACATGGTGGGATCCCATGAATGATCGCAATGGGTCCAGTGGGTCCAGCAAGAGCACAGTCAGGGATAATAGGGACGTCATCAAAGCCATCGCCAAAGACGGGTCGCCGAGAGGAAGATGGCTGGCGGCTCGGGGTGCTGCCTCGTGAGAAGAGAAGGGATGGGCCAGTGGCCGAGCCTTCAACACCGGTCTGGTAAGATCCACTAAGGGAGGAACTAGCCGACGGCTGGCTATGCCAGGGAGCCACAAGAGGTGTGGAATCATGGCTGCGCTGGAGGGAGGACGTGTTGCTGTCAAGAACAGCCATAACGTCGTGAACCTGGGCACGGATTGCCGATGGCACACCAGAACTGATGTGGGAGCGTGGTGTTGGTGGCTCGAAGCCGGGTAATAACGATGGGTCATTGGTCCGAAAGATTGGCGATTGGGTGACACGTCGTCGAGGAGGTGTCACCTGTTGGAGTGGGTCGGTGATCGAGGGATCATTGTGGGTGGTGGTGGTGGTGGATTCATCGCTGCTGCTGTTGTATGGCGCCCTAGGGCTAAGCGATGGCATGTCCTCATTGTTGTAGGCCGACAGTTCCTCATCGGACGCATCCTCTACTATCACTGGAGAAGGATTGCGTCGTCTTGGAGGAAGTGGTGGAAGTGGCGGTAGCTGCTGGGGAGGAAGAGGTTGTTCGACTGGAGTCGAAGAGGTTGAGGGTCTTCGAGATCGACTGGCCCATGTCTGAACACTCTTGGCGGCGGAGCCAAAGAGGTTGATCATGGTGCTGTTGTTCGTCTCTACCTCGCTAAAATTGGGCTATCATAACCTGTTGAGATGTAAAGTTAGATTATGGTTGTTTCTATGCTATTCTGTCATTTCAAGTCTTGTTCCACCAGCCTGCCTGGCTCTTATTCTGCCAATGAACCTGTCGTCCTCCCAGGACTGGGTTGGGTCCCACTCATGAATGTGAGTCCCTAGTGTGATGGCATTCCAGTCACAACATGAGCTAGCTAGTCACGCTGGCTTTGGAAACAGAGAAAATTATTGTGCTTTCGGAAAAAAGGAATTCGGAGGTGACATTTATTGTATTTCCGTGTCGGAAGAGACGGATTTCGGTAGCCATATTGTCACAGGCAAACAGTTGAAGAATTACAGTAATGTACTCGGATTTTCTGAAACGCTTTTCATTTTTCCTAAATTCAGAACCATACGCTGAAGAACTTCTTAGACCTTCTGGGGCCTGAAGCTTCTAACGAAGCAGTTGGCTTTACCCGCCGCTGTTATGCCTTCTCGTTTCGCTTCATTTTTCGAATAGAAACCCCAAGAAGAAATACGACCATGGAGTCTTCGGACAACCCCGCGAAGCAATCTGATGATAACAACAGCGACGACAGCAGTAAAGACCTCTCCTTTATCAGCAATCTGTTTGCTGCGGCCAGCCAATTGCGCCACCCCCCGCTCATCTCGTCGCAAGAAGAAACAAGGCAGCCAGAAGGAGCTGCCCATCAAGATCACCAAGAAGAGCCTTCGCCTCCCCCGGAGCGACAACAGACTGAACGTGGTCTGTCCAACGCTTCCAACTCAGGTTCCTCTGTCTCCCCTTGTGGAAACCATCGTGATGAACGTCCTTCCCACCACATTGCCGTGAATATAACGGAGAACTCCAAGTACATTCGTCTGCGTCTGAACATCAATGGCACAAAAGTGAGGGATATCTATGTTGGAGTGCAGCAGGGAGTGCTGGTGATTCGGGGAACCCGCTACTCTCGAGTTTTGAAGAACAAGGACCTCGTGGAGGGGCTACTACAGCGCCATCGTTTCTGTCGTCGCTTTGTCATTGACACAGACGTCATTGACTGCCCCCACATTACCGCCAACCTGGATGCAGCGGGAATACTGACCGTGGTTGGGCCCAAGAAGAGTGCTCCCTGTAGAATCCATGTCACTGTCACACGAAACCAGCATGAAGAAGAAGAGGAAGAACTAGATCCCTTTGTGGCTGCTGCAATGTTTGGCAGTGCAATGGAGCCATGACAGCCGACGACGTGCCAGTATTTCGCCGTCCGAGTCAAGTGTAACCCCCGATCGATGATGGTTGATGTTGTTATCATGGTGGTTTTCCAAGAAGTATAGGTCCCCGAGGGTTCCACTGGTCTGGGTTTAGCTAGCTCCTTATTACTTTCCCCATAACGTATGAATGTTGCAGTCAGTGTCACTGGCCAGGACCGTGATACTGTACAATTGGCACGGCAAACAACGTGGCGTAGCCAACACATCCTCTGCTACTACGCTGGATCGAATCGAGCAGTCTGTTGAGTGGAAGAGATGCATTGGTTCAATGTTGGTAGGCGGATCAACAATCACGGCAAATCCGACGTTGGCGGTGGCTTTTCACGAGGTCATGTTGGTCCAGGTTCCCACCGTGGCCCTTCTTTTTTTCTGCGGACAACTACGGTAGCACTAGTACGCGACCAAAGACACATAAAGTTGGGAAAGCAAATGCTGACATCTCGGATTCTTTTTGGTTGCTTGGTAGGGCACTGCACTGAACCAAATCAGCTCGGTTGCTTACTGGTTTGGCCTCTTCAAATTGGGCAATGATCCCAGCCTTGTCTTTCAAGGCGCTGTAGGAGAGTTCAATTCAAATTTAGTCTCCTGGTACTGAAGTCTAAAAGTGATTGGTCATGCCGATCAGACGCACTGGTACGGCTGTGGCATGAGTGAAAATTGTTCGAAAGTGATGTCCACACAACTGCACCTGTTGCACTTCGCAGTCAGTTTACTACTCTTCACGATCCTTTATATCCGTATCACATGATCATCACTGTGGACTCACAGTTTGCGACTTTTACAGCGAGTTAGCAAGCTATCCTGACATTGATGGTCTCACTTTGTCACAAATCCCACGAAAAGTTCTGCCTTTTTTAGTTTATTGCTGTCATCGTGCCGATGTTTGGCCCGTCCATCCAATCAAGCTTTGATGGATGCACTGCTGATTGCTGAAAGCTATGTAGCTAGCTAGTTTGCTAGTCTGTCAACCCCTCAATGCAAAGATAGTTGCCTTTGTCGTCTCGTTTCATGGGAAACGTGTTGGTGACCACACCTTCAATATGACTTGGTATACCACCAAAAATGTGCGGACAAATCCAATTCTCAAACTCCTCCGACACTTTGGTGGAGCCGACTGGCTTGGCCTCTTCAAATTGGGTAATGATCCCGGCCTTGTCTTTCAAGGTGCTGTAGGAAAGTTCAATACAAATCCAGTCTCCGGGTACCGACGTGTAAAAGTGATTGGCGGTACCAATCAGACGCACTGGTACGGCGGTGGCATGAGTAAAAAATCCATCTTCTTCAAAGGTGGGTGGATAATACGCCTTGCCGGCCGCCACGGCTTCTTCCCATGCCGATTTTTGACACATGTGATAAAGCTTTTCCGAGGGTTCCACTACTGCTTTTTTCTTCTTGTGCAATTTCTGGAGACGTTCGGCCACATTTTTGGTCTCTTCACTGTCTTCTCGGATACACCGGTCGGGTGTAAAGGCTGGAGTACAGACGGGAATGTACTCGGTATCCCCATCTGGAAAGACGGGTCGAAAGCGTTCTCCTTTGGATACCAAGACCGTGTCTCCCGCGGTGGCCGTCAACACTTGCAATTGCTGGTTGTCGTCGTCGTCGTAATAATGAAATTCCACCTTGCCCTTGATCACGCACATGCGTTCGTCAGTGAGCAGTGTCAACCACGGTTCCGATGTTGGTTTTGTCACGGTGACTTTGGCAATGGAGATGACATCTTCCTTGGTGGCCACGCCACCGGCTAATTCGCTAATGGTCAGACCATCGTGCTCGACGACTGTAGTAGCTTTTCCAATTAGTTTGGGCATCGTGTTGGTCGTTGTTGTCCTTCAAGTAGACTGAGTAAGTCCAAAGGAACTGAACTTGTGTGGACAGAGAGTTGGATATTATTATGATGGATGGAAGAGCATTATTGCTGATTGACTCATCATGAGGGAAATCGGTGAGACGAACGTCATTACATTACCCGAAGATCTCACCGTTTTGCTCGCATGGATGAACAAGGCGAGGACTGTACAACAACATGTCATTTCCACAGTGTGGAGAAAAACGTATTCTTCCACGCTCAGTGGCACATGTATCCAAACAGCTTCGCAGGGTGTCCTTCTTCTCACGATTTTGGCGACATCTCCACAAAGAGCAATCTGGGGTGCCGTCCTCTTCTATTGAACTCCAAACCTTCTTCTATGGTACTCTAGGAGTAGCCAGCTGTGTAGAGACTTTATCCTTTCTTGAGCCATCATGACCAAGACAGCCACCATTTCGAATGCGTTGTCGTCACCTCCCTCGACTACCCCTGCGGCATCGTTCGTACGGATGCGGCGATGGATGAGAATACTCGGCATTGGTGTTTGTATCTATTTGGCACATCCATGGGGTGGACAGCCACAAGAACAACGACAGCAGCAGCAGCAAGAAGAAGCTACAGTGCAAGTCAAAACGGAAGAACCAGTCAAGACCAACCCACCCACTGTCAGTCCAGTGACGCCCATCCTACCAGAAGAAACTAATAACAACCAACCAAAGCCACCAGAGGAACCAGTTATACCCGAGCCTCCTCCTCCAGCCGAAGTGCAAAATGAACCTCAACAATCCAATCTACGAAAGTCCAATCCCGAAGAAGATACCCCCAAAGAGGACCCTGCCAACACAGTCAGCAGTGAGAATACGGTTGATCAACCCATCCAACAGCAGCAGCAGCAAGATATCAGACCTCAGGAGGTGACAACAACCAACAATAATGACAACAACAATATGCAAGTAAACTTTCATCCCAATCCTGCCTTGGGAGAACAACAACAAACCTATGTCTTTCCACTGGATGGATCACCCGACCGAATGACAAAAAACCGTGTCATGATGGCATTTCCAGAAAACAAGGAACAAGATGCCGGTTGGCAGGCCGCATTTGGGGAGCACATGACACCGTGTCCCGTGACATCTCTGATTCGAGTATATCGCAGCGATTTGATTACTCTGACGGAATCGCTATGGACCTTGGAAACGTTGGATTCCAAACGCAGACCCAAAGCCGTGGGGGGAGACGAATATTACATTACTTACACGGCAGAAGGACATACAGAACCCACTGCCATTGCTTACATTCATGATTGGAACAATGGCAACTATTCCTTTCATTTTGTCAGTTCTCCCACGGCACCGGAGCAACAAAATCTACAAGATTTGGCCGAACGATCCACTGGAACCCTCACCGTGGTGCTGGAGCAATCGTGTGGAATGGGACGGTTGGCGCCACCCCTCAAACAATACTGGCATACATCGGGCGCCATTAATCAAGTGTACAAACTCGACGGGATTCCAGCACCCAAACACATTCAACGATTCCAATTTCCCAATCAGGATCGGCGCATCAATTTGGGGCAGTACCATCAAGTCGTGATGATGGGCGATTCCATGTTTGGACAATTTGCCTGTGGTGACCCTGCTCCCGATGATCCCCCTTTTAAATGTAGGGCCTTTCAATCTAACGTGTTTCGAGGAAAACAGATTGAAGCGGCATTGCAAACGGAAACCATGACGAGACCCTTTTTCGTGAGAACCCATGAAGATTTACTAGATGCCAATGACATTGCCTTGAAAAAGGTACAGCAAGCCTTGGTGGAACGATCCCGACTAAAGGGTACCATGCGAAAAGGAGAATTGTTCCCTCGTGATGGCCGAGGCCAAATCATGTTTAGCTTTAATCATTTACGGACCATTCAGGGATTGCCAGAAATTATCCCCACGACGAATGAAATCAAAGAACAACTCCATATTGCCTTGGTCATTGGCAGTGGTGTATGGGATATCTTGGCGGACGATGAAGGAGCGGGAGGACAGGACTTTTCCAGTCATTTGGTGGCATGTGAGCAGCTCATTTTGTCTATTCGAGAAACATACCCCCGGGTGGCGCTATATTGGAAGTCAATGACGGCGATGCACATACACGCAGTCGCCAATGAAGAGAATGGGCAAGATTGGATCTACATTAGACGTGTCTATTACATGAGCAATTCAAGGGCACGTCATTTGGATGAGTTGCAAAAGGCACTCATGAAAAAACTCAACGTCCAAGTGCTCGACGTTTTTGATGCTACCTACTATGGCGCACACAAAGCGCGAACGGGAGATGGAAGACACTACAAGGCGGACTTCAATGAACGAATGTTGAGTTGGTTTTATACTAACTAGCTAGGCAAAAGTAGGGATATTCAAGCTTCACGCAGGTGGCGACTGGGTGCAAGTTTGGGTGGTGATCGGGCATTCAATGCCCGCAAGACAAGGATACGTGGTCCAGGCCATGGAGTGGTACCTCACATACAGCCCTCCCAGAAGCTTGCAATTTACGGATACCGAAAATGAAGACTATGTAAATGAGAGCACGGGTTGACCACACCGCGCCGAACAAGACCGTCTATGCCGCCTGAGGCGAACTCGAGTCTCTGGTGAGTCCTTGTGCGTCGAGAAACAGTTGGCTGCCGCGACTGTTCACGAGGGCATCACCTTGTGGTGTTTCGGCAGGATTACAAGTGCCCGCGAGCAAAAGATCAGGCGCACTTCGCTCCAAACTGGAAATGAAATCGGTGTGCCGAAGCGGCTTCTTTGCAATGACTATCCCAAGGCTTGGATCAAGCTTTATATCGTCTGCAGACAGTAGCATGAGAACTGGTGGAGGATACGGCAGAATGGACCACCGTGCAAGCCTCGTGAGTGCAGTTAGACCGAGGAGATCCCCGTCTTTGTCTTCCTTGGTGAATCTTTCCTTTTCAAAGAAGTGTTCAACATTACTCATTGTGGAATCATGGGACGCCTCCTCACAGTTGAAGCGAACACATGGCCTCTTCCCCTCTCGCACACTTTTGACACTATTTGCCACATGATGGTTGAAGCGATGATCGCTAATGATCAAGTCGAAAGGCTCAGCTTGAGCAGCACGCATCATATCTTCGGCCGTGCAAGCCGTCTTAACCGACACCTCACAATTGGGGAAGTTATTTCCCCAAACCTTGCCGATAGTGTGAACCACGCCCCTTCGGAGCATAATCACGTCGTCGGCGACCAGAACTTTGAAGCGCCCCAGGTTTGGAGGCGGGAGCGGTCGAAAAACATACTCAGATTTGTGCTGCAATTTCAGGGCGACTCTGGTAGCTTCCTGGCTCATCTTCAGGGACTCCACTGTTGTCGGCGTTCCCTCGGAGCCTTGGTACACCGGAAGCTTAAAGTAGATTACAGTACCTGGGCCTGCCTTCTTGTTGTCAGCAGCGTCCTGCATGGGTCCATTCATCAGTTCGAGACAGTCTTCAAGACTTGTGAGGTGAAGCTGAGTGTTCAAGGCTTTGGTTTGGAGGTGAGCATGGTAGAGACCGAACCCTGTGTTTTGTGCACCATGACTCGTCGCTATCGACGTGGACGAGGATAATGCCTCCTTGGCAGCTGCCAACGTTTCCTTGCTGAGCCCGGGGCCAGTGTCAGCAACCCCGACGGCTACGAATTTCGTCTTGGTGGTGCTCGGGCGAAGCTGGACGCGATCACTTTCGTCGCTCCCGTCACTGCCATCACTCTCCATGCTTTCAGCGCTTATCTTGCTGTCAGCATCGTATTCTCTATCGGCGCCCTCCTCGCTCTCATCGATGGATGATGTGGACTCTGTGCTGAAAATAGACTTGTTTTCTGCTGCGTCTGACGAGGGCCACGTGGACTCTGACATCTCACTTTCGAGTCTTTCCAGCGGAATGATGAAGGGTTCCACGCCGCCAGCGTTGGTAAATTTGACCGCATTGGAGAGCAAGGTCGCGACGATACGTTCCACAATGTTCGGATCGCTGACTGCAATGCAAGGCTTTGGCAAAGGCCGGAAGGACAAGCTAATGCGAGATGCCTTCGGTTGCTGCATTCTTGTTGCCCGAGCAACGACATCCTTCAGATCAAATGGTTGAATCTTGGGTACAAACGCGCCAGAGTTCAGCTTGGTTATGTCCAGGGTTTCGTTGAGCATCTTGAGAGAATAGTTGACCACATCACCAATCTGTTCTAGCATGTCATCGACGGATCCAACTAGCTCCTTCGGCGTAATGGACTCGTCTGACTTGAGAGAATGGGTCATCTCTGACATGGCAATGATAGACGAGAGAGCATTTCTGACTTCGTGAAACACTAGTAGAGAGGGGACAGGGAATGAGGGCATAAACAGACGACTGACGTGCCTGAACAGGAGTTCTTTCGACCTACCTTGAGCTGAAATCAACTCTTGAGCCTTTCGGAAACTTCTTTCCTCAGCTGCTCCGACACGTTGGTCCTCTGCGGCCAAAGCTTCCTTCATCAACGCCACATCCTTCCTCTTCATCAACTCGATAGACTCCTCCTGGCGCTGCAAAAGCGCTTGCATGCGAAGATCGGACGCCTCTCGAAGTTCCTCCCTCTCAGCTGTACTTGACTCTATGATTTCATCAAGTTTGGCCTGGTGCTTTGCCTTCAGGGCACGGCCTTCCTTTTGATACTGACGCCTCTCCGCCCTGCCATATAGATGCAGAAAAGAGCGACACGTGAGCGGTATCATGGTGTTGTTGTAATGTACGCGACACATGAATTCCTTCACTTACCTGATCTCTTTCTCATGTTTCTTGACCATCGCCTTTTCTTGCTCACGAAGCTCTCGTGCAAGCCTACGGGTGTGCATGGCTCCAATGGGGGTAAGTTGCTTTTCATGCTGTCCAGGTTCCCCTTTGTGATCGTCTCCATCGGCGTCCTCGTCCTCGACCACATCGACTTCCTTGTTATGTTCCTCACAGTCATCCTCATCCATGACATTGCTTCCATAGTCAGACGAGTACAAGCTCGAACCAGTTGTAGTGAGTCCAAGATCATCTGTCGCTACGCTCCACAGGATGGTGTCGTAGAGCTTTGCTGTAGGCATCGATTGCTCAGTCGAGGATTCAAAGTCTTTCTTACGCTCTATAGCGTCCACCCTCTGCTCAATTTGGGCGTCGTTTTCCCTGTCGAGACCATCATCGGCCGTGTCCTGAGACACAAGCTTTGCCATCTCCAGCGTCCCGGAGGCTGCCAACAACTCCAACTCTTGCTGTCGTCTCGCGTTGTCGTCTCTTTCCATCTTGAGGTTCTTCACATGAAGGTCGAACTGGATGGGTTGCAACAAAGAAAATATCGTCAGCGACTGGGTTGCAGAACGACCACAGGGTCACAACAAGGAACGTACCATGTCAAGAGCTGCATCCTCTTTGCACCGCTGGATCTTGTCAAGATCATTCATCATTGACTCCAGAAAGACAGCTTCTTCGAGAGTACGAGCCATGTGAGCTTCGTTCAGGTCAGCCTTCTTCTGACGAAAGAGCCGAACCGAGATCTGTGTATCCAAAGATACAACTCGAGGATCCGTTCCCCTGAGTGCATGCATTAGGGTCTGGAAGTTGAGAGAGCGCCGGTGCTCTCGGTGCAACACCTGCTGCCGCGTTTTGTGCAAGTCTTCGAGAAAGGTTCGAACTCTGGCAAACTGAAGACGCAGTTCCGCTCCGGCAACTTGTGAAGCCTTGGCGAACACCATCTTTCGGCTGACATACGAAGTCTCAGCATGGGATATCTTCCAGCGGAGATTCTCGTCAAGACTTGCCCGTTGTGTCTTGAGGCGCACGCCACGGAGCTGAGCCACTTCCGCCGCAAGGCGCTTCTCTTCAGAAGCTTCGAGCGTCCTGGCCACTGAGCGGCGTTCTCTACCTGCATCCTGTTCATTGAGGATAAACTCTTCAGCGCAACGAAACTCTTCCCTTCGTACTTCTTGGGCGACCTTTTTTTTACAAGCCTTGAAGCATTCATCCAGTTTCTTGAGAGCAGATCGGTCCAATTTTTGTGTCTCGGTAGCGCTGTGAGATGAAGGGTGACAGTCCATTCCATGCTGGTCCCGTCCTTTTGGTTCAAGCATACCCTGGACTTTACCAACTAGCTCATCCATCTCTAACGAGCCAACCCAAAGGTCATCATTTTCTACCTGCCAGGCATCTTTAGAAGTCTCAAACAAGAGATCTATGGCTTCGAGGTACAAGCCATCATGCTTACCCTTCTTCACGTCATAGACAGGGATGCCCATGGTCTTCCTTCGAATTCAATGCAATGTGGAACGAGAAGAACGCTTGCCTTCTGGTGGCTATCAATTGCTACCGTACCACCGACTACTATCGTTGAAAGGAGATACTGTACCTATGTTGCTTCTTTCGCTGGTAATTTGAAAGTTATGTGCGTTGCGTTGCCTTTGATGTAAAAGACGGGAAGGAAGAGATCTTCTTGTGGCACCGTCCGTCCGCACTACATGTAGTATGATAATGGCCCAAGAAAGGGTGGTGTTGGCCTTCGGAGTGAAATCTTTTTCCTTTTCAGCAAAGCCCTGTTCTTTTTAATTTCACTGGAGAAAAAGAAGTCCAGCGAGACAGCGTACATACTGGTACGCACAGACATAAGGGTTCGGAATGGTCAAAACGGTGAGATTTAAGAGTTTGATGCGATTGAATAGTACTGTAGATGCTCTTATTTTCTACAGGAGTTCGCACGGATTCCTCCTTGTCCAGTGAGTGTTGCCACCAAACTAGCTATTTTAAAATAGCTACCGTAGTGGTCTAATCAATCGTGCTGTTTCCGGGGAAGGCAGTTTAAAGGGGTAGTTGAGGTAAGTGTAGGGTTAAAGTTAATGTTTACTTCACATTTATTTTTGTATAGAAAATTGTAAGGGGGTTTTAGAGTAGGGAAATTAGAAAATTGTTTTTACCGCAACTACCAATGTGTCCCTTGGTTTCACGTCCTTCAAACTGCCAAGCATCCACCGGCCACTGCTATTCCGGCCAGCTGTGAGAGCTTGCTGCAGACTGAGGCGAGGTCCTATCCAAACTCCATGTGTGTCCTCCGTGCATTCGCGAAACACATTTATTTTCGTCGATTTATTTAGGCGTACGTCAAGATTTCATTCCTATCCATGTGACACACATACACGGTACGAGAAAGAAACAGAGCCCAAATAATGCGAATCGAATCGAATGTTTCAATCGAATCGAATCGAATCGTCACTCAGAGATAACAGGATCGAAGCTACCGTACGGTCGTACTAGCTAGCTAGCTACCAACAGACAAGCAACCTGAGGGTACCCTACAAGCTACTACCTGTGTATATCTGTTAGCCTTCTTGGTTGTCGAGATGGGTCTGTTGGTAGCTAGCTAGTAAGACCGTACGGTACGGTAGCTTCGATCGAACGGTGCTGTACCATACGTGTTCATTGGTTCCTCTTTTTCGTTAGAGTTGGGGATTTGTACCCGTGATTGAGTTCGGCTGGCTCCAACGTTCTGATTGGTCCTACGCGAAAACCATTTCCATGAAAGCTACGGTACGGCGAATTGAGAATGGGAAATCAATGGTTCGCCGTACCGCAGCTTTCATGGAAATGGAGGGAAAGCAAGCCGCTTTTTGCCGTTATCTTGATTTCACGTACGTACGGAGGAAGAAAGAGGTGCAAATAGGTGGTTAGGACCAACTCTGAAAACATTCACGGGGGGTGGCACAAATAATCAATTGCTATTTTCTGCATCATCTTGGATCAACTTTAGGAGTAATTTGCCACTTTCAACCATGCGACACCTCACTGGAGTAAGAAATGTTACAATGGGGCCTGTTTTATCCATCATGCACTTAAAATTGAAGCTTGGCAGTCCAATATTGTACTAGCCTTGACCTTTTGTAGCCTTGACCTTTTGTAGCCTTGACCATTGTACATGTAGCTATGGCCGTTTGACTTGACAAACACAAGTGGCCATGCTTTTTTAGTAGCCTACACAAAAGTGGCTGAATCATTGCTCCTACTGGACAGGTCCATTGAATTGTGAATCTATCTCAGCTAGTTGGTCCGTCCATGTCTTCTCCCACGACGAAGATTGTAGGAGGAAGGACAGGGTAAGCCATTCCTGATGCTCATTATTGGTACGATCTAGTTGCTTAGCAACTCGGAGGAGGATTTTACAAGGTATTGTAAATGACCTTGGTGCTTTCAGAACATTGATAAACTTCTCGGTACCACTACATACATGTACTACTACGGTAGCTAGTAGTAGCTTCTAGTATTGAGACACAAAGATCTGCGCCATGATTGCCAGACGTTTGTAGAAGTCTGGATAGCCCGCAATGGCCGCTGCAGATGCAAGATGTATGTATCGTTGCCCCGCACCTGGAAGTGAATTCTTGGTTGAGATAAGTTTGAAGACGAGGAAGATGCAAAAATGGGAAGCGAATGCTTAGATGATGGTTGAACCGGGAGCGCAATGGCAACCGTGGGGAGTACCGACTCTCCAGACAGCTGCTTCCACCTCAAGAAGGGACCCCAAATGATGTTAGCCAGCCAGTAGTGCAAGTAGGGCCAAACGGTTTCCACATCTGCCCCGGCACCAGCTGCTTCCAGCGCAGAGCAAGGTCAAGACCAGATGCTTCCGGAGGTGATTCCTTTCAAACGCTCCTTAAGATGACAGGAAAAGAAAAAGAATCCAGTCGTCCTCCTATCTCGGTTACATCCTTTCTGCCGTTCGTTGGAGAAACCGAAGCACCTTTCCAACAGCGAGCACCCGAGCAGCGAACGAAACGAGACATTGCATCAGAGTCCGCTACAGTAGTTTATCTTATTGCCCACGGACGCCACCCGAGGCGGCAGTCTATCTCCGTGCCTTGCCTCCAGGTCTAAGTCCCACTTTTGGTGGTGCTCGTGGAGGTGCGGGTGACTCCTCATTTCCCGAATGGTTGTTCTCGCCTTCATCATCGTCATCGGAATCAGCATCATCCCAGTCGTCCGCGTCATTATCCTCAATACCGTAGGAGTTGCGAAGCTCTGCTTGTTGAGTGGGATCTGGTGACGGCTTTTGATCTGTTTGTGACGGCTTTTGTGCTGGTGGACGATCCACGAGCAACGAGGTTGGCAGACGTCCGAAATGTTCCTTCCAGTCCTTGACGATCTGGTTGTGCTCCTGTTGAAGTTTCTGCGTGTGCTTGGCTAAAAGACTAGCGTTCTCCTTGGCATTCGACGACGACGAAGTGGGTGGTGGGAATGAGCCCAAGATCATAGCCAGCACCTGATCCAGTAACGAGAAGCCATCATTAGTGGAAGCTCCGTTGTCGTCTTGTTCTCCGCCTGGAATCAGCGGTTGCCCACTTTCTTGGGCTTCCTCGTCCGCCCAGACTTCTTCCTGCAAACTTTCCAAGAGTTCATCGACCGATTCCATCTTCTTCTGCAATGCTGCCTTGATGGCTTGAGCCAGTTTGAGATCGTTGGTGGTGCAAAGCTCTCGAATCTTGACTTCTTCTGCCTTGGCTCGATCCAATTTGGACTGGTGTTCGGCCTCCTTGGCCGCTTCTTCCAGGCGCTTGCGACGTCTCTTGGCCAAAGCAGCCTTTCGAGCTTTATTGCCGCGTCTGCGAGGAAACGATGCTGGTAATTCTGTTTCGGTTGCGGTTGTCGTGGCTGCCTCATCATTGTTGTTCTTGTTGTTGTCTGCGTTCCCATCGTCGTCAGTATCAGCATCATCATCACGGCCATCATCCGATGCTCCACCATCATACTCGCGGTCGTGGTCGTCATTGTCATCGTCTTCATCACTGATAAACGATGGTCCAATTTGATCGTCATAATAGTCGTCGTCATCCTCGTCTTGCGCCAATCCCAACCACGGCGAATCTTGATCGGGAAATGCCAAAATAGTGGAATTCAAATCGAGCGCTTCCAGCCCGCCCACTCCCGTGGCCACACGACGTCGTCTCAATTCCACCGCCACGGCTTGATCTCTCGCTTTTTCCAATTCGGCTAATTTGGCATTTGCCATTTCCATGCGATGTTGGAGTGTTTCACTGACTTTATAGAGTTGTTCCAATTGATGCGTTCGTTTGGTCGTTTTCCATTCTCGCAATGCTTGCGATTGGTGTCGACGTTGTTTGGCGTGTTCTTCGTGCTTTGCCAGCTTCCACAATTCTTGATGCATGGCATGTTTCCACACCAACGTTCGATTGCACGCGTGTAATTTTTGCAACAACGTGTCCACAACTGCAATGGGGTGTCGTCGCAAGAGTTGTTTCCACATTTTCGATGTGGATGCCACGGTGGTCGAGCCATTGGTACACAGAAATTCTGGATACCGTACCAGCACGGAGTATTCTGGTTTGGTTTCGTCATTCATTTCTTCCGTCGTGGCATGACGAGCCACTCCTCCTTCGAGCAATTCCGTCAATCGCCGATCAAAATGTTGGGCCGCTTCTACATCGTGTTGTATATTGTTGTCGTCGTCTGGATTGCTGGCCGATCCATACCACAATGCCGCGTGAATTTGACGTTCCATGTCTTTCATGCAGGAAGGACGATAGCCAGCCAGGCGTGCGGCATCGACCACCATGACGGGCATGTGAGGTGGAGGCGAATCGCTGTCGATGCTGTCCACACTGGTATCATCATCATCATCGTCATTATTTTCTTCTTCCTTGGCATCTTCTTCTTCTTCAGCGGCAGCAGCAGAAACGCCTGGAAGTTCCTCATTCCAATCATCCAGTGGATCCTCACTGGTGGGTGCGACAAATGCAGCTTCTTCTTCCTCATCATCACTGTCATCGTCACTGTCACCATCCTTTTTCTTGGACAAGAAGGAAAGCTTGGGCTGTTGTTGCGACGGAAGGGGAGGCTGATGCTGGCGAAGACGATCCGCTAAATCCGCCGAGAGCGAAACCGTCACACCCAGGTCTCCATTGGCCGTCAGGAGATCACCGCCATTCATTGTCATCTTGCTTGATCGGTTATCAATTTGAGGGTTGTCCATTGTCCATGTTTCAAGAAGTTGGTCACGTCTCGGGTCTCGGGTGGCTGCCAATGTAAAGAGCAACGGGAGAAGGAAAGACGCCTGGATGTGATCAGCTCTACGGTTTTACTTCTCTTTTTAGACAACTGGGACCGAACCCATAGTCTGGCTCATTACCGGAAGCCTCACTTTTTCAAGTCCATCCAATCATCTAGACCAAACCAAGGATGCGACGTCGCTCACAACAACATTTGCAGCAACAACAACATCCGCAAAGGTATTCTTTCATAGCCTGTCAACAAAAGAACAACACCAGGGATTCCAACGTGGTCCCCCACCGTAGTACTAACCTGGCCCGACGATGCTTAACTTCGCTGAGCAGACGGGAAGCGGTGCTGTCATCGTGGTATGGTCGTTCCTGAAGATGTAGAAGCAACAAAGGCTCACTAATAATTCAACAAAGTCAAGGAGACAGAGATAGCCGACAGTTGCCTTTGTTTGATCTAACAATGGCAGAAGAGACCAATGAGGACAAGGCGGCTCTTTTGCCTTGACGAAGTCGTCCCAAGCGTCGTTGATGTTGGCACGATGAAGAAGTATCGTGATACCAACTTGATGACAATGTCTCGTCAATGGCTTTATTATTACTCACGGAAAACAGCACAGCCACAAAGCTGCATAGCCAGAGAAAAACAGAATGGTGGTACTTGGCACATCCGTGAAGCAGTGGATAAGAACCAGATTGTAATACGGGAGTGGGCAAGTCGAGGGAGGAACAGCTACAGTCATATGCGCACGGAAGCAACGCTCACAAGCATCTTAAAAGACGAAATGCAAAAGTCTGCTCCAGGCAGTTGAAGGCATTGAACCAATTGTCTCACCTTTTCTCAAGGCTGCTGAAAAACAGACGAAGTGATGGTGTAGGAGGGTTGATTGAGCCGTGGATTTTAACGTAGCACTGATTCTCTGGATCTCTGGAGCAGCCACGACGGACCCATTGAAGGTTTACCTCTGTCCTTGCCCCAGCCATGCATCACAACCAACGTGCATCAATCCGCACTCAAATACTCCTTCCGCGTGAAACGTGGCTTAGCTACAAACGGGCCGTCCGGGTGTGTGCCAGGGTCGACTTCCACCCAACAAGGCGATCTCAACTCACATAAACTACCTTCCTCGCCCTTGGCCTCGGCAGTAGCTGTCTTTGAAGACAGCGAAGCGGCCAGCGAGCAAGAAGCTACAATCGCTGCACAAAGGCCACAAATCGAATTCTGACCCTCCCCCTCTCCCTCTTCTTTCCTTCCTCCCTATCCTCTTCCCATTCCCGGCTAGCAAGCAAGCTACCGGTAGCTAGCTAGCTAAAGCGTGGCTGTGTTTCCGAAAAGTGTGGGACTGACGGTTTCCAGCCGATCTTGAATACCAGTAGCTCACCCTACTAGCTGGCTACCGGTAAAGCCAACTAGCCAGCCAGAGCTGGTGCCGTACCGGTAGTGCATTATTATTGTAGACGCCATTTTTTACTATTGTACTCTCGAACTCGTAATCTCTGGGTACCGTGCCATTCAAAATTCTGGAAGTGGCAAGTGACAAAAAGGTGTGACAGATCATTAAGTCAGCGGGAGCTGCGATACCTCGGCAGAAAGACAGATAGAAGAAGGAGGAGCATGTTCGAGATTGCATCCATCTTTCAAGCCCTGGCGACAACACCCGACTCTCGTGTGTTGCGCCCGGTATCATTCATTCCCTCATTGCAACTTCTTTATTAAGCTAGCCCTGGCGACAACACCCGACTACGTCGTGTGTTGCCGCCCGGTATCATTCATTCCCTCATTGCAACCTTCTTTATTAAGCTAGCCCTGGCGACAACACCCGACTACGTCGTGTGTTGCCGCCCGCTACTCTATAATTTACCATCTGCCATTCCCTTATTGTAACTCTAACCTTTACAGCTCCTGCTGCTTATTGTGCTGTTGTGTTGATTGCACTAACCTTAAATATTAATGATTATTCCTACCCTAACTTGATTGAACCATCAATGTTCAGTTTTGTTGGCTTATACTATCTCTATCCTATACTTTGGCTTCACCGGAATAGGAAATAGGAAATAGGTAAGTCAGCGGGAGCTGCGATACCTCGGCAGAAAGCAGATAGAAGAAGGAGGATCATGTTCGGATGCACCCATCTTTCAAGCTAGCCCTGGCGACAACACCGACTACGCGTGTGTTGCCGCCGGTATCATTCATTCCCTCATTGCAACCTTCTTTTATTAAGCTAGCCCTGGCGACAACACCCGACTACGTCGTGTGTTGCCGCCCGCCACTCTATAATTTACCAGCTGCATTCCCTTATTGTAACTCTAACCTTTACAGCTCCTGCTGCTTATTGTGCTTTTGTGATGATTGCACTAACCTTAAATATTAATGATTTATTCCTTACCCCTAACTTGTATTGAACCATCAATGTTCAGTTTTGTTGCTTATACTATCTCTATCCTTATATTTGGCTTCACCGGAATAGGAAATAGTAGCATTAAAGGGGTTGAGAACTCAGGCAGTTTACCTGCGAGGTAAATAGCATTAAAGGGGTTGAGAACTCAGGCAGTTAACCTGCCGAGGTAAAAGGGCCATGTAGATCTATGCATAGCCAACGGCCCAACAACACCCGTCCCATGCTTCCTGCAGTAGTAGTACCAGTATCGTCCTAGCGTCGTCATAGCATTCTTGACATCCAAGGTAGAAGCGTCCCACCATGGACGACAGATCCAGTGCCTTTTCTGGTTCCACCGGTACTGATGGCTACGAGACGCCTGATGAAGAAGAATCCCCAACCTCCAAGACGGTCCGATTCGCTACAGAGTTAGTAGAACAAGATAATCCTCTTGACCCTGATGTTGTCAATGATTCCCAGATTGACAAGAAAAGGTGCAGGCTGATGAGGAGGGTCTTTCACAGGTATCCTCGCTGTTATGCGTTCTGGATAGGAATGGTGTTCCCACTCTGGTTTCTGGTGTTTCTGAGCTTGCTTGGTGGCAAACTATTGGGAGATTTTGAGTTTGGTAATGAAGTGGCGGCAAACAATGAAGCCATGAGGAACCAACTATTGGAAAAAACGTATGGTCAAGTGGTGTCTGATTCAGTGGTTTACAGTCCACGGGCTTGCTATACGCTTTACAGGCAGAGGATTGCTGTGGAAAACCTTACCAACTTCTGGGCCTTCATTTACGATCAAGATGAGAGCTTGCCGGACTTTCTGAACGGAACAGAATCAAACTTCGATGAAGATGATGTTATCAGTCTCAACATAACTGATTTCATCAATTATCTGGGTGAATGCGGAAAGGTTGCGGATAATTTTACTGACACTGTTCAAGACACCTTCTTTGGTGACTTGGATGTATCAGTTGCTGGATCAACCAGCCTCACATTCAGCTGGAGTCGATGTGTCAATGACAGTGTCCCAGGTTCTTACAATAATGTTTTTCACCCAAGCTTGTCGCAAATATATGCCGTCCACCCAAACAACCAATCTGCGACATTCCAATCAGTTTGGAACGAAGAACAACAGCGACTAGAGGATGAGTATCTCCAGCAATATCGAGCCGACAATACATCAAATGCTGGTTTGAAAGCATTCAATGACAGCATCTTTGACGCTAGTGCTAAGCATACTTGTGCTATTAACATTCCTGCAACAGGTGCGTCAAGGAACCAAACATGATCACTGCTTCATATTTCATTCCTGGCTGACCTCTGTATTTGTTTATCCTGATGATCTCCAGCCTGGTTTTGGTTCACTGTGATGACCACGGTGGTAAGTGAGCGTCTGGAGGCCAAAAGGACATTTATCGCTTTGCGTCTCTGACCACTATTGCTATCCCACAGGGGTATGGAAATCAGGCTCCCAGCACTCTGGGGGGGCGAATTCTTATCTTCACCTTTGGCTCCTTTTCTATTCTCATGTTCGGTGGTGTCCTGGCAGCATCCGGTGTGATTACCTCACTTTTTGTGAATGACTTTGCCATACGACTGAGACTTCGACTACTTGCCAACAAATTTGTTATGATTGTCGTATGGGGTCTATTGTGGATAGGATGGATGACTTATATGGCTTCTCAAGCCATTTATTGGAGAAAGTGGCGTCTGTTAGAGGAAATGTCATGGGAAGAAGCACTTTGGTTTGCATTTATCAGCACCACAACTGTTGGTCTGGGGGATTTCTATCCAAATCCTGAAGTCATGTTCATTTCGGATTTGCTATTCTTCTCGCTTTCGTTTCTTTTTGGTTTTGTCCTCATCTCTGCTTTCCTGACAGAGATGACACTGGTGTATTACTCTCCGGATTTGAGCGAAGAACTGGCCAAACGACTAAAATATGTCGGTGTTTTGCCATGCAAGGGCTGGCTGCATGGGCAACGGTCAGATTTTGATGAGTCCAGGACTCACGAAGATGCAGATCAATTGTCCAACCAGGGAACACCAGCAAAAGAACCTGATATCCCAGGTTTACCGGAACAACCATCAGAAATTCCGTAGTTCCAAAGAATCTGATTTCAGTTGGTCAGCTATGAGTGGATCGTTGTCATATGGACCAGAGGTTGATCTTGACGAGTTGGCGGTGGCAAACACCATGTAAAGAAATCAGGATCGTGCCACGTTCATGGGGCGTGGTTCAAAGGGTGTCCCACCTCTTGAAAGAGAAGTTGCACGAGTGGAGGGAGAGCCTTTTTGGTTTCTAGGCAAAAACAGCCATGTTCCACAAGAGTTCAGCTAGTGCTGGGTCGATCATGCATACGATGTGTGCCTCATTGTTTAGTTACCAAAAGGCTGCCCTTCTGAGATGGTCCATGTTGAACTGGATCTCATCTCACCACGACCTGTCTCGTCTCCACATTCAGATCGGCCGACTTCTGTGAGTTGGCCATGTCTGTCAACTCAAAATGCAACTGATATAAGAATAGAGGAAACATAGGAAGCGTCCTGATTTTTCTCAAGATACGAATTTACCTGCTAGCTAGCTAGATGATCTCGTATCAATGTCACTCTTTGTTCAGCGGCAGCTTCGGCAATCGCATCAAAGCCCAGCGGCACCCATTCCTTCTTCAAAAGGAGCCGCAGGAGTCACCTTTTCCAGCTCCTTTTCCACTGTTCCCCCACAGGTGCTTCCTTTCCCCCAAGCATCCTGGCATGGCGAATGTACCGAACAGTGTAAGCCAGCTTCGCTGGATTTCGTAAGAATGAGCGCACATTTGAACCTAGAGTTTCCAACGGCAAAGCTTCCAGAGCGACGGTCACAAAGACACAAACAGCCGAAGAATCTACAATCTATTGTCAAGCAAGCACCTCTAGCAACACAAAGATAAAGCACCATGGCCGAAGACGAAGAAGAGGACAAGAAGAAAAAGAAGAAGAAGGCCAAAGCCAAGACCGGAAAATCCAAGCTTGGGGGCAGTAGTGAGCACGCGGAATTGACCTATGAAGAAGTTTGCAAGAAGGACATGACCTTTGTCGATGGGCTGATCAATAGTCGGGATCCAATTTCGACCGAAGAGGATGACTTTGTCGATTGGATTCTCAATAGACCAGACGGCAGAGCCATGTACGACAAGTACAAGGGTGGAGCGGGCAAGTGTGGTGTTGTCAAATGCGTGATTCAATAGTGATTGCCCTGAATGACTGTGGCATACCGAAGTGGAGCCTTCCGCACTATTTCGGCTCATCGTCCCCTGATACATATGTACAAGCGTACCCCGGCACTCGCAATAATCCGCAGTCCACAATGAAGTTAGATTGATGAAAAAATGTAGCTGAAGACCCTGAATTCTTTGTCCAACGATGTAAAGCTAATAAATGTTAACTTTTTAGACAATGTCTTCTGCTCAGAACTGCAGCCAAAGGGGCATCCTGTTGGGTCCATGTATCGGTAGGGGTGTAGGAACGATGAAAATCTTTGCCATAGGTGCTTCTGTGCTTTTCACTGAATCAGGCTTTTGTTTGTAATGCCGATGCCTTGCTTGGTGTGCTGTACAGATTTACCGGTAGTCGCCAGTGTGTGGCCAGCAACTGTGCCTGGAAGGCGACAATAGCATGACTGTTTCTTTTCGCTCTCTAATAACTCTCTGAGCACTTTCTTTGCTCATATTTGCGTGAAGCACAGCATCATGCTTGTCTAGCTACTGAGTAATAGCTAGCTACAAACTAATGCCAGAGGCCGAAATGTCCTCTCCCCGGCGGCTCTTGGGAATGGACTTGGATATCTTGTGGGAGATAAACATGGGTTCGGCCTCATGACGGCGACCCCCTGGAATCCCCGCATTGGAGGCGTCCGTGAGCAGCTCTTCTTCGTCCTCTTTGGTTGCTCCATTCGGGTCGTTGTCGGCCCCGAGCTCGTCTTCGCGACAGCTACAAATGAAATCGAAGCGTTCCATCTCCAGCTCATTCAAGTGAGCTATCACTTGTGAAAAGGAGACCATATTGCTGTTGTTGGTTGTTGCCGAATCTACTGCTTTCACGACTGCCTCAACTGAAGTCTTGGCAGCGTGCGGCGGCTGTTCCAGTATCCCCACCAACCGTTCCTTGGACAGCTTACACGTAGCTGATTGCTTGCATTGGCGAAAGACGTCGAGAATCAGTTCTTCTTCAAACTGAAACTTGCGATCCAACACGTCGTTCAGCACAATTTCATCTTGGACTAGTTCTTTGCGGCATCAAGACACGGCGGCTCGTTTCAGCTGTAACTGGTTGGCATATTCTTGATCTTGTGCCGGCATTATTATTTTGGGTTTGTTGTCTTGATATTGGACCAGCCATGCATGTTGGAGTGCCGATTCGGCTGTGGGTCGACGGGATGGGACGATTTGCAACAAACTAGCTACAAACTGTTTGGCTTTGGGGCGGATTGTGGCCTAACTGGGCCCCTTCATATTCATTTTCATGTACTCACATCAAATGATTCGATCAATCATGAATTTCTTTCGCTTTTCCCAACTCATTTCTTTGGGAGGTCCCACAAATGGTTGTTCCCCCGACAAAAGTAAACGATGCATATACGCCACTGCCGACAGACTCTTTCGGACAATGGCCGCTGCTTCCGGTTCTGTGGGATTTCTTTCACACAAATTCCCTCCCCAACAAAATTCCAAAAAGAGATAAATGTGTCGCTTGCGTTCAAATGCTTCCACGGTATTCACAGTGTTAGGGTGACACAAACGACTCATAGTAAAGATTTCCGCTCTCAAGTACTTGTCATTTCGTACATGATTCTTCATGATGGATTTTAAGGCATAGACTTCTTCTTCCTTGAAAAGGTGGCGCCATCGTGATTGGCAGCCGCTGCTCTCATGATATCGGCACGCTCCTTGTAGGGGACGTCTACTCGGTGAGGTCTCCTTCGAACCAAGTGAATGCTGGAGATGGAACCTTCGGCCAGTAGCCGTATCGGTTCCCAATACTCTAGGGCACACAATTATTGGGTCCTGCAGCAGCTGCTGCTGTTTGTCGGCGAACTGGTTTCCTTCGTCTCGTGGTCATCGTCGATTTGTTGCTTTAAGGGTGCGGACTGTTCACAACCCATGGTTGTTGCAGCTTGCTCGAGTACACGTAGCCGACAGCTGCTGCTGCCACTGCCTGCTACCGCTTCTTGCATGCGAGAAGCCTCATTTTGAATCTTGATGGCTGCGAACTTTTCTGAGAGTGCTCAAGAATTCTATCGAAGTAATTGATGCCGGTTCCTATGATCTGTGACTGACCTAGTCGAGTGCCGGTTGAAGTTCAATGGGACGGACGGGACCGGGACCGGCCAACTTGCATGCGTATTTGACCAGTTCTTCCTCCGCCTCCACCCAACCGAAACAGGAGGTGCCGGCACCGGAATGTCGAGTGGAAAGCTACTGACGCAAATGCGAAGACGAATGCTGGATCCACACAAAGGGTGGAAAGCGACCAACGCAAATGCGAAGACGTCTAAAGGCTAGCTGACGTGTCCTTAAACAGTTTCTAAGGAACAGCCTCTTTCTGCAATGGAGTTCTTCGCGATGATTTAAAGATAGCACGATTGAATCATTCGATGAGTGACAAATTCGAACTGTCCGAGCGGCTTCCTCTTCTCTTCTCTTCGCTGCAAGCTGTGGTCTTGAGCTGATCTAATCTTGTTAGTCGGGTCAGTCAAGTCTTGATCGGAGCCAAGCGGTACGTACCGAGACAGCGCATGTGGGGAACCCAACAAGTACCAGACTGGTACCGGTACCAGTACTGTACTGGTCCCTCTGGTGCTGCAGCGCTGCCTCTGTTTGTTGGGAAGGACCTGCAACCTGCAGTGGCGAGCTACCTGTAGATAGTACTATTAGTCGACAATGGCAGGCACGGTGTGGTATCGGGAATGATGTATACTATATGTTACAATACGGTACTATTGATTTTGCTTGTGTAGTCGTAAGAGGAGACGAAGATCACATGGTTGATAGGGAGGATTAAGAGATGTAGACTGCTGATCAATAGATGGTTGCGTTAGCGACCCCAGAAGTGCTCAACGCAAATGGCGTTGTCTTCGTTGGCACATCATGGCATCCAGTCGGAGTTTGGCTTTTCCCCATCGAACATCCCCCACAGTTGTTTTGAGTGCACTTTCCACCAATCGCTCCAGCGAGGTTGATGCTAGGTCGCCGCTCTTGCGTCTTCGGTTGCACTCTTGAACAACCTGCTTGACCCGGTAGCGCATAGCGTAATCCCCCGATTGTTCCAAGTCTTGAAGGAGGATCTTAATGAGAACGAGAAACCGGAGGTTCTTGTGGGAAGACTTGGATCGTTTCAGGGCATCTTTGGCGGAGTTGGTGGGTAATGATGTCCGTCTGGGCTGCTGCTGTTGTTGTGGAGCCAGGACAACTCTTGGAGCGGTCGTCATGGCAGAACCAAAGGCACTGGTAAAGGATGGTGCCGGTGCTGCAGCTCTGGGAAGAGTTTGAAGCGGAGGGAAGGATCCAGCAGCGACAAGGGAATTCAACATCATGGATGCTTGGAGAGAATTGAATTGCATGGGTTGTGGCTGCATGGTGTGAGTTGTTTTAGCTTCAAATAAGTGTAATTGTGAGATAGGCTTGGCAACTTGGCAAGTTTTGATTTTGTGATCTCACGAAGAGGGTTTCCCAATGGGTCAGGACTCTTTTTTGTCTCTCGGTACATTTGCTACGACAGGCCACGCACAGTCGCTTTTTGCTTCGTATGACGTAGAACCAAACTTCGCATTTGGCTCAGGATCGGTGTCGCACGGTACCGTCTCTCCGCCACAGAACCCGCGTGCTCTTGAGAGTTCTCTTACAAGCACTGCCCATTGACCACTGTAGAGCTCAGTACTGTGATCTTGTACCGTAAACCTTTGAATCAATGTTCGAGTTTCGGTGTTCGGATTGGCCCTTCATCCGCCTCACAAAATGAAATCAGCTCCCACGGTCCCACGACTGAAAGTCCCTGGTGGGCTGGTGGGTGGTTAGACTAGCTTTGCTACTGCGATTGTGGTGCTACCGTAGCTATTAATAGTAGGGTTGGCAGCTGCCAGTACAGTGCCCAATTTCTGTGTTGCAGCACCCAGGTCACCGCATCCTTCTCATTTGGACCAATCCTATCATGGGTGGTCAAGTGCAATTTCTCGCCTTCGGATTGGCTACCTGACCTCTTCTAATTCTCGCAGTTGCATTTGCTGGACTACCGTAGTCCTTGTGTATCACCATCACGCATGGTGCGGTAGCGGTACCTGGTACAGTACGTAGGCTGTGCGTGGGGTTTCTAAACAAGTCCTGTCGCATCTGGCTTCCAAGCTGAGGATACAGCATCGGTACGTAGGTACAGTCGCACGGTACCGGTGGCAATCAGCTCTTCAAAAGCACAAGTTCGAGTTCCCATTCGATGCACACTGCGCACTGGGTCGTTGACCACTCCAACCTCAGCAAGTAAGTTTTGAGACAGCTGGTATGCATACGAAGTTGGTCTATTGACTGAATTAACGGAACAACTTCAACAATTCTCATTCGCAGCGGGCAATAGTGAATGATTGAATCAAAGAGCAAGAACCAAACTGCACAGTTTGAAGTGGGGCAGCTCTAATGAGTTAGGGGCGGAACGCGAATTTCTGGCTTTCGCCAACTCTTTCGCCTACCCTTCCCATTCAGTGCAAAGTGCAGTACTCGTACACCGGTGCTCTAAAAACAAGGCGGTCGCACCGACCACCGAGGACTACGAGTACTAGCTAGTAGTCTACCTGCTACGTCTGAACCTTGATTCGATTCGATTCATGAGCTATTCATGTTGGCGGGCTGCCTTGTGGGAAGCCTCGAACGAAGGGTCGCGCTTTGGGAGCACGAAAACTTGTAGCACGCAAACGTTGTACAGAGGATGATGTAAGGGCTTCATCTTCTCGTTGGCACAAGATATCAAACAATCATAGTTTCTCCGCTCACCAAAAGAGAATAGAGCGGGATCCCTTTTGACTGGGTGCCAACGGGAACCTCATTGGCTATTACCGGTACCTGCCTGAAGCCCGAAGTGCATCTGATATGGTACTGTGTTGCTTGCCAGGAACGAAATCGTGTCGAGGCTACTGGCAGGCTTGCTGGAATAGACAGCTCGAGATGCTGCACAAGATTCCCCTTTCGAAGGCAAACTTCTCATTGGAACTGACGTCCTGCTTCGAGTTTCTTCTCCGCCACAAAAGATCCATGGGGCGGCCCAAACGGGAACCTTGCATCCTGCCAGGCTTGAAAGCCTGTTTGATTCCTGGCTGATCGCACGGTACGGGCACGGTGGTAGGGCGTATGTACAGCTCACTCCAACCGGTACGGAGCTTCTCATTTGAACTCTTGATTGAAAGATTTGACATCACAGTCCTGCCTCGGCTTCGGCCACTCGTTCATTCTCGATTCTCGAGGGGCGCGGGTGAAGTGGTACTAGCTAGCTAGAGTGCTTTCTCAGTAGCACTGTACGTCGGGGGCTACATGTACCGGTACAAAAGCAGTTCTCGTTGGTATCGGGCTGTAGTTACAATGACGCTGTTCAAGTTGCCAATTTCCTTGACTGGCCTGATGTGGTGGGCTTGCTCACTTCGAATGGTGAGCGCCGCCAATGGGATGTTTTCTGCTCCCTGCGTCCCTTGCTCTCCTGGTCGCATTGAAGTCGTTTCCCTTCTCATTGGCCTGACTACATGTACTGCTGGCTAGATGGCTTTGGACTGAGGCTGACTCCGCGTTCCAGCTTAGTTACGGTAGGGGTACGATACCCCGAAGCAGTGGAGGCAATTGCAAAAGGACGTTGACATGTGGGTATTGGGAGGCACCTCCCTGGCCTTCGGAGCAACTTCAGTGTTTCTATGTTCGAAGTTGTTCTGTGCAGCTGTGCAGTGTACTAACTGAGATCTAATTTTTAAAATGCATCTTTTTGGGCCAATGAAATCCGTCCCATGGTTGTATCTTCGTATCTTCCCTACCAAGCGAAGTTCATCTTTTCACAAAAATGATTCAAATCGTCTGCAAATGCTACCCCGAATTCTTCGCAGCAGCTCAAGTCATCCGTATCATTGAAGTCAATGCTTCCAATGGAATCATCGTCCAAAGAAAGAGGCTCGGTGTCAATGGTAGAAAAAGTGAGCGTCTCAGGAACATCTTCTTCATCAAAGGTGTTGACAGCATCAATGTCAAAGAGAGCTGCTGTCAGCAATGAGCAACGTTTGCCGCACACTGAAGCACCTGTCACAGAACATCGCTTCTCGGAAAATGTCATTGTCAATGAGTAACGTTTGTGATTTCGCTCAGGTTGTTCCGTGGTGGTTGTGTCGATGGTCGATGCCCAGTTGAATTCCTTGACCATGGTACAACAAGGAAGAAACTTGCCCTCGGTTGATTCCTGAGAGCGGGTACTTTGCGATGAATCGCTGCTGTCATAGCTCTTTTGGCTATCTGCACTGAGAAGCTGCGTCGAACATGCAGAGGCAGAGACGAATGTCTCGGTTTGGTACTCCACGATTTGCTGCTGGATGCGAGCTCGGGCCTTGGCCTTGGTACTGCTTGGGTAAATTTCGTGGAGGAGATCTCGGAAAGTTTGTCCGACCTTTTCCTTGGCTTGACGGTCCCCGATTTCATAGTAGACACCCTTGATCTGCTTCACAAAGCCTCCCTGAGGGCTGAGGTGTCGGACCGTGTTCACGATATGAGAAACAATTTTGCTCTTTTGGTACTTGCAAGTTGCCGAAGCATATGTCTTCTGATGGAGTTTGGCAAGGGCGCGGAATCTTTGGTTTCCTTCGTGGTTGAATGCTCGTCGTCCTCGAGCACAGATAACAGTGTAGGGACCGGGTCGGAATGATGCATCAAGTTGCCTTTTCTGATTGGGACTGGTAATGAAGTCAATGGAGGAGGGGAGGTTGTTGAAGCTGATTTCAATTGGCATTGACATGATTGTGATTTGCTGAATGATATGATATGATTTGATTCGTATCTTTTGTTTGTTTGTTTTGTGGTTGTTGTTTTGCTTTTTGCTGAATTTGTGAGCACAAGGATCTCTTCGCATGAGCACTCAATTGCTGCAGCGCTCCTCTGCTTGGTTCAGTTGGCCCTACCGTAATAGAACGCGGTTTTGACAAACAAACTAACTAACTATCAAATCGTTCGCACATCAACTTCAACTATTCATGTAAGGCATAGCTAATGCATGCACCCCGTTTGAGTTTTCGGGACTCACAATGTAGTAAAAAGGCTCTTTGTGATGAATATTTTACTCGCGTCTTCTCTTGCTTCAAGGGCTCTTGTTAACTAGATATTGGGAGAACTAAAGGAGTCGTTGACGTGGCAACTTCTTATGGAGTCTCGGCCGATCGTTGGGCTGGCAGGTTGCGAGGTAGAAGACGAGCAGGCACGATGCGACAGTCGAGTCCAGTAGTGGATCTTGAACTGTCATGACTCCCGAATGGCATGCAGGGTTTTAAGCCAGCGAAATTATTGTCTTGGCAGCTTCACAAGGTGCAAGAACGAAGGGCGTCCATAGCTGCACGCAGATAACCGTACTGCTAGCTAGCTAGAAGCTACATACTACTCTGAGTAGTCTAGAGAGCAGCCAGAACCTAAGGATTTCAGCAGGATGTAGTTTCTGTGTTTCTTGTCACACTTCCTATATCATTGTTACCACTTGTCCTACTCAAAGTCGACAAAAAAGTTCGGATTCGAATCCTCCACAGTCGGGCCTCGTGACAAACGTTCAGATCGCTCCCGGATCCCGGGCAAGTGACAAAGATACTTGAAACTAACTGTTGATGCAAACACAACTACATTGTAGTTCCAGCAACTGAGTGGCAACTTGTTCTCGGTGCAAAAATCAACCAGCGTTTAATATTCGAAAACTAGCTTTAGTGTGGTTTTGTTTTGTTGACATGAACCATCCTCCAATCAAAATCATCTTATTGGTTCATGGTTCCTTCATCCAAAGTGAGTCGATTCGAATAGGGGATGATCCAGTGGTGGTAGGTTTTGCTTGTATGATTGATACGGTTTTGAATTTCAATCGGCTCATGCATGCATATATACTTGCTCGATGATTGATTGATTGATTGTGGTATTGCTTTATACGGTAGTAGTTGGTAGGTTGTGGTTTTGGGAGATAATAAAGAGTTAGAGAATGGCATATTGCTGGGTCGATTTTTTTCGTTTCATTTCATCCCCACATAGTCCACTGGGAATGGTGACACTTGGCAAAAATATCTTGACTTCTTCTTTTTGGGGGTGTTTCATTTCATTTATTTCGTCTCGTTCACAGTATCAGACATACACTACTTTGTTTGGGAGTGCATCCTACTTGTTCGGTATCAATAATCAATTCAGGTCCTGGTGGTCCTTTGGATATTTTGTCCCCGGCCACAATCACCAATCGAATGCAATAACTGGTACCTGGATTCAAATTGGTGGCAACGGCCTTGGTTTTTCCATTTTGTGCCACCACAGGCTCTGTCCCGGCGGAATCCCATGGTTGTTGGACTTCTTTCCATTGCAATTCGTAGTTGCTGTGACCTGCTTCCGCTTTGAATTGGACCTGTATTTCTGTCTGTTATGGAGGAGCGTCGAAAAAGAAACAAATAGAAAGTGTGAGAGAGATACCCCCGATGTGTGCAATAAAGGACTCTTCTATTTTCTTTTTTGAGGTTCTCCGATACTATCTAGCGGAAACAAGTGTCGTCATGTGAAATCCTAAGATAAACACAGTTCCGTCGTTTAAAAAGTTTTTGTTTCATCATGGAACCCACCGCAAACAAACACAATGAATCAAACAAACAAAACAAAATTGGACTCCTCCGCAAGTAGAAATTATTGAATATCAGCATTGTCTTCACCATCATCGAGATGATGGTGAAAACAGAATCAGCAATCTCATGTAGAAACAATCCATCACTGGAGTCCAGACACCACACAAACATCCCCAAAGCATGCGTTGGAGCATACATACAACACCGAGACAGCACCACCAAAGATGGCCGATACCCCAACGAAGCAACTAACTAACCTCTGTCGCCTCTATCAGTTCGATCTTTGGCGCTGATGGAATGGACATTGTGATAATCAATAACTAGACAACAGTAGCGGATGAAGAGTCAAGGAGCGAAGTATAAAGATGGATGGGTAACAGTAGCCTTCACCAACAAACACAACAGACAACAAGCAAATGCTCTCTTTCGGCGTATCTCTCTCTCATTGGCAATTTTTGACCGTTCATCAACTTGGCCGGCTTGCGTTTTTCAAAATAAGCCAGCAAACACAAGCCAGTTAAGCCGTTTCATCTGTCCTTGCTAGTATGCATACTAGGACCGGTACTGGTACCGGTAGCCACCAACGCAGAAAGGTCCGGAGTTTTTCATTCGTTGGCTGTTGACACCCACCATGACATGGGCTTCCTTTTCCACCATCGCTTACAGCTGCACATTCCACCGACGAACCGTCCCAGCAACCATACAAGTGGGTTAGACTGGCTATTGAAAATTCAGAGGAAACAGCCAACTTTCTTCTTCCATCAAGTCTTGATTCTAAAAAAGATATCATTATCCTCTTCTGTTCTGTCCACGGGGACAAGCCTATCAATCATATTTTGAAGATCATTGGCATTTATGGGTAGCAACCAACCATGATGATACTGAACTGCCAATGTGCCCTGCTTTTGCTATTCCTTTCCATAGCCGCTACACACGGTGCTACCGCATCGCAAAGGTGTCAGAATTCTTGCTTGGCGCCATCAACCCCCACCAGCAACAACAACAGCAACAGCAACAACAATGCTACCCCCAACAACAGCATTCCTGCGACTACCCTCAGCGACAAAGCACCCGATGTCAGTGATAATAAGGAATCTTCTTCGGTCTGGGGGTCCATGAAGAACCCCTTCAAACGGCCGGCATTTGACATTGTGCCCTTGCCAAGACTTAAACCACAAAAGAAGAAACAACGTCGTCCCAAAGAAGAACTTCCACCCAAGGCTGCTACGGTCAAGCAACATCAGCCCAGTGGAACTCGGTTTGACTTGCGGCCGCCATCGCCCGAACGCATTGCACGGTGGTTTGCTCCTGCTGCTGACGACAATCGGCAGTTGCTCGGTGGTAGCACTCGCAAAACTCTCTTTAACCATGGTAAGATTCAGTTCATCTATTCTGATTCATGGCTCATCAAGGCATTGGTTGCTCACATACATGATGACTACCCTTGCATAAAAAGATTCCGTGGGAATGACCAATCCTGTGTTGCATGTTTCCGTGGAGGAAAAGAACAACTACTTGATCGATGATGACACGGCTTCGACGGTGGTATCCTTGGCCAACTCGGACACGACAACAACCTTTGAGCTGCAAGACACTTGGATACCGGCATCCACCACCACAACACATTCAACCCCACCATCCAGTCGAGAGGCTACTCGAGTCTGGCAATACAAAGTACGAGCACCTCCTCCCGATGCCACCGAAGCCGAACAGGCGTGGTTCCCGGCGGCGTTGCGCACGGACAAATGGCGTCAATGCCGGTATCGTCGACGAGTGGGGCAAGGGCAAGAGTGTTACGAACGAGTCCGAGAAGCCGCTCTGGCATGGCAGTTCCGAGACTCCACCAACAAGGGAATTCTACCCGTACAACAACAACAGCGCAGTGACAAGGAAAATAATTGCTGCTTTGCACTCAATGACCAAGCATCGCAGCAAGTGCAACCGCTATGGTCCGGTCCTCACACTCAAGGCAGTCGACGACTCGTCACGTTTACTACAACGGGGTTCAAAACAAGATGGTTGCCCAAACTCTATACCATGAATCCTGTCATGGTGGTGTACGATCTCTTGGATCAACGGTAAGTGGAGTTTTCCTGATTGGAGGTTGCGTTGAATTCATTCAAATCTGTGACTGACTGACCATGCCGACCTGATCTATCTAACAGTGGTCCTGCGACCACATACAGCTCTACCGCCTATGCCACACTACGTGGACACTTGCTACGAGGAGAAGAGCGGGTCACGGTGGCCTTTCGGGATGACACTGGATTTGTGGATGTCGAGATACTGTCGTATTCCAAACCGGCTGGGTCACTCAAAGCCAAATGTGCGTGGCCCTTGATTGGAAAGATGCAACAACAATTCTTTCAACATCAAATGGATCATCTGGAACAAGTGGCCGCTCAGCCGTAGACGCGACACAGTGTTTCTGTTGGATTGCTTACTTACGTGTACAGTTGGTTGTGAGAAATTACTGGAAGCAACAGGTCAAAAGGGGAAGGAAAGTTTAAAATGTATTATAAAGCTGCTACTACTGCTACAACGTGGATTCAAGTTACTAGTACTCTGCTCTGCCGACTGCAACGAAACGATCATGCACAGTTTCCCCCCCTTGTTTCCAAAAGTATATCATGACGTGCCGTCCAACGAACACACCGAGTCCCAACGGTTCCCATTGTCAGTAGCAATACAGATGCCAGCACAGAATCCGTTATTGGTTGATTCGAAAGCGACACGGCAACAATGACAGCACAGCCAGTGGCATTCAATCCAGCAAATGTCGTAACAACGCACAGCATCAAAATGGCCGCAGTGACTGCTTCCACTGCCTTTGTGAGATGCGTCGAACTCGTTTCATGCGGCATGTAATCGTCACGACTGAGTCTAATGACTCTTGCCGGAGCGATCAATGGGGATTGTTCATGTGCCTGAGCCGTGTAACTTTTGTCTCGGTTGTCCATTATGGCAACGGTAGGGGTATCAAAATGATTGTCCTGCCGCGACACGATGCTGGGTAGACCAAATCCACCTTGTCCCATCATGATAAACTCTCCCTCCAGCCAGGTGCCTCGATTCCGGTAAATGGTGATCTCGGCGGGAGGCTCCATTTGCAGATCTTCCTCGCCGTCGAAGCGGTATTGTCGAAGCCTACGACGTATCTTCGAAAACAAGCCCATTTATTACAAAGCTGATATGGGAGCTTTTGCTCAAATGCGGTGTGGAAGTGCAGTGATGGCTGATTGTGGCAAAACTGCTAGCCCAAAGAGTGAGATGGAATGTGCCGTCTGCCTCCATCCCAAAGATTGCGGTAGCAAACCACGCCCATCGTTCGTCGTTTCATATTGATGGGAGTAGAATGGATCGTGTCAACGCAGAGTGTTATCGACAGTTGTATCTCACTCCAATTCATGTTGATAGAAAGAGTGGAGGGAAGCAGGTGGCTTTCGACTGAGGTGCGTGGTCCACGGTGTGGAAACGCATTCGTGGATACTCCAGCGTTTCTGATTGTTTGAGCTGTAACCGATTGACTTCTTGAAGCTCCATTCGTCTTCAGCCAGCACTCTCGAGTTGAAAGCAGAGATTATTATGCAAGCACTACTTAGACCGCCGCTACCACCCATGCACTACAGTCTGATTGATGCTGGCTACTGCGATACTAGTATTTGATTGGAAAGTGTTTTGGTGATAAATTGGTCATGTTCGCTGGAGACTGCCAGGACTAGTACAGGGAAAATCCGTCCCGAATGGCCAAACAATCGCGGAGTATTTCGCAAGCTTTGGCAAGGCTCCGCGCTAAGATATCTTCTAGTGCTTCTTGTGTGGCTAGGATGCGCACGTATGTGATACATCACTGTAGCACCATATCGAGATGAATGCAACTAGACGAAACGAATAATCTGTCTGGCGCATGTAACTCATCCCACTAGTCTTTGCCTTGCAGACTGGCTACCGCTTCTCCTTCGTCATGACCTTTTTGTCTTTCTGAAGACGCGCATTTTGCCTTGCTGGTGCGGGGGTCAACCGGTCCCCTTGCTTCTCTTTTGCCTTCGTACTCTGCCCTCCTTTTGCCTTTGCACTTGCTCCTCCTTTCACACTTTGATTCTTCTTGCTGATGTTTTCTGTGGCATCAATTTCCAAGGTTTGCTTTCCCAACACTGACTCTGACTCTAATGCCGCAACACTGGTAAAATCCGCTGGTGATTCGTTCTGTTGCTTCTTTTTTGCTTTCGTACTCTGCCCTCCTTTAGCCTTTGCACTTGCTCCTCCTTTCGCACTTTGATTCTTCTTGCTCGTTTTTTCTTCTGTGGCATCAAGTTGCAAAGTTTGCTTTCCCAGCACTGACTCTGACTCTAATGCTGCAACACTGGTAAAATCTGCTGGTGATTCGTTCTGTTGCTTCTTTTTTGATTTCGTACCTCCTTTGGCCTTTGCACTTGCTCCTCCTTTCGCACTTTGAATTTTCTTGCTCACTTTTTCTTCTGTAGTATCAACTTCCAAGGTTTGCTTTCCCAACACTGACACTGACTCTAATGCCGCATCACTGGTAGAATCTGCTGGCGATTCGTTATGTTCCTCGTCACTGCTCTTTTTTTCGCCTCCCTCGTTGCGGATTGGTTGAAACATTTCCATCTCGGCTTCTTTCCAGCCTGGTACCTTCTTCTTTTTCATTTGCTTTTTCGGTGACCCCTTCGTTTCCTTGTTCTTCAAATCTTCGTTCTTGTGAAGCGGCTGGAAATTGTTGTTGGCATCTGCCGCTTCTTCCCATGGTGCAAGCTCGCCCTTGTTAGCAGGGCCGTGCAACGGCAAGAGAGCCTCCATTTTCGCAACCGAAGATGTACCATCACTGGCAATTTCGAGCTCGCCCTCGTTAGAAGGGCCGTGCAATGGAGATAGTTCCACCTCCTTGCCCTTTGAAAACGATCCATCACTGGCAGCCTCGAGGGGAGCTTCTCCCAAAGCTACTTGTTCGCCCTTCCTGCCTTTCGTTGGTGAAGCTTCTTCTGAAGCATCTGCACCAGTCATGGGAGATGACGCATCGGAAGACGACAGCAGACTGGTGCTGTTTGTATCTGTTGCGTTCAATGTGGCGAGCCTTGAGTTGGTTTTCGCAGTGTCGATGTTGGCGACATTTCCAACAAGAACCGACTGATCAGTCTTGTTGGTGACGGAAATCGTAGCGTTGGTATTGGATGTGTTGGTGCTAGATTCAGTTTCATCACTGGCCAGTTGTAGGAGTCCATCCTTTGCCAAAGACGTATTGTTGGTGGCTGCGGATTCTTCTGCAGAGTCCACGTCTTGGTCCTCCGCAGAATCTTCGCCTTTTTCGGATTCACTTTCACCAATGTCACTGTCTTCATCCTTGCGTTGTTCCTCTCCAGTCTCGTCATTGGAGTGGTCACCAGTGCCGTCTTCATTGCCAAACTCCTGTTCTTCATGGCTATGTTCCTCGGTATCACCGGTGTGGTCTTGACTATTCTTACTAGCGCCATGATGCTCCTCTTCAGCTGCCTCTTCTTCGGAAGCAGGCTCACCGCGATCCTGTGATTCTCGCCCCTCTTCATGATGTGTTTCTTCTCCTGATTCATTGAGGTGTGAATTGTCATGATTTTGTTCATCTTCGGTATCATGATGTAGATTATTATCTTGCTCATCTTCGGTATTATGATGCTGATTATCTTGCTCATCTTCCGTGTCATGGAGCTGATTGGCATCCTCATCTTCGGTATCATGATGCTGATGATTAATGCCTTCTTCTTCCTCGCTTGCCATCCCGTCGTGATCTTCCGAACGTCCTCCATTTGGCCTTTGTTTGTCGAAATGATGTTCAGGATCGGTTTCCTCTTCTCCGCCCAGGTGAATCTTATTATTTTGCTCGTGGTCAATGGATGATTCACTGTCCAACGGTCCATTTTCGCTTCCTCCATGCTCATACTCCACTGCTGCCGTTTCATCTTCTTTGGAATCCTGATTTTGGTGATAATTCTGTGGAGTATCGTCATGGCGGTAGCTGTCGGTTTTGCTTCGACTCACTCGATTTCTTAAGCCGGAATCTCGCCGTTGATACTGCTGTTGATTGCTGCTACTATCTTTGCTTGCAGTAGTACCACTCGCAGGTGGTGGCACCTTGATATTGGACAAATGGCTGCTGCCATCCGTGGAGGGAGTGGAGGTCGAGGAGGATCCCAAAAAGGCGTAGAGTGCCAATCCACCCAGTACCGTAAAGGCACAGACATTGCGAAGCCTCGCAAACGGAGAGTGGTTCCCGTGAACATTCCTGCCGTAGCCATTGCCTCCGTAATGCGTCGGTAAGCCACCGCCACGAGGATTGCCACCAAAGGATGCGGCACGACCTCCTCGTCGAAACGGATTTTGCACTCGTCGATGTTGGACTGCCATGGTGGATAATGATGTTGATGATGATATTAATAACACTCGTAGTGGTGCCAAAAATAAATGAGTATGATTAGGATACCGCCAAAAGACTTTCACTCCTGCAAAACGATAGTTTCCAAGGCGGGACAGCCGCTGACTAATCGTCCTTTTTTAATTACAGAACCTATCTGGTACCGGTACGGTAGCTTGCTGGGGGGAAGCCAGAAAAAGGCTTGACTGCCTTTCAGTTTTGGCTTGTACGGTAGGGGTCTCTTGTACCGTAGACGGTGCCGGTGTGTCCTTGGTCCTTGGTCCTTGGAAAAGAATAATGAGCCAACGACAGCAGCTCCGCAGTCCATCCTTGACTACATTTAGGGGTCTTCAATGTTGCTCTTTCAGATCAGTTTTTGCCGCCTGAGAGAGATCTTTTGTGTCTAATCGAAACCTTCGAATTGAAGCGAATGATCAGTCGAATGAAAGATTGAATTCGATTCAAATCCGAACCGTTTAGCTTTAGTCGGAGTCTCCTGAGGTACTGGTACTGGACTTCTGAGTAGTAATAAAAATAAGATACTGGAGCTGGAAGACGTCTATTTCAATAATATTATTATTAAATAAAACACTACGAGAGCCAATGTTGGCAACACTTGACATGCAAATAAATTGGCTTCACATCCTGTTGTGAACTGAATAAAATACAAACAGCCCCAGCAGAACAAATCAAGTTGAAAGGCCTTTGCAAACAAAGATATCACAGCTGATATCACGGTGGAAGGCCTCAACAAAGATCACGATGCTGTCAAACTTGGGCACCCATCACTTCATCACTTCCGCAAACAAAAAGGTTTCGAAATCGAAAAAGACTTTAGAAGACTGTCACAATCCAACCAACCTCACCGATACCAGATATACCAATATCCCTCAACAAAACAAAGGGTCACACTAGCTAGCTAGCTGTCTCACTACTGGCACCCTGTCACCCTCTCACCGACAGCTCTCAATCAAACGAAACATCACGAAAGATCCGCTGTCAACTTGGAAACCCCATCGCTTCCGCAAAGGGTCACACTACACTCCAACCAAACTCACCGATAGCTCTCAATCAAGCAAAAAAAAATGTGTGGCTGCGACGAGTGTCCCGCTGATTGCAAGTGCTGTGGCTGCTGCAAGCCTGGGTGTTCCTGCTGCTTTCATGCCGGTGGCTGCGTTCACACTTGCACCTGTTCAGCTGGGGCGGAGTGTTGCTGTCAAACGGGAAAGTGCCATCGAGAGGGATGTGACGTAGGCAGCAAGTGCAAGCATACTCACAAGGGCAGAATTTAGTGTTGTTTTGTTCGTTTGGTGTGATGAGAGAGACAGAGAACGGTATCGTGGGAGAGTTGCTACCTAACGGAGTGCATTATAGTGGAAGCAGGATGTGGTTGACGATGAATACCCCTGATAAGGACACAACAATAAAAATCAAGAAGAATGGTATTCCCAAACACTGGCCAGAAATCTGACAAGACAAGACAAACACGTAGCAAGCTAGCAAATTAAACAATACTCCTAGTAGTGAGACGATTTGGCCCAGAAGCCTTTGCGTTTTACTATGTGCGTAGAGTATGAAACAACCTTTTAGAACAAAGGCTTCATCAAGCTTGGAATCCATGCTGTCAACCTTCACTTCTGCAAACAAAAATGTTTCGAAATCCAACGAAAAACTGTCACACTCCAACCAACCTCTCCGATACCAATACATGTAGCTCTCAATCAAACGAAAATGTGTGGGTTCGAAGAATGTCTCGCTGATTGTACATGCTGTGGCTGCTGCAAGCATGGATGTTCCTGCTACTTTCATGTCGGTGGCTGTGTTCACACTTGCACCTGTTCAGTCGTGCCCAGCGCGGAGTGTTGCTGTCAAACGGGAAAGTTTTGTTGAGAGTGATGCGACATACCGGTAGGCAGCAAGTGCAGGCATGCTCACAAGGGCAGAATTTAATGTAGCTTTGTTCGGTGTCTGTGTAAGAGAATTGGAAGTGAGGGTGGTATTGTGGGAGAGGTGCTGCCGTATTGCGTTATGGTTGGTGCTGGATACCCCCCCC